ATCTAAAAACGAAACGACCAAGCCAGAAGCTCGACTTCAGGAAGATTGGACCATTCAAAATCGACGCAAGAATTTCGACATCCAACTACCGACTTTCGTTACCATCAACGATGAAGCTACGCACCAACGTCTTCCATATCTCGCTCCTCGAACCAGCACCCAGGAACGCACGGGTTGCAAAGGACATCGAAGCCGAGGACGAAGAAGAAGAATGGGACGTTGAGGAAATCTTGGACTCGCGAATAGCCAACGGAAGGCTAGAGTACCTAATCAAATGGCTCGACTTCGGACCAGAAGACAATTCATGGGAACCAGCAGAACACCTCAACTGCACGGAAAAACTAAAGGAGTTCCACCGACAGAACCCAGACCGACCAGGAGGGAAGCACAAAAATCTCCGGCCGGGTCGCGTCACCCCGCGGTAACGCGACCCATGTGGAGAAGAAGCCCAGATGGGATTCGAACCCATAGTCTCCCAGAAGCATTCACTCGGGTGTGATAACCAAGCTGCACCACTGAGCCATTTCATTTGTCGGGAAACAGGCAACAAGAATCGGGGTAAGAACCCCAGGAAGGAAAAGAACGGCTGCAGGCAGCCACACTATAACACGACACGCACGGCAGGCACAACCAAGACCTGGCCACCATCAAGAACCACCGCCACCTTGGGAAGACGTCGTTTCACCAGAGGAACCCTGCTCGGATAAGAACGACGGACCACCGCCAACCAACCCAAAATCCACCATCAGAGAAGGCTCCAAGGAAACGTTAGGATATACCGAGTCCCACAACGGCATAAAGCTTGGCGACAATCGAGGAGGGGTTGACGAAGTAGGAGGGGCAGAAGCCGACTCCGCCGCTGCCAGCGCCTCCGCTTCCTCACGCTCTACCCGCTCCAGTTCTTCCACGGTATCGATACCACGAGAGATGGCCCGCGTCATCTTCTCAAACCACATTCGTTTCTGAAGACGCAGGCGATTGATCTTTGCATCAAGGGCCGCGCGCTCGGCCTCCGCCTTTTCCATCTCGGATTCCAACTTATCATGTTGGGAAACGATGCGCTGGAGTTGCTGTACAGTAACGCCTTGCGCATCGCAGAAAGACTGATGACTGCGAACGCACTCGTAGCAGGCGGAGGATGCGTCGGCGGAAGACTTGCAATCAAGGCCGCGAGCCTTGCAGTATGAGCAAGGACTCTTCGCCATGGTCGCAGTACGAAGAATGATGGATAAAAGGTCGCTGCGTTCGGCAAGTTTGACTTTGGATTCCGGTTTCGCTCTCGATTTCGTTTTCTTCACGCGACCAGACATCTTGTCAGCATTTCTTAAGGAAGAAGAAGGAGGAACAACATGACATACCTGCAACGTGGGATGTTGGCACTATTTGAAACGGACTTGGGCTTTCGGGACGAACAGCCCTGGAGAGGGGGCATCGTGTCATGAACTAACCTGCAGAGGCCGGTGGGGGCCGACCTGCATGGTCAACGGGCGGCGCCCGTACCCAATCATTACGAGGAAGAAGGAACCAATGAGGATTAGGGAAATCAGGAACAATGCCAAGAACGATTGTTCCTGGGGAACAACGCCAAGGAACGTTGTTCCAGATGGAACAATGGGAACGACAATTGTTCCAAATGTTCCAGAGATCTAGGTACGGGATACCTAGGGGAGGAAGCTGTATATAGTTCTACCATTCTGCCTCTCATTCAGATAGCTAGCTTCCTCAGTGAGCAATTACAAGCAGTAAAGTAGCCCTACATTACTGTGCAGACATTGCGACTTGCATTGTTGTGAACCTTTTGGCTTCACCGAGACCTACAGTCCGACCAGCAGATACCTTCGACCGGCGAACCCTTTCAGAGGCAGGACTGCCTGTGGTTTCGTCACAACTACCAATACGGTAGGCCTTGATTGGATCAAGCACTTCGACTACTATATAGCGCCTGGGACAAAGGGCAAATACCGGTTGTTGATCCTCGATGGCCATAAAAGCCACCACTCAACCGAGTTCGAGCTCTACTGCCAGCAGAACAACATTATCACGCTCTATATGCCTCTATATTCCTCCTACCTCCTCCAGCCACTTGATGTTGGCTGCTTTAGGCCGTTGAAGCAGGCGTACGGTCGCCAGATCGAGGACTTGATATGCATATATATCAACCATATAAGCAAGCTCGAGTTCCTTTGTACCTTTTGCGCGGCCTTCTTTGCCTCTATCACTAAGAGGAATATCCGGGGCGGTTTTGTAGGGGCTAGCCTTATGCCGTACGACCTAAAGAGGGTACTTTCAAAGCTAGATATCAAGCTTCGTATACTAATACCCCTAATCTTACGGCCAGGCACTATACAATCTTAGGTCTTCCAGACACTATACAACCCCCGAGAAGCCAACTCACAGTCAACGCTCATCAAGACTCGCATTACCAACCATCAAAATAGCTCCCCGACTTCGATGTTAGCTGCTATAGACTAGCTTACCAAGGGTACGATAGCTATAATGCACCAGGTGGCCCTCCTTCAGGCAGAGGTGTCTTCGCTCCGCAAGGCCAACAAGGTGCTAAGCAAGCGCCAGAGAGCCAAAAAAACACGTATACGGCTTGGAGGATCACTTACTGTGCAGGAGGCACAGGAGGTGGTAGGCCAGGGGGCTATAGGTGGGGAGGCAATGCAAGAAACACAGCTGGATGGTAGTGGTGCTAGGGGGGGTCGTACAAAGGTTCGGTGCTGTAGTATATACGGCAAGCCTGGTCATAATGCCCGCACTTGCCAGGAGGGTGCAGAAGGGTCTGATTCATCTGTTTCTGATGTAATTGTAGTTGGTTCTTAGTGTTGTTGCATTATAATTGAGAGTAGTTATTATAAAGTAGTGGAGAGTGTCCCGCTCGCTGATATGTCCCGCTCGCTGATAATGTACGTTAGCGCTTAACAATATATAACTTATAAAGAATATCGAAGCTAAGGATAAAGAAAAGGAATAGGGCATTAAAGAGATCTTAGACTTGCAAACAGTTAATAAAAGGCTAGAGTACCTAATTAAATAGCTCGACGTTAGATTAAAAGATAACTTATAAGAGTTAATAATATACGTTAACGTACATAATAAGCGAGCGACGCAGATAAGCGAGCGACGCACTTTCTACTACCCTACAGCAACTATCCTCAATTATAATACAACAACGCTAGCAACCAACTACAATTACATCAGAAATAGATAAATCAGATGATTCTACAGCCTCCTGGCAAGTGCGAGCATTATGGCCAGGCCTGCCGCATACCCTACAGCATCGAACCTTCGTACGAGCCCCCCCTGAACCGCTACCATCCGGCTGCGTTTCCTGCACTGCCTCCCCACCTACGGCGTTCTGATCTAGTAGATCCTTTGCATCTTGCATAGTAAGTGAACCTCCAAGCGGCATACGTGTTTTCTTGGCACGCCGGCGCTTGCTTAGTGCCTTATTGGCCTTGTAAAGCGAAGAGACCTCTGACCGAAGGAGGGCCACCTGGTGTATTATAGCTATCGTACCCTTGGCAAGCTGGTCTATAGCATCCAACATTGAAGTTGGGGAGCTATTTTGATGGTTTGCAATGCGAGTCTTGATGAGCGTTGACTGTGCGTCGGCTTCTCGTAGGTTATATGGTGTCTGGAAGACCCAGGGTTGCATAGTGCTGGGCCGTGAGGTTAGGGGTGTTGGCGTACAAAGCTTTATATCTAGCTTAGAAAGCACCCGCTCTAGGTCGTATGGCATAAGGCCAGTCCCTGTAAAGCCACCCTATGCGTTCTTCTCTGTCATAGAAGCAAAGAAGGCTTCTCGGAAGGCATAGAGGAACTTAAGCTTGCTGATGTGGTTGATATACATGCGCATTAAGCCCTCGATCTGGCGACCGTATGCCTGCTTAAGTGGCCTAAAGCAGCCAACATCGAGAGGCTGGAGCCTATAGGAAGAGTGTAGAGGCATACAGAGTGTGACGATGTTGTTCTGCTGGCAGTAGAGCTCGAATTCGGTTGAGTGGTGGCTCTCGTGGCCGTCGAGGATCAACAACCGGTATATGCCCTTTGTTCGAGGTGCCGTATGGTAATCGAAGTGCTTGATCTAATCCAGACCTACTACATTGGTAGTCCAGCCATTATCGGTGGTTGCAATACACCAGGTAAGTAGTAGGTTGCACTCCCGGTACCAGTTACTCTAGTGGTACTATACGGCTAGGATAATGAACGGAGGGATAACCCAGCCAAGGGTGTTGACTCCCTAGATCACAGTCGCCCACTCCCGATTACTAGGCTAAGCTAGTTTTGCCTTGCCATGCCCATCCGAGGTTGTAACTACCATACCCGCAAAGATAACACCCATTATAAACCCAGTCTCATCAAAGTTGTAGATATCGTTATCGACAATCCTATATTTAGCCCTAGTATTCTACATAAGTGCAAACCACTCGCTGATGACCTGTGGATCCTCGTATTTAGCCCTCTGGTAGTCATACTTGCATATATACCGCGTACGGAGCTCTGGCTGGCGTTTGACAAAGTTATAAGCCCAGCGTTTGCCGATAGGGGGCGCATCGCGTTCGCGTAGTAGGTGGTTGGCTATATCTTCTATACCACTTAATCTAGGTAGGAATACGCATATAGATAGCTCAGTTATATACTGAACTATTGACTTCTCTTCTAGATCCGTGAGCTTACGCGAGTTGGCTAGAACATCGCGTCTTGTAGCACATCCCTTGCGCCGGTGGCGAATCGTTGCTTCTGGAACGTTGTATAGCTTGGCTACCGCCCGGATACTGAGATTCTCGCTCTGTTGGATAGCTTCGAGGGCTAAAAGAAGCCTGGCTTCTTTTGAGGGGCTACGCATGGCTTGTTGCGGTAGTATTTGGTGGAAAAGTTTAGAGGAGGCGCGTCGCACTGAAAGTGCGTCGCTCGCTTATCTGCGTCGCTCGCTTATCATGTACGTTAGTTGCTTAGAAAAGCTAGAAGAGTTCTACTAAAGGAACCTAGATCGGCTAAAAGAAAAGAGAAAAACGTAAAAACCTAAGACAGATGCATGCTGGCCATTCTTCTGTTTCTAACTCACCCGGCCCTCTGATGTTTGTGCATGACATTATGGTCGTAGATAAGTACTCGTGGTAACTGGTAACTATAGAGAGAGCGACTTCACAAGTGAACCGTGCAATTTCCTCTGTAAAGAAACAACGAACACTTGAAACAAAGTTAGAGACAATGTAAAGACTAACTAAGGTTTACAAGAACGCCGGCTGCGAAGAATACGATCATACATCCATCTTGTCTCACCGTCGTCCCAGATTTAGCGACACCGTCAGCGAGAAAGAAGGTCAGGAGTGGACGACAAGACTGTAGATGCCGTCCAGAATGAGAGATCCATCCGGCCTTTTAATCGTCTTTGGGGTGCAGATTTCACCGCTGACCTGATTGCCGTTGCAGCTGCCGCTCCCTACAGTGATGGTTATTACCGGTACTTGGTATACAGTATCTACCTCTCCCCAGCGAGTCAGTACGTACCTGTGGTGCACAGGAGATAGGGAGTAAAGCCCACATCCCCGGTTTGGCCTTCGCCAACGGTGAAGGTGTACGCCTGGGAATCCTCCACTGTTTCGGTCATTTCGAAGCCAACGCCAAGCGAGAGGACGTCTGCAAAGCCAATGTCCATTGAAGTCGTGAATGACTGCGACCGCGTTTCGGTAATTTGAAACTGTCCAGGCCCGCGGACTGCGCGTAGAAGAATCTGTGTGCCGTCAGCAGGGCGGGTGTACTCAGCCCTGCCTTCATCAGCCCTCCAGGAGTTCTGCTGGCAGCTACGCTTAGATTTGACGCCTCTGGTTGAGGGGACAGCTAAAAGATCGGCTGCCGATTGGGATGGCTGGCGCTTGGTGGACTCATGAGGAGGACCAATCTGGGCCGGAGTGATCTCGGTTCCGTTGGCGTCGCGGAGGGCGAGACTGTACAAACCAGTGCTAGCGGCATTGAGATCAAGCAACTCGCCCCAGCCATACCTACCACCAAATTTGGCAGAGCGGCGGACCTTGCCAGCACCGGCCGCTGAGCAGTCGTCGGCGCCGCAGCAGAACTGAAGCATGAAGGTCTTCTCCAGCTCGAGGACGGCGCAGGCGGGCTGGCTGAAGCTAGCTATCAGGTACCCGCGGCCCGGCAGATCCGTGTTGGCTGGGGACTTGACAATGATCCTGCAACCGACGTCGAGCTCCGGAATGTCGATGTAAGGCCGCCAGCCTCTGCAGTGAGAGAATAGATGTTAGTTGGGGGACACTGTTATGTCCGTTTGGGGGAAATGAGAAGAGCTTGACCTGCGTCTTACCCTCCTTCAGAGCCGGGGATGTCTTGATTAAAGAAGACGGTATCAGAGTCGTAAGTGACGCAGTTGGGGTAGCCTGTGCCAGCGTTGGTGATTCCGACACTGCAATTCTGGCACTTGTTGTCTTTGCACATCTTGTAGACATCGGCGGCAATGACGGGTTGGAGGGAACCCCCCAAGACCAAAGCGGTGAAGAGACTGACTAGGAACATTTTTGCTCGAGATTGCGGAAGGATGAGATGTTCCAATGTCTGTGAGATGCTGTGAGACGAAATATTCCTTGAGAACTAATCCCGAATCGCAGCTTGAGCCTTTGGGGGGAATTCGTCATAGTTTTAGTACACGTCTATACTTGTGTCTCCAACCTTCCATCGGGTACCCGTCTGACTAGAAGCGCCATACTACTCACAAGACGTCACCGTGCAGCAGGCAAAACCAACATCCCTCCATGTTGCCTCTGAGAAGCGCTATCGGCGAGTTATTCCTGGCAGCGACTCGGACGGCATGCAGAACGTAGAGGAAGTCCGTTGGCAGACGTGCATGCTGTTTTCCACCTGCTCCTTGTAGAAGTGATCTGGTGTACGGTAACTGTTGGACAGTCAAAATTCTTGTCAGGTATTAGCCTATGCTGGCCAGGCACAAGCATAATCAGCCGGAATACTGCATGGAGCATGCTGGTGATATCTTTCATATAGGATGGCTTCAGGTTACAGGTGGGTGGTGTGTTTTTGGGGCGTAGCTCCCGCAGGCCCTCGTCATGACGTCTAGGAGTTGCCCCAGAAGGTCTCGATACCCCGTCACTGAATCGGCCAACAGTGAGAATGATAAGTCCCACGTGTTCTCCCACCAGGCATTAGGCCCATGCGGTGCTGAGTACTAGTACCATTGAGTGTACCAACAACCATGACCCTTAATTGAAGTCCACGTGAATTTGGAGGACCTTCCAAGGCTCACGGTTGCCATATCACGTAAGGGAGGCGAGAGAAGTGGAAGATGCAGCAGAGTTGCATCAGGGTTCAAGTAGGGAATGAGCTTAGGTGAATCAAGTCATACAGGGAAGGCGAGGAAGGGTGGTTTGGGAATGGAGAGGCCAACTGCATGCAGAATAGGGGCTGTGCAAAAGAGAAGCCGCAATAGGTATGCGGGACGTCCGATGACATCTTTGCTTCAAGGCTGCAGGCTACAAAGCCTGACGTGTTGGCAGCTTCATCTGCCTTTGCCTTCACTCATCCGCCTCTGATACCTAGAGACTAGCTGTGAAAATTAACCTCATTTGTTGCTATCAACTCGCTAATCCCCGCTGCAATGCGCTTTATGCTACCATCGCTTGTTCTGGTTGTTGGACTAGGCCAAGTCGGCGTGGGAACCTGGTGTGTACAGTCTCTTTGCATTCGGTTGCAACGGGCTTTTATTTCGTCTTCTGACCATGCCGCAGGGTGATTAATTTCTACGAAAAGGGTTGCCCCCAGGATGGCGACTCAACCGATCCCAATCTTGTCAAGGTTGGGTCCACATCCGGACAGGCAGACCAACAGATATGGTGTTACAGAGTCGACTCGGCTCACACGGCGGTCTTGACCGGCATCGAAGCCGACAACATGAAGGTTGAGCTCTTTGCTGACTGGCAATGCCTCAACCTCATGGAGTCGTGGACAACTGATGGGTGCATTGCAGTCTATTCGGAAGAACATGCAAGTCTTGTTGCTTTTCCAGAATCCTATTTCTTCTGTTTCCCCACCTCAGAACGGTCGATTAACTCTTCTACTCTTGCCAGACTGTCATCGCAGCGGCCAGGATCATGCCCAACTGAGCCCGGAGGGGGTTCTCCTGTTTGACTATCATCCGTGTCTATTGGCGGGTATTCTAACTTGATGGAAACTTGGCTTGCTACTTGCTTGCCCTTGAGCTGGAAGCTGAGAGGTCAGTCTTCAGTGTAACTTAGGTCAGATATGGAACCCGAACCCAGTTTCGGTTATGAGTCTGGTCCGACCTTCATGCTTGGCTCCTGCATTGATGGGTGTGATGAGAACTACATTTATGTTGCAGAAATGGTTGCTCGGTTGCATGGGTGCTGTTCACTCAATGCCAAATTGGCGTGATGTTGTAACTTTGAACATACAGGGAAGTTACCTAGGTAGGTTCTAGTACCACATCTTTGAGGATGATGTGGCTCAAGAGTCCAGACCTTGATCCGACGTGCCCCCACATTCTGCCTGGCCCACGGATTTAGCTGGCCATCGGGGAACAGCAGAGAATGACAGCTGAGGCGAGGGTCTGAGGCAAACTTGCACATTGTCAGGTAGACTTGTGCAACTTATTACCTATGATGGCATGGCTGACGCCGATTCAGCAGCTTCTCCTTCCGTTGCGCACCCGGACATCAGCTGGCAGGGCGGTTAGTTGTCCAATTATGTGCGTTTGTAGGCGGATGCTTACCGAGCCTCTGGTACTGAAGCACCGATGCCCCTGGTTGCCAGGGCAGTTGTGCTTGCGTGCCGCAGCTGCACATGTGGTCACAGACTCACAGGGCTTAGGTAGACTTGCTGCAATTCAGTTGGATATGACTGGCCGCGAGGTTGGACAGGAAGACGGATGCCAACAGCTTCATTTGCCAACGCATGCAGAGAGACCGGGAACCCGCTGAGATCTGCACAGCTTCGGTGGCCGTTCAGACCTGTCAATCTGTAGGTAATATGCCGTAGATGACGGGATGAAAGTACATACTACCTAGGTAGGTATGTTCTTGCACCTCGGTTGATCATGGCCTTGCTTGGAAGGTTGTCTGAACTCTGAAGGCGAACCGTAACGTAGCCCCAGTTGGAAACACGCGAAAACCTGTTCTCTAACGCCCAAACTCCCAACTGCATCCTTGGCGAGTCCCTTCCCGCCTGAGCGACGGGTGTGATGATTCAATCGGATCTCCCAACAGGCACAATAGGCAAACATGGGCCAACTTCCAACGGCGCCAACAGCATGATTTCCCCTCCTTCTCGTTGCATTCTTGCCTCCAGCCACCAGCAATACTGATCCGGTAGCCCCGAAAACAAAGAATTACACCTGCTAGCTCTGCTGAATCCTAACCTTTGCGAATCTGCCTCCAAAGAAGAATCCGGCTCGGTTTGGGCTAGTTGCACCTTTGCATACTCATTCTCCCAGCATGCTCCATCGAATCATCGTGACGCTCCCCGCGGCCGCCGTCATCCTGTCACTCGCGTCAGGACAAAACCCAAAGTCCGATGGCAGCTACGGCGAGGGAACCGCCTTCGGACCATTTGGCGTGCCTCTCACACGGTACAACGAACTGCTGAACTCCCCCAACGCAACGAGCCAATACCCGCTCTTGGGCCCCAACATCTCGGCACCGTACCCAGGATCCGGCAACATCCTTAACGGGTGGTCGTGGGTCGTGTCCGTAGCGGCAGATATCCCCCTCTCAGAAAGCAACTCGACCACGGCCGACTGGTACCCCGACAACCACAACCACAACCACACCTTCACCGGGAGCCGTGTGGTGCTCCAACAAGCGCCAACCACGGGGCCTCCCGCACACGAATCGTGGTTTGTCTGCGTCGTGAACTGGGACATCGACCTCGCGACGTACCCCAGCAAGCTCCGTACCGACGACGGCAGCTGCTCGAGTGTGCTGAGTGAGCAGTGCATCCGCGACACTGAGGCGAGCGTGCTGGAGGAGTATAGACTGGGGCTCGGCGGCCCCAATCCGTGCAAATGCCCGTCGCTGACCGAGATCGCGTCCTGCGAGGGGGAGCAGGCGAAGGCCTTGATGTCGGGAGGAGGATGTGCTGCTGGGCGTATGTGTTCTCTCTCTTCGCCTTTGCCTCATTTCCCTGGTTACGCGATTTAGCTCCTGACTCCTTGTAACCTGTTACTTCCCACACTACTAGCGTTCAACGCAACCGCAATCCGCAACTGGCCCGACGGCAAACTCGATGTGCGCCAGTTCGGCGGCCCGCCGCACAAGGCGAGGAATCTCACCGCGTATAACGAAACGGGCAGTCTGGCTTGGCCTGTGTTGGCGGTGTGGGGTCCTTCGACAAATAACACCAGAAATAGCACAGGCCAGATCGACTTCTCGGGCGCGGTAGCGAAGCTGTCTTGTGTGAGGGCCAAAGACGCTACTCCGGGGAGCAAAACGCCGGGTGGTGGGACCGTCAGTGTTGGCAACAGAGAGGCTGTTGTATCTTCCACGATTCTGGTCGCAAGCGTTGTGTGGGTAGGCAGCTGGGTTGCATTTCTGTAAGCATATAATAAGCATGAACGCGAGCTTGAGATCGCTGCTTAGGACCGTGCGAGTGGGAGGCCTGTTCGGGCAGATTCAGTTACGGGAGGATAACAAAGTCATCCAAGAGTTCAACGCCCGCGGCCCGCTAAGAAACGCAGTTCGACGACACGTCCCACAGAGTTCGGAAAAGGCAGCTCTTGCCAGACTAGCTGCTATATAATCTTCTGATGTGTTGCCCGTTTTGGCCCAGTACTCCCGCTACGGACCCATTCGAGAGGTGTCGGTATTGCCGTGGTCTCCGGGGTTTCGAGGGATTTCTAGGAGGCGCCCCGTCTGTTACTTGTCCCGCTGGGTCTCTGCATCAGCAATGATCGCCGTGTGGACCGGGATCTGTAACCTGGCCCGTTGGATAAGATACGTTGTCGGTACAGTTAGGGGTGGTTTTGGGGGATGACGAACTCATCAGGCGTTCCAAACCAGACTGGTATGTTCTTCGACTTCGATCATTTCCCCGGCGTACCAAAAGCGTGTAGAGAGCAAGGATACCAAGATTCGCAGCTGCTAATCGGTTAGAAAATATAGGCCAACCTCCATCTGGAACCAAGCAACCAGAGACAGTCCTTTATCTCGGCAAGGAAACCACCATATTTCGGTTCCTTCGTTCCGGCCGCATCCATGCATATTTTGCTGCAGCTTGGTGCAAGCAGTCGAGGACGAGCGGGCTTATTTGTCCCGGGCCCGTGTCTCGGACGACTCGACCGATGAGTCTAGCCAGGGATAGCACCTGATCCATCACCTGCTGGACGCCAGTGATGGGCAGCTGGAGGCGCTGCATCTCGAGTTCTGCTGTCCCGCTCGCGTCGCTTGAGCCTTCGCCGTAGAGGCAGCCATACACTTCAACGATGCAGAACCGCGCGCTGTGGCAAAGAGCTAAGGCGGTGAAGGCCGGTGTCGCACCAAAAATCCCTTTCTCATGGTGGAGGCGACTGCAGTCGGCATCTAGGAGCCCGGTGAGCGCCTGTACACTGGAGTCCAGTTGCAACGCTTCTCGGAACTTGGAACTCGGAGTCTAGGTTCGGGCCATCCTCACTGCTCAATGTGACGGAGAGCTCGAAAGAGCGTATGCGCAGCTTGACAAGTTCGAGCGAATCGAGACACCGGCTGTGAAGTGTTGGTGGATACGAGGGGTTGCAGGACTGCGATCCTCTGCACAAAGTCCCGTGTTAGCGAGTGATTTTACCGAGAGGTTGAAGCACCAACCTACACCCTCGTCCCAGGCTCGGTCGTCTCCAGGAAGCAAACCATCCGAGCGAGCATCCGGGCAAGCAAGAGGCAAAAGGTATTGGGAAGCTGTGTGCAAAGGGCAATTCAAGGGGCTTGTGCGACGTCATGGACGAGATCCAGAGCGGCAGGCTGTAGCATCGACTACGGATCACCTTAACGACGCCAGCTAATGCCCCGACCGGAAACGTCTCAAACACAAGGGAGAACAGGCAAGACACCAAAAAAATAAACAGGACGTCCACAAAAAGATCTACTCGGCCTGTAAGTGGCAGCACAACCTAGCAGTAATTCCGAACATAAACTGCTAATGGGGACCCAAAACCAGCTAGCTCTGAGGGGAAGGAAGACTCAGTATAATCCTTGATCATCTCCTCGACACGGGGAGAGATGTTATCGGCTCTATTCTAGCGCGTTAGATTACTCGAGACACCGCTATACGAGACTCTCTTCGGGAAAAAAGCAAAAAGAAAAGAAAGACTCACTGCTCTACCCGCCCAACCCAAGAACCCTCGCGTGGAATTTCACAGACCTTGTCCCATATCATGAGCGCAGGCCTGGCAATGTCAGCCGCGATCTGCCGTATAGCTATTCCAGGCGCCAGAGAAGAAGACAGCTGTAGAATCGTCGACTTGGAGGAAGCCACATGGGTGATCTAGCACTGTCATGCCTAGGTCTTCCAACACCTCACGATCGATGTCCTCATATATAGGATCTTGTATGTAACACCGCACTGTCGTCATTGGGCTGTGCCGTGTAAAGAAGTCCCTAATGCTCAGGACTAGTGCGTGCTCTGTAACTACCCGTTCGGCCCTCTCGACGACCGAGGGGCGGTAACAGGCAAACGCAACCACTTTGTCGACGTGTGGGAGGCGGCTGGCATCGGCCACGGCTTGGAGCATCGCCATAAGTTCGCGGCAGGCGGCACTGGCGTCCCATTTTGCCTTTTCCTGCTGCAGGACGGCACGCGTCTCGGACGCCGGGCGGATAGGGGCATCGGGCACGACCTCGCCAGTGTCTGGTAGCACCGGGACGGCCAGGACATTCACGGTCATAGTAAGGAATGCCTTGCGAAGATCGAAATCGGAGACAAAGACAGAAGCAATCGAAGTCAGATGATCTATTGGCCGGAAGTCGATAGAGAGCATCGCGTCCATCAGTACCGAACCATTTTCCGGCGGAGGCCAGTGTGGAGGTATAGGATGCTTGACGCCGATCTGGAGGGAAGTGTCTACCATCTTGCCGTCGATTCCCGCTATCGAGAGTTTGAGCGAGCGCGGCTCGGTCTGGACGCGGCGTATACCCGCCTCGTCTATTTTCTGAACGAGGCTACCAATAGCCGCCTTGGTAAAAAGTGGCGTGCCGGAGTCGTAGATAGCGTTGATAGGGGTCTGGGCTAGCAGAGCGGTGTGGGCCGCACCCGCAACAGGTGTTAACGTTACAGTATACGGGTATAGATGTTAGAGGCTACATAGCTAGTAATGCTTCTATAATTGCAAGGCCCTTCTAAGAAGTAACCCGTCAAACCCGGAGGAGTAGGTGGACACCACCGCAGACGACACCGCAACGACGCCGATACTCGCTATTTTAGCGAGCGGGCCGTGTCCCTGGCCCAGGATCTCAAGGAGCTGTTCCTCGTCAAGGGAAGGACTCACATCCAGCTCTATGACCACGGGGGTGAGAGCGCTCCGGAACTTGTCGATTTCTTCTCCGAGGCGATTGCTGTTTGAGAAGGAGTTCATGAACGAAAGACAAAGCGAGCAAGACGGGAAGCTAGATAGATAGATTGATACTATGGAAGGGGACAGTTCTGTTAGAGGGAGAACGAAACTCTGGTCGTTATTGCCATTCATACCTTAGTTATTAGGACTGAGCCGACCATTTCTATGGCTTCGCGCAGCCTCCCCGGCCTCGGAAGAATCAACCAACTTTTACCCCGTCTATTACTAGCTAGATAGATAGGTTGATAACAAGATCTGGCTGGTCTAGGCCCCGGGAACCTTTACCCTCATTGCAAATGTGTTTTGAACTCCAATAACTGTTTGAGATACTTAGGTTGTACATGACTCCCCGATCCGTGTACCAGGCGCGTCTGCTACGGGGTCACGGCGTCCCAGAGCCTTCGCATGGATGATAGCTTTGCGGCTTCCCCGATCGTAATTGGGGTAAAGCTTGGGGCGACTGGAGGCCCAGTAGTCTGAAGACCTAGGTTCCTCCCTCGTGTAACAACGCTGGCCGAGCCAGGTGCTGCTATTGAAGGGTATTGATCGCCCGGGTCTTGAGAGCGAGGCCGAAAGCCGGTAGGAGGTGACAATGTAGGAGTGCTAGCCGCTCCACCAAAGCAACTGTTCAGCTGATCCAAGACGTGTGCCAGAGAAACAACGTAGGCGTGGGCTAGCGGGCCCCTGCCCACGATATGGCCATACACACCGTTGGTTTCTCGGTCGACGACAACTGAGCCCCACTCCCCGTTAACGATACCGCCTGCGACGAGAAAGTCAGTGGAGTAGTGAGTGAGGGAGACGTGAGCGCTTACCATTAGGGTCGTCAAGCATCACTGTCCAAGCCCTGCAGGGTTCTTTCCCAGGATAGGATGGAAGGAGACTGGGAACAGCCATTATTCTGCCATGCAGGATACCTCGGATTCCGGAAACGATATAGACAGGAGACAAATGCGACCGAGGAGCCTCATGGCATGTCCTTAACACAACACCTAGGCTTTGTTGGCCGCGTGGAAACACCATGTTGACAAGCAAGCGAGACGGAAATGGCGTAACCGACACCGGACAAGTAAGGGCTCAGCCAAGATAGGCGGCGGTTGAAGAATTGAGCTGGGCTGAGGAGGCAAGCGTTGTCCACTCTTCGGAGTCCAGGCTCGCAGCTGCCTGAGGCTGGGGCTGCATCGACTCGGGTAGTTCTTCCAGTTCCAGGTCTCCATACTCATCGTCATCACCCAACACGCTGTTACTCTCCGACACTTCCGAGGAGAACGACTCGCAGTCCAGCTCGCTGGCAAGCTCAGCTTCAATGGGCGATAACGGACGCATCTGTCGTGCAGCTGCTCCTGGGTCCATGGGCCCCACTCGAACGGCACGCTGGGGTAGATCTGCTTGTTCTATTTGTTGCCGGGAACGGGCACGCGGCGTTCCCAGACATTTTCCGTGGCACTGGTCCCAGCGGGGGCCGCTGACGGTGTGGACGGCTGCAGGAGGTTGGGGCTTTCCGTCTCGCCGTTGCCCCCGGTGTCCAGGCTCGGCCCGCTCGGGACAGTGTTGCCGTGCCCGAATTCATCCCCGGGCTGGCTTGATTCGGGTTGCAGCTCAACTTCCACAACGGGCGCGTGGGCAGGCGCCGTAGATGAGCTGGGCGTAGCAAGAGATGCCCGCCGAGACGACGCATGCTGCGAGCGGGGTAGCACCGCTGAGGTGATAGTTTGTCTGGACACGACACTCTATACGCTCATCGAGCAACAGAGCGGCGTCATAGGGGCTAATGAAGGTATCTGCCGAGCCTTTTGCCACCACAGCTTCATCCCTTGGCTCTTACCTCAGGGTCTTCGACAACCTGATTGCCCGCAGCGATGTCCATGTCCTGCAAGTCGAAGAGCCCGACCCCAGAGGCGCGGCCGCCATTAGGGCCATCACCTACAATGACATTCTCATTGCCGCCAAGATCCTCCGCAGCAACCCCACGCTTACCCTGGACGAGGCGGCCGAGCAGCTCTGGGCAAGGCTAGGCACCACGTGCTCAGCACGGCAGCCAAGGTTGACGATGCGCGTATCTGTGCGGGCCATGTTTATGATCGATTGCACCGGACCGGTGGACGGATGGCTGCCCAACGAGCGCTTCGACGACCTTGCCTCTAGGGTGTTTCCAAGGGCCTTGGCCATATCCACCGCGGCGAAAGAGGCAATGAACGACCGGAAGTCTATGAAAGCATGGAAGCTCAAGGCTAGATTCCGCCTCCACTGCCGTGGCACCGACAACCTGGCCCGCCACTTACTCTTGGACCTGTCGCATCCGGACGGGGCCGACCCTGTATATCGTTCACTATACTGGCTTTCTCAAGGTCCAACTGGACCGTGGGAAGCAAGAAGGTCTCTCCAAGGAAGCTGACTTTCCGGAATGTCTCAAAAGGCACGCCGTACACATCCCTCTTCATATCTAACTTGCCTCAGCTCTGACGTCACATCCCACAGCGGCTCCCTCCCGCCACGTCTTCTTGCCGAGACGCTGCATTCCATTCAAGCAATCCCATTTCACTTCGACGACCACAATCCAAGCCGCATACTCGGGCGGCTGATTGCCAAACAAGGGTTCGACAAAGACTGCGCACAGGCCGAAGGATACAGGCTCTCTTCGACAACGGCGACCTTGCGGACTACGTCTACTGGGGCGACCGGCTGGCAGCTCCACACGCCCTCATGCGCGAGCGTCCACCGCGGAACGTGTTCGAGCGGTGGATGAAATGGCAGACGTCGGAGAGCAATGCCTTTGCTGTCGCGCTGGCTGCGCTGCTCATCTCTGTTGTTGTCGGCATCTTGAGCTTGGCTCTGGCGGCGTTCCAGGCCTGGATTGCATGGGTCGCTTGGCGAGGATCTGTGGCTGATAGTGATGACGAGACGACTGCACTGCTTCGGGAGATTGCGGACCTCCTCCGGCAGCGGCCATTGCGATAATATGCTTCAGCGCAGCCCTATGTGAGACTTTATGAGCCTGTAAAGCGTCAGGAGTTGTGGTTCAATACCTGGTAGCTATGAGCCACCATTCAGCAGATCATGATAAGGAACAAACAGAGACGAGCGAAGTCTAAGTAGGAAAGAGGCTAGTGCTTGAATAGGGGGCCACATGCTATATAGATACCCTGTGAGAGTGGTTATTATTCTAGAGCGTGTGTGACCTATCCCGAATGCATTATTCCATCTAGAATTCCTGGTACAATAGACTCTGGAGTCTAAAGTCCTAGTATGAAAGAGCATACCGGGCACAGTGTATGATGTCAGTAGGAAACACAGCTCCGTTCTATACAACTACACCCACCCTCAATCAGTTCCTCGATTCCCTACCCGTCATGAAGTCCAGGGACTCAAACTGCCCGGCCTTCCCGGCACTAATCGCAAAATCCTTCCACTCATCCAACGCCTTCCCGTTCTTCTCGTTCTCTATCTTCAGGACACCCCACGCATCCGGCCCAATCGGCACGCGCAGCGGAATCTCCTTTCCACTCGCCACGATCGAGTACATGGCCTTGGTAACATCATCGACATCAGCAAAGTTCTTGGACGCTTCCGGATCGTCAATGTACTTGTCCAGCAGCCTTGACGGGGTGTCGGGCGCCGCGTACGCCGGATGCACCTCGATCCTCTGCATCCTGTGACCCGTAAACCCCGTCCTCACGCCGCCGGGTTCGACAAGACAGAAATGGATATTCCACTCCGGCCGCACCTCCCGCGCCACCGACTCGGTAAAGCCCTCAACGGCGAACTTGGCGGCATGGTAGAACGCATTCCCTGGAAATGCAGCCCTGCCGCCCATGGACGAGACATTAACGACCACACCGCCCTGCTGGCCCCCCGGCGCGGCGGGGTTGACCTCGCGCATGATGCGCATGGCGTGGCGCGTCAGGCGGACAGTGCCCCAGAACATGGTCTCGAGCTGGTGGCGCGCCGCTTCCTCTGGTGCGTTCTCGGTGTCGCCGCGCAGCGAGTAGCCCGCGTTGTTGACCACCACGTCCAGGCGGGCAAAGTGTGCCAGGGCGGCGGCAACCGCGTCGTCGACGGACTGCTTGGACGCGACATCGACGCGGAGCTTGAGGATGCTGCTATTGGGTGGGTTGTCGGGGAGGTAGGCGAGGTCTTCGAGTTTGCGGGCCGTGGCGACTAGGCGCTGCCCCTTGGCGACGACGAGTTCGGCTAGGGATTTGCCGATGCCGGAGGAGCAGCCGGTGACTTATTGGGAGGGTCAGTTCAGTGTGGGTGACGATGATTTGGCTTCGGTGGGGGGGGAGTCTTACTGAACCAAACTGCGTCCGAAGGGAGTGTATATGGCAACCGGCTGGGTTCCATGTTCAAGGAGTCGAGATACCAAGACTTTGTTGTTGCCGGTGTCAGTGATTCCTCGTTGATCAATTTGCTTGTCCTGACAACCACACACAGCAAAGACGATTCTGACAAGACAGCAGCAGCCCACTGATTAAAATACTTTCCAGACTGGCAACGATTCCAAATGCATCCCCCGCCGAGTGTGGGTTGTTGCCTCCTAACCAAGCCCCGGATCACATACCTGATCGGACTTAAGCGCTGGAAGCGTGACAGTGAGTGATGAGTTCAACCCAACACAACCAACACGCCAATCAAACCCCCTAGGACTGGTAACGCCGATGTTACTCAGTGGCAGGCCAACAGTGGCAACGCTCGCCCAGTATCCACCGAGGCCTTTGCTGCGGTCACATCGCTTACATGTTGGCTGTCCGTCGCCTAATTAGCCCACTTGAAGCAGTGACGCAAGCTCTCGGCGTAGTTTTGTGAACCCATCTGTTGATGAATGTATATCCGATGGTTGAACCGGGTCAGGGATAAATAATCAAGCACGCAGAGAAAGTCTCCGAGATCTATGGTATGAGTAATCCCAAGCTGGCTACTGGCCTGTCATTCTTCTTTACCCTCGGGTTTAAAGTGTTGGGATCTCCGATATCCCCAGCCTTCCTGAACGTTCCACCATGGGCAGTAGTGACGGTGGCATGTGGCTGTAGCAGACTAGGCACCAAATACCCTCCTCGATAACCTCCACCTCGCCACAGACTGCAGTATTCACCCCCGCTCCCTACTCGCCCTACTAAGCACCTCACCATGATCAATATAATGCTTAGTCCCCTCCCGCAGAATGGCATCGCGCACCTGCTCTCCCCGGGGCCGCATCTCCGCCCGGAACGGCTTCGGCAGCGTGGCAAAGCCCTCGGTGCAATCCATGTCATGCGCCGCGTGTGCTTACTGAAGTTCCACCCGGGATTACTCAAACCCCTGCCGAGAGTTCCGACCACTGCAGGACATATAGTCCCGGCAGCTGCTCTTCAGAGTGCTTCATGAGTACGGCAGGTCGGGCCTCTACATCGTCGGCTCGTGCCCGTCGCTCAACTATCTGCCCGAGGCGCTCGCGCCCTGGAAGAAGGAGGCCGCGGAGCTGTACGAGCTCGAACGCCAGCTGCATGCCTGTAGCCGCTAGCCGAGCGCAGGTTCAGCTGGGGCAGATCGGGGGCCGAGGAGTACTTGCTTATGACGACGGCATTCTTGGTGAAGTTACAGGCAAGCTGCTCCAAGGCAGCAGAGTTTGACACTGTAACGGTCGGCAGAGCTTTTACTCCGTTACCTAGGCTGATGTCAAGGGATGGCGGCAGGATGAGTATGGAAAGGCCTCAGCCAAACGTCTGGTATCTGGGACGGGGTAGTACTGGTATTGCCGGTAATCCAGCTATCGAAGAGGGAGAGGTACATACAAGTCCCTGGTGTCTGCCACGTGGGTCGGTTGCATCGTCGTGAAGGAGATCTTATCAAAGGACTTAGACGCTACTAGTCCTTTTTGACGTCTTTCCACACACGCCGTCGTCCCTACCCGTGTCTCACTCCGTGAACGAACAACGGTCCGATCTCAAACCCACGGTCAAGACTCCGGGAAGACGCTGGCCGATGTATACTAAGTATGGCCGATTCCCTAACAATCACAGTTCGTAGGCCAAACCGCACTCAAGGACTTGACTGAGCCTTGGCCTCGGTTCGACTCTCCGCCCCTGAATCAACTACCTACCTAGGTATCTAGACTGCAGAGTACCCTTTGATTCTCCGATAGACGTGCTACTTGGTAGGTTGAAGGCAACCCTACTACCGACCCTATCTCAGCCTCGGGTTGCACAAGTGCTAGTAGTGATGGTACCAAATCTATGCGAAATAGATCGACTTCTATCTTGGAACATGGCTGCCACTGCAAGCGCGTACGGTAGGTAATTTGAAACACGCGTCCTCCCGCCAGATCCCCTCTTTTTTTGTCTTCCGCTTGACGTAGCGATATGATGATAGATACTATTATCGCCCCAAAGCATCCGAAACACTAGTGGTGGTATACCTCCGAGTCACTACCGAGACTTTATCACGATACACCACCTACTCACTGTCTCCAGCCTCCTCATCATGCTTCCACCCGGGCATATCCGCCAGGTCCTTCGCGGGGGCGGCGCGGATCGACTTGAGCGCATCACCCTGGCCAGGCCGCCACCTCCATGTCCTCGCCATATCGTCAGGGAGTCTGCCCTCCACAAGCTCGACAACATGCTTGCCGATGTTGGGGAGTAGTTTGAAGCTGTGGCCACTGTCCCCCGTGGCCAAGATGAAGTTCTTCCACTTGGGATGCTCGCAAATGAGCAGGGCCGAGTCTGCCGTGTCTGTGCACCAGCAGAGGGCTCGGTTGAACAGCGGCTTTTCTTTGAAGCGAGGCAAGAAGGTCGAGATGGCCCTCTTGATGCTCTCCTCGGATGCATCGGGGTAGGTGTCGGTCGGGTGCTTGGCGTGGGAGCGGGGGACCGAGACGCGCTTCGGTGCGGGCGCGCCGTACGGCTGGTGTTGCTTGAACCGGGTGAAGCCGGGGAACTCGTCGCAGACCTTGATGACGCGGTGCTCGTTGGGCTCGAAGAAGAAGCCCACGTCGCCGTTGTAGACGACGGGGCAGCCCCTGTACTCGGCCGCCTCCTCGGGCGAGAGCTGGATGTGAGCGTACACCCACGCCTTGGAGCAGCACTGCTCCTCCAAGTCCACCAGGGCAGGACTCCATGCCCCGGCCGCCAGCACGACTCTGTCTCCGTAGTACTTCGTCCCGTCGACTGTCTCCACCCCCACGCACGTCGTGCCGTCCTCGGCGAACAGTGGGCGTTTGAACGAGCCAGCGCCACCGAACCCAAATTTGACGCCCTGCCTCTTCAGTTCCTCGCCGATGGCGTTGATGGCCTTGGCGGCCGCGAGCCAGCCTCCGTCGCGGCTCCAGATGGCTTTCCACCCCTTGATCTGGTCGCGCTGCAACAACGGCGCCTTGGACAGGATGGCATCCTCGCTGTCGAGCCACTCGTGCGTCTCTTCCAGCCCGGCATTCGCGTCGAGAAGCGCCTGGTACTCGCGGCGGAGAGCGGCGATGCCCTCCTCGGTGCTCTCACAGTCAAGACGCCCAGTGTTGTGGAAGAAAGGCCGGAAGAGCTCGTCATTCTTCCACATGTCCCTCGACTCCAGGCTGAGCTGCAAATCCACGTCGTTCCGCAGGCGGATGCCCATAATCTTATTCAGGTCATTGCCGGCAGACTGCGCCGAGGGGATCGGGTAGGTGTCGAGCACGGTGATGTTGGAGGGTGTGTATCCGGCCCGGAGGAGATGCAGTGCTGTCGACGAGCCGATCGTGCCGCCGCCGCCCACGATGATGACTTTTGTGTCCTTTCGAGATGCAGCCATGGTGATGTCGTGTCCTTCCTCTTGGCGTCCCAGTAACTCGACGGCGCAAGGCCAAGTGGCGGTGCAGTCTGAACTTTCAACTTCGCAGGGCAGAGAACTCAGCTCAGTACGAAGAGTCCTACTAACGTTCTTGTGACCTTTACCGCTGGTGATGCTATCCGATTGCTTGACTAATGCCTACTCAAACCTAATTAGTATATCTCAACCACAGTCAGCCCGCATCCCGACGTCGCTGGACATCAGCAGGAAACGAATGACACCACGTCGTCTTCGTCGTTTCGAATTGCCAATCTGGCGGGAATCCCCGCTTATACCCGTATCTATCCCCATCTCGATCCACTGCTGACCCGCAAATGCCCCACTTGATCTCCTCCGATCCGCTTCCGGCCGCCGCATCGAATTTCCGTAACAGGCAACTCTGCAGCAGGCGCGCCCGAGTCGGCTTGCCGACGCGATACCATCAAGCCGGTAAGCCGCCTATCTCGGGACCATGAACCCAATAATGACCTGGATCTGGGCCTGCCAAAGCGGTAATCTGGGGTTGGTAACCCCCGCAAATCACTCCGGCCCATGATTGCCGCTGATAAGCTTGGCTGCCGGTTGCCCGGTACCCACTCCGCGGAACGAAGCTGACGAGCTCGCCGGATGGTGTATTGTACGACTATTGAACGCTACTATGTGACTCAGATATAATGTTGGACAGCAAGTCATTCGATTCCGACGTGCCCTTCCCCTCCTCTTCTCCCCATCCTCAGTCGCCGCTCTCCTGATTCCCACGTCGGCCCTTCCTTTACCAAGATGTCCCGGTCAGACGCTGCTCCTCTTCCTCCCAAGACCCACGCGTCGAGCGGGAATGATGCCGCCGCTGCCGGTCAGCTAGGGCAGGCCCCATACGATGCCGGGACGGGCGAGGTCATCAACATGGACGAGTACCGCCGAACCGTGCCATGGTGGAAGCGCGCCTATAAGCACAGTCTGACGCAGATGATGCTGCTCAGCGTGCAGGCCTTCTGTGGCCCGGCCATGTGGGACGCCATTGCAGGTCTGTAGCCCCGCCCCTTATTATCGATATCAGGAACCTCCCACCACCATGTAATGTACAAGGGTAGTAGTGTCTAACTGTTCAAGTTTGTTAGGTCTCGGCGGCGGCGGTCTTGCTACTCCGCAAACATCCAACATCTCGTACGTCACCACGCCAACCACTTGCCGGCCAAGTCTCACATCCCTTACCTTATCTAGTCGACCCGGTGGCTGACTACAACACCATGTTGTCTGATGCAGGAACGCAATCAACTACGCAGCGCTTGCCCTCGGTTAGTAGCTGCCATGTATTCCCTCTTCTGAGAACCATCTTGTCTGACGGTGGGCCTATGGGACAGTCTGCTTGATTGGCGGTCCCCTCGTCAACAAAATCGGCATCAAGTGGGCTCTGGTTATCGGTGCCGTGACCTTCCCCATTCAAGGCTCGGCGTACTACTGCAACAGCGCCTTTGGCAACCAGTGGGTCAGTTCATTCTCCTCGACAAGGCAGTCTATCGAGCATTGAAGACTGCCTAGAGCCTAACTGCCTCTAACACGGTCTAGTACCTGATTTTTGCTGGCTTCGTCTCTGGCATTGGAACCGGCTGCTGGTATGTTGCCGAGGCCGGCGCCATCATGTCGCTGGCCCCCAGCGGAGCCCGGGGGAAATATCTTGCCCTATGGATCGTGTCAAGAAACCTTGGGCAGCTCGTTGGCGGCGCTATCAAGTATGTCATCACAGATCTGTTCGCGCTATGTCACTGTCAAACAGTACTGACAAACCATGTCTTCGTGCCCGCAGCCTGGCCAAAAACCACGAGAAGGGCGTTGACGGCGGCGTCACCCCAGACACTTACATTGTCTTCATCGTCATCCAGTGCCTGGCGTGAGTGATACACGAACTCCTCCTCCTTGCCGCCATCAACCAGAATCACTGACTTCAGTTTGTTTTACAACAAGTCTGCCCTTCGCCTTCCTGCTCTCCCCCCTTGAGAAGGTCGTCCGGTCGGATGGCACCCGCATCCTGGTCTCGGAGAAGCTTAGGTCGCGAGACGAGTTTAAGCTGATCAAGTCAACGCTGACCTCTCGCCTGATCCTCCTGTCGGCCTTCTGGGCGCTGTGGTCGTTCTTCTACAGGTATGGTTAAGTTCTTCTTCCCCGTTCGCGAGGAAGATCGGGACTGACCTTGACTGACAAGCGGCACCTGGTCTACGTACCTCGCCACGTACTTCTCGACCCGAGCGCGTGCGCTTTCCTCTCTCATTTCGCCCTTCTTCTGCATGTGAGTCGCCAACTTCTTTGCCCAAGAGTTACGAGTTTGAGCTTGGACTTACACGGGAATTCCCAAATTCAGCATCGGATGTTTCGGCCTCGGCTTCATCCTCGACCTCAAGGGCGTCAGCCAGCGGCGCCGCGCTCAGCTGGGCCTGTGGACTGTGGTGATCCTGAACGCCGGGGTCTACGTCTGGTCCATCGTCATGCAGGTCGGCTTCAACCGCCACAACCCCGGCCACATCGACTGGGACGAGCCGCTCTACGCCAAGTCCTTCCTGCCCTACTTCTTCGTCCAGACGACGGGCCCGCTCTCGCAGTCGTACATGTACTGGCTGCTGTCATCCTTTGCGACGGATGCCCAAGGTGAGTGCCCCTGACTTGGCGCCGAATAGTAAGACGTGAGAGGTTAGGAGTAGAAAGAGGCTAAGATGCAATGCACCCAGCCAACGTCCGGAACGGGGCCGCCTTTCGCTGTCTCGAAGCGGTGGGGCAGGCCATCTCATACGGCATGAACACCCAGATCGAGGCCAGCCCGCTGATAGGATTGTAAGTTCTCGGGTCTCCTCGGTTCCCACTTGGCTGTGACAAAAGTTTTGCTGACCAAACTCCCTAAGCATCGTCTCCTTCGCCCTCATGGCTGTTGCCCTCGGCCCGATGCTTCTACTTGTGCGCTCGACCCCTGAGAGGATCCCGGCAGATGTTGTTGTCGAGGAGCAGGAGAAGGCCCTGCAGGGCAAACTAGACGGATTCAGGGCGGAGGAACGTCAATCGGCGGTCTAAGGGACAGCTACCTTATTGGCACGTTCGGTGCATGGATGGGGATATGGTACAGGTATACCACTACCGGCGAATGAAACCCAAGGTCGTGTCCGGATAGTCGGAAGTTGGGGTACATTCACATTACCTAAGTGATGTTGAGACGCCCACAAACATGCTCGGACTGGATGCTATTCTTGATTAAGAGCCGGTTTCAAGGGTGCTTAGCCGTGATATTCCTGCCTGCCGATTAGGTTCTCTTTCCGTGACCGATGACACATTTGGGAAGGTCTGGTCTAGGTACTCGCAGGATGGAAGCTTGACCACTCGTATTGTGACTTAGTATCATCTGATGTACGCCAAGATCCCTAGTTGGGACCAACTTCCTATTGTTGTCGTACAACAGTGTGATGGTTTCAGGGTCCATAGACGAGATCTCCTAAAACGGCCACTCCATTCCCAGCCGCGGGCGGACCTTCCAGGTTGGGGCGGGAGCAGCTGGAGCGGCGTTTGCCGGCCCAACGGGGAAGGCCGGCCACTGGTGAGTATCGGCTTGTCGGGTTGAACGGGTCCGGATTCTAGAAGTTCAAACGGCGAGGCATAAAAACAATGTGAAAATCCGGGGATGGGCTTGGCTCAAAGGTGCCTGCTCCACAAGCCCGGGCCAACGACCCTTGGAGCAGTTTTCAACGTTACACGAACGTGACTGCCGATCTAGGTGGCTCCATTTCAAGCAGCGCACGGACCACTCGGGCTCAAAATCGGTCGGCTTGGCTCGAGCTTGGTTAACGGCTGACAATTGCACGACGTCCATCGCCAACACTGCACTAATTTACTAGTAGGAAGCTTGGCTACAGATTTCTGGCACTAAGGCCCGTAGTCACGACTATATTGTAAAAGTGCAATTGAACCAGTTCGATGGAAACATGTTGTTTTGACATACGATGAGCCCACCCCTGGGTGGTTGCCATAACCGGGCACTCCGGGCTTGGCTCTGGGTGTTCCAGATGTAACTTTTCAGAACCGTGGAACTTTGCAGTTGTTCTCTCGTAAAAGCTCCACCGCCAGCTCCAGCTTCGGTGAGGCAAGTGGCGATAGGGTGTCCATCTGAGTCCACCTCCCAGCGAGACCGAACGAAATCAACTGCCATGCACCCCAGGCGGCATCGGCTGCGACTCCACCGGCTCCACGAGTTCAACATGTTCAGTCACGTTGAGGCGTTTTGTAATGTGTCATTCCTCCGATCGCGGACGATCGCGGCGAAATCTGCGTGTTCTCGTTCCTGAGGCAAGATCGGACGAACCGCCTCCCCTTTTTATTTATTATTCTCGCCCTGGCCACCTCCATTCCCCAGATTTTCTCCGATTCGACTCCCGATCTTCGTTCTCGAGTGCTCGACAGCCTCAACCTAACGTTCAGCCCCTAAAAGCTTGGCTTGTTAGCGCCTGGCGCAGCATCAAACGCTGACCTCCGCCGCCAAAGCTTGGGTTTTTCTCACTCCGCGAACCTCCCACCCTCAACTTCAACATCGGAGGTTCCCACTCGCCGTCCCGTCTCGATGGCGTTAAATATGGCAGTTTCTGGCGCCGTTCCAGATGCCATCTCAGAAAAGAAGCAAGACGATGCACAACACAACCTCGAAGCCGGGAGCACACGCATCGAACCCTGCCCCGTCGCCTATCCCCCAGATGCTGAGGAGAAAGATGGCTCGGTGGAGATCAACTACCACACCCTCACGTGGTGGTATGTTACTTACCTTACTTACCTGCCCAGCAACGTAGTGGTCACCGCATTTTTGGCCTTCAAGCTGACTCTCGTTCACTACCTTAGGCAAGCCGGAGTCGTCATGATCGCCGAGACGGTGTCGCTGGGTATTTTGTCGCTCCCCGCCGTCGTGGCAACGCTCGGCCTGGCGCCCGGAATCGTCGTCATGGTGGTCATGGGCGTGCTGTCGACGTACGCGGGGCTCGTCATGGGCGAGTTCCGGAAACAGTATCCCTGGGTGCAGAGCTTCGGCGACGCCGGCGAGGTCATGGGCCGGTCGATCGGCATGGGCAAGGCGTTCCAGGAGGTGTTTGGCTGGGCGCAGACCATCTTCCAGATTTTCGTCATGGGCAGCCACCTGCTGACGTGGACCATCTGCATGAACACGCTGACCAACAGCGCGGCGTGCACCATCGTGTGGGGGGTCGTCGGCCTGGCCATCTTCTGGGCGCTCAACACGCCGCGCACGCTGAAGGCGGCGGGCTGGTACTCGTTCGTGTCGTTTGCCTCCATCTTCAGCGCCGTCATGGTCACCATGGTCGACGTGGCCATCGAGAAGCCCATCGGCACGACCAGCTTCGAGGTGTCGCGCGCCATCGGCTTCACGTCGGCCTTCCTGGCCGTCACCAACATCGCCGTCGCCTTCAGCGGCCACTCGTGCTTCTTCGCCGTCATGTCCGAGCTCAAGCAGCCCAACGACTGGCCCAAGGCGCTGATGCTGCTGCAGGTCTGCGACACGGTGCTCTACATCGTCGTGTCGGTGGTCATCTACATCTACGTCGGCCCGGGCGTGCCCTCGCCCGCGCTGTCGGCCGCGGGTTCCGCCGTCGTCCGGAAGGTCATCTGGGGCATCGCCATCCCGACGATTGTCATCGCGGGCGTCATCTACGGCCACGTCGCGGCCAAGTACATCTTTGTGCGCGTCTTCGCCGGCACCAAGCACGTGGCCAAGCGCACGATGCTCGGCTGGCTCGGCTGGCTCGGCATCACGGCGGCCATCTGGGTCGTCGCCTGGGTCATCGCCCAGTCCATCCCCGTCTTCAGCAACCTGCTCGGCCTGGTGTGCGCCCTGTTCGCCAGCTGGTTCTCGTACGGCATCCCCGGGTCGCTGTGGCTGTGGATGTACTACGGCGAGTGGTTCACGAGCCCCAAGCGGATCGCCCAGTTCTCGCTCAACGCCCTGCTGATGCTGGTCGGCCTGATCCTGTGTGCCCTGGGCTTGTGGAGTTCGGGAGAGGCCATTGCGAGGGATTCCGGGACGGATCCCTGGAGTTGCAAGAGCAATGCCGCGTAGTTACTGGTTACTATATACCCCTGTTGATGATGTTTTTCTAATGAGATACCTACTACATGTTCCGCCTTTTGTGCTTCACGTTCACCAAGTCAGCCTGATGGTGAGCCTAATAAGCCAACTTGGAAGGCCACATGCACCCGTCCAGCGGCTAAGACTGCGCCACCGCCACATCCCCCCTCATTAGCAACTCTGTTCCAGCACGCGCGCGTCTAACAACGGCCATGGTATTTCTGCGTTGTCCTGTCTGCCTCCGACTTGTGAGAACTTCCTCCTATCATATCAGTACCCAACATCTTAGCTCCTCCGGGTCCACGCTCCTCCACAAATCGACATGAGCTCATCCTATTCGGCACTTAAAAGAGCCGCCGAAGATGCAGGCCTACCGCTGCGATACCCCAAGCAGCAAAGGTTCGACCCCACCTCCCCGCTGTGCGAGGGCTGTCAACAGCTCGACCTCGACGCCGCCTTCGAGAACGCCCTGAGCAAGTTCAAAGCTGTGCGAGAGGGCAGGCTCAAACGCCCAGAGGAACTAGAACACAACGCTGGGGGTACCTATTTCTACATCGACGCGATCTTCGCCCACGGCTTCGGAGACCGGCTGGCCCGAGACTCGACCTGCCCGTTATGCACCTTCTTCCGGTCCATGAGGATCCAACCGGGGAGGCACGAACGGTACAAGCTTCTCGCATTCCCCAGCAGCGAGAGCTGGCTGTGGCGAACCGATGTCTTGCGGGAGAGCCCGGCCTGGGCGGATCTGACCGATACGGCGTTTATGGCTGTTGTGCCCGACCTGGAGACGCTTCCGGTCGTCGCTCACGAGGAGCACTGGATGGTGAAGGACATTCCTCGGACGGGCGTGATATACCGACTGCGGGCGGATGAGGACCGGAACGTGGATGCCGACATATTAGTCCGGCCCAAGGAGTTGCAACCGGAGGCGAACCTGGCTCTCGCGAGGGACTGGCTTGCGCTATGCCACAAGCACCATAGCCGTGTTTGTGGGAAGCGAGGCCACCACCAGCCCGTCGAACGGGGCTTTCGGCTGATTGACTGCCTGACGGACCCTCCCAGAGTTGAACCTCACCCCTGGGGCACCAGGTACGCTGCTCTGAGTTATGTGTGGGGCATCAGCGATGCAGACAAGGCAGATTGGCCGAAGACTGTCCTGGATGCTGTCGCAGTGACCAAGGAGATGGGACTGCGGTACATCTGGGTCGACAGGCTCTGTATCAACCAGTCCGATGAGAACGAGAAGTTGTACTTGATTTCGAAGATGACGACCATCTACGAAGAAGCAGAGCTCACCATCGTAGCGGCTGCCGGCTCAGGGGCTGCACACGGACTGCCGGGCATCCGTTCAACTCCTCGTACACAGCAACCCAGCTACACGTTGGACAGTGGGAGCGTTCTCCTCTCCTCTCTCCGTGACGCCCGCTACGACATTTATGAATCAGACTACTGGACCCGCGGATGGACCTACCAGGAAGGCGTCCTCTCCAATCGCCGGCTGGTCTTCACTCCGAATCAGATCTACTGGGAGTGTCGGAACATGGCAGCCCAAGAGAGCATGGCCATTCCCCTCCTCCATCAACCATCGTCCGAGGAGGAGGAGGACGAGGAGGAGGCAGACGACAATCTAGTCATGGCAGACTTCATGATCACGGGAATATTCAAGGGCGACGCCTACACCGGCGGCTTCCTGAGCGAGAGCAAAGGCGTTTCCATCCCGCTCGACGAAGACGACTACCGCATCGACTACGGATTCCCGTTGTACCTCGAAGCAAGCACCCGGGCACAACTGCGTGGCCTCAACGAGCACATCCGCGCCTATTCCAAGCGCAGACTAACCTACGACTCGGACGCCCTCCCGGCGTTTATGGGCATCACAGGGATGTACAAGCGCACGGCGGACCTGCACCTCCTGTACGGCCTCCCACTCTGGCTCGGGACCATCGCCGGCGTGCACTCCGGCCCTCAGATTACCTTCGCCCTGACAGTCAGCGCATGGTACCACCGCAGTGGCCAGCACAGCACGTTCGTCTCGGAGTCGTCCTGCCGCCGCAGAACGCACCTCCTCCCATCGTGGTCCTGGGCTGGCTGGACGGGTGCACCCGTGACCTGGCGCGCGCTGCCCAACAACGAGCACTGCGCGCAGATGGCGGACTTGATCGATCTTCCCGATCAGCCGTACGACAGGGAGCGCAACCGGCTGCTCTGGGCTGCAGACACGTACCTGTACCACCAGGGCGAGCGTGGAGAGGCCATCAGGCTGCGAGATCCCTCCTCCGCCGATCGTCTACGCTGTCTGGATCAAGAGAAGAAGAAGACTCTAATTGGACTCCATAACCACTTCGTTCTCAAGTACTTCATCCGCCACGAGCAGACGCAACAAAGAAAGTGGACGTGGGTCCGTATGGCGGGCAGAGTCGGGCGACATCAGCGGTACGGAGAGAGCTGCGACTGGGTCGAGAGGTGCTACCGGATCGCCGGACGGCTGTGCTACGTCTATGTGAGTGACGCGATGAGCGAGCAGGAGTGGACGGCGAAGCATGCAAGCGGCGAGATCATCAGCGTCCTGATGTTTGCTGGTCGATACCTGGCCGAGGAGAACACGGGACATGGAGGAGCCAGGTTCCTCACGTTGCGCAGAGTGGAAGGGGCGGAAGAGGAGACGTGGGAAAGAGTTGGGACGCTGTTCCTCACTATTCCCAAGGTTTCGTTGGATAAGTGCGCGGACAATGAGGGACTTCTGAAAGAGATTCCCGTGCGGAAACGGCAGGGTATCGTTGTGATTCAGTGACAGGACAGCGAGGGTTGAGGGACAGGATGGTCGGACTTCTTTGCACTTACATGCAATTGCTACTATGAGTGCACATTCGATTGAATGCTTTGGAAAGCAAGTAGGCGCAATGGTAGATGTATTATACATTGGTATGTTCCACGCTCCCTGTGCTTGATAACGAATAATATATTAATATGACAATTGAAGTCTGATGATGATAATACCATTGGACAGAGACTGTCAAGAACCACACATGCCCGAGAGCCCGAGACCACCATGGCAGAATCAGCCGTGATTTGGCTTAACCTACGGACTGTGTCTCTCCATAACCAACGCCAAGGAGCTTTATAGTTACTTCCGTTTGCAGTACTCGGCCACTTTCCATCCCAATTTCTTTATCATCCGAACTGTTGCGTGGAACAGTGCGGGGTGGCGTCCGGTTCAGGTGTACATACAGTAGGAGTCCTACTGTGATTCGTTGCGTGGGGCGGCGTCAGTTCAGTTGTACAGTAGAAGTCCTACTGTAACCCGTTGTGTGGGGGCGCTCGAGGGGCCGAGGGAAAGGTTGTCTGGGCGCAAAAGCTTATCGACAAGCCAATTCTGACGTCAGGCTCGTCCCGCTTACCCTTCCGTCCCAACAATCCTACCAACCGCAGGCCCAATGACAGACGCGGCCGTGCTCCCACAAGGGGGAAAGGCGTTGATTCCGCAATGTGGGTTCAGAATGATGAGATCGACCCCCACATTTTCCTTGTTTACGGTCCCCTGAGGCACTGTATGTACCCTGTACATACTGCAGGACCTGATTTCCGCTGTTGATTTTGCCCCCAAAGTACCGTATACATATCCTACAGGCTGCCCAGAAATGCCCTGACGATCTTCCACCTCTTTTGTCTCTCCCACGTTCGACCTTTCAGCTTGTGCCCAGCCCATTCTTCCCTTTGCGAGATCTCACGTTTGATTTATTTCCGGTAACGGGTCACACAATGTCGAACCGAACTTCCCTCGACCGGCCAGCGTCCGCCGACCGTAAGGATGCGACCGCCAGCGGCGGCGAACGGCAGCGACGGGCGTCTGAGGTGCCGTCGCCAACGGATTGGTCGTCGTGGTTCGGCGGCCAGCGGGTCACCATCGGGCCACGCATCGGGCCGGTCCTCACCAGCGTGTCCCTCGGCGAGGCCTCGGACACGGACCAGGAGCCCCAGGACAGCACGGCCATCCTGGAGAAGCAGCTGGCACTCGAAGACGGCCACGCCATCAAGTACCGGACGTGCAGCTGGCAGAAGACGGCCGCGCTTCTCTTCTCCGAGTACATCTGCCTGGCCATCATGAGCTTCCCGTGGTCCTACAGCGTGCTCGGCCTGGTTCCTGGGTTGGTGTCGCCAAGGTTTCCCTCTTAGCTGCAAGTACGGAATCGCTGACACTCGGCTAGATTGATTCTGACGGTTGTCATTGCTGGCATCGTGCTATACACGTAAGGCCCTACCTTTCCCCGCTTCCATTTGCGACTTGTTGATTCCTAACCGCCTCGTGCAGATCGCTGGTGCTATGGGAATTCTGCCTGCGCCACCCGGAGGTCCGCGATGTCTGTGACATTGGCCAGATGCTGTTCTGGAACAAGGAGTGGGCGTGGTGGGCCACCGCCGTGATGTTCATCCTGAACAACACCGTATGTGACCCCTAGCGTTGTCTCGCTACCTTATACACAGTAGCTTGATTTTCTGCTGACACGATATTCCCTGCGCAGTTCATCCAGGGTCTGCACGTTCTGGTCGGGGCCAAGTACCTCAACACCATGACCGAGGCCGACAACGTGGGATGCCGGACCGTCAGCTTCGGCATCGTGGTGACGCTGATCTGCTGGCTCTGCTCGCTGCCGCGGACGTTTGACATGCTGTCCAAGCTGGGCACCGCGTCGGCCTTCTTCACCTTTGTGTCGGTCCTCCTGGCGACCGTCTTCGCCGCGGTGCAGTCGCGCCCGGCGGGCTATGACGGCAGTGATCCGGTCGTCACGGCCGTGCCGGTCCTCGGCACGACCTTCGTCAACGGCATGGGCGCGTTCCTGAACATCAGCTACACGTTCATCGGCCAGATCACGCTGCCGTCCTTCATCGCCGAGATGAGGGACCCCCGCGAGTTCCCCAAGGCGCTCTGGGCCTGCACCGTCGCCGAGATAGTGCTCTTCAGCGTCGTCGGCGCCGTTGTGTACGCCTACACGGGCAACCAGTACATGACGGCGCCCGCGTTCGGCTCGCTGCAGCCGCTGTTCAAGAAGGTGGCGTTTTCGTTCATGATTCCGACCATCATCTTCCTCGGCGTGCTGTATGCGTCGGTCTCGGCCCGGTTCGTGTTCTTCCGCGTCTTCCAGAACTCGCGGCATAAGAACGAGCACACCCTGGTTGGGTGGGCGACTTGGGCCTCTATCCTGCTGGCCACCTGGATCTTGGCGTTTATCATCGCCCAGGTGATCCCGTTTTTCTCGTCCTGTATGTTTACCCTTTTCCTTCTTCCTTTCTGTCGACCCGGCTGACCTGTCTTGTCCAGTGCTGTCTCTCATGAGCTCTCTCTTCGACAGCTTCTTCGGCTTCATCTTCTGGGGCGTCGCATACTTCCGGATGCGGCGCGCCGACGGAGGAGTCTCGCTCGTGGGGGAGCACACGGTAGCCGGCTACCTACTTGCGGCGCTCAACGTCGCCATCATCCTCATTGGGGTCTTCTTCCTCAGTGTGGGGACGTACGCGAGCGTCGAGAGCATCATTCTCGAGTTCGAGAGTGGGACAGTGGGCAGTGCGTTTTCTTGCGCCAGCAACGGGCTGTGAAGCCGGGCTGGCGCAACGCCAAGGGGCCAGGAGGCAGGCGTGGCGGGGCGGCTGATGGCGAAGGGGGCTGGCGGGATGGATGGAGGAGAGATACCCAGGCTTTCGTGTCTGTCTTGGATAGACAGGCACGCTAATGTTTACGCCTTGCTGCCCTGCGCCCTCTGACTGGGACTGTGACTGCTGCATCGCCCAACGTGACAGTGTCAGATTGGATGTCGTCCGCGACGCACACGGTCGCAAGATCATATGTTCGTACCGCCCAAACAACTAAAGGCGAATGGGCCTCGCATGTTAGGTGTGTCTCTAGGGGACTATGCCGGATGTTGTCTGCTGCCGGAGTCGAGTCCTTCAGTGTCTGAAAGGCTCTTAGCTTATGGAGACCAAACTTGTTAATATCCGGTCACTCGGGATTCTTAAGCTGGGTTCTCATACCATTCTGTCCAACAACCTTTCACAGATCCCTAATGCTGTGGATTGTTTCCAGTCGTGGCGCCCTCCGAAGTCATCGCCCATTGATCGGAGACATGGCATCAAGCACCGGAAGCTTAAGACACTACGGCGACTCCTCAGCCGCCTTCTGCACGGGTATCTTATAACTACAAGCATCTCCGCCGTCGCTATACCTCACCTGCTACCGTATACGCGACACGGCCATGGGCGGGGAAATGGATGCTGCTGGGTGAGGAATCTCCGCTTGCGTATTCGTATATGGTGTGGAGTTCCGTCTAATCGCCATTGAGATTGCTTAAGCTCTTTAAGTCTCCTAATAGCCATTGGAACCTGTGTCTCAAGCCCGGTGTTCACCAATCGGATCATTCATCACAGTTACCCTGCCAAGGGCAGTATATGAACATTTGACCATGTTTTCTAAAGACATGTCCTGTCCTGAAGAAGCAATGTGAGAGGGGGGAACGGAGGCTCAAGTGGGAACCGTGGGTCTTCCGTCTTTCTTTCCGTAGTTGTTGGCTCTCTAGCGCGTCCTAGGAAGGAGCATGTGACAATATTAAGGTAGTGGTGGCCGGGGTTGCCGGCTGTTAGCGTCAATGGTTAGAAGGAGCCACCCTGGGGTGTAACCCTACGGTCATGAGTTAGTTGAAAGGGTGATATTCCATTTCTTTGCCTTCGACGAGTTGCAGATCCCCTTCCCTCAGATATGAAGAACGACATTCTTACATCATCCACGTCCTTAGCATGAGTATCCCGTGGTAGCCGTCATCACTACCAGCCTGGAACGGATAGTATCAGGGGGTCAGACTACCTAGTATCATCAAACTCTAACGCAGATCGATATCTATCTCGAATCAAGGCCTTCCACGATGGATATCGCTGGACCTAGATCTCACAGGCCCAAGAACAGTGCTCAAGGCGTCAACTACATCTATATCCCCGACACCCTTGCTCAGTGGCCTTGGCCAAGAGCTATTAACGCTCACTACGAGGAATGCAAAGCCGCGTCCGAGAGTTGGATCCACGGTTTCAATGTGTTCAGTCCCGAGGACCAAGCTGCCTTTGACAGCTGCAACTTCAGCTTGCTCGCATCACTGGCATATCCAAATTTGGACAAAGGTATGTATCGCCGCGCGGTGTGTTTCTGTACCATATCTCGTCTTACCACCGTACTAGAGGGATGCCTACTCGGATGTTATCTCATGAACCTCTTCTTCGTCTTCGATCAGAAAACGGACGTCTCCAACGAGCATGAGACACGGTACCTGGCTGGCTGCATTATGGACGCTCTCCGTCATCCGCACAAGCCACGACCGCCGGGAGAATGGGTTGGAGGATTGATTGCTCAGCGGTATGGCTTCGCGCATTTCAATACGTATGCCGATGGTGCTTGCCAAAGACTCTGACGAGCCTCTGCTTTAGATTCTGGCAGGAGGCCATCAAGATTGTCACCCCGCCGTGTCAAAGACGCTTCATCCAGTACTTTGACCGCTACACGGAAGCTGTTATCCAACAGTCCTCCGACCGTACCGAAGGCCGGGTCCACGACATCGACAGTTTTACCAAGCTTCGGCGCGAGACCATCGGAACCCTCCCTTCCTTCGCGCTTCTCGAGATCCGTTTCAATATCCCCGACCACGTCATGGAGCATCCCACCATCCAACGTCTGACGGACTTGTGCACGGATCTGATTAGTATCGGGAATGACCTCTATTCTTATAACGTTGAGTGAGTACTAGTACTCCGCTACCCAGCCAACATACCCAAGCCTCTCGCGTTTGCTGAGCAGCTGGTGGCAGACAAGCCCGCGGTGACGAAAGCCACAACCTTGTCACGGTGACAATGACTACGCTGGATTGCATACTACAGGAAGCCTACAATCAGATCGGGATGCTCCATGACGCGCTTGCGGCCGAGTTCCTCGATCTGCGCAACAACATCCCATCGTTTCCGGAAGAAAGTGAGGCTGTGAACCGAGCGATTCGGGAGTATGTGGATGGGCTAGGGAACTGGGTCCGGGCCAATGAGTGCTGGAGTTTCGAGGTTTGTTTTTGCTTGGTCCGGGAAAGAAGTCGACTCGCTCACTAGGGTTTCGGTTAGGGCGGACGCTACTTTGGCTGCGATGGCGTGAGGATCTTGAAGGATAGGACGGTGGCCTTGACTCCCAAGAATGTGTGAGGCAATCATATTCATTGTCACTTTTGCGAAGCGTTAGAGCGCGCACATTCCTGCTCTCCTTGGGGCCAGGGGGGCTCCTGTTTTTCGGTTAGCAGCGAGTTCGATACCTGGTATGTTATCACCATTGTCGAGAGACTGATCTTCGTCCGGAACATGTTGGATATCTCATTAGTACCACCAGTATCTTGCGTCCGGAGTGAGGACCTTGTGGATTAACCGTGCTAGTATGGCGCCAGCAGAAGCTGGGGGCCTGGGGCATTCCTCCTAGAACAACAAGCCTAACGTTAGGTTGTGGATTTGCTGGACATACGGAGTACGGACTACTGTCCAACAGATCCACACTATACTCTTACCGGCCACAGGACAAAACACGCGCTTGCACAGTCAGCAATTAGTGTCCCAGTGGATCGCATCCTTTTCAAGACAACAGTTTCTTCACTTACCCCGCGTCGATACCACGTCAGCTTTTCGCTAGATGCCTAATGATATGACGCCCCGTCTAGAAATATCCACAGCATTGCCCACCAGACGGCGACATCATTGGCTAGATCGCGAAGTTATAGGTCACATTCCTGGTATACAGTCCGAAAAAATTGAGAGCTTTATTTAAATTTCAGTCTACACACTCACTCTCCCCTCACATCTCATCTACGCTTTCACCCTCTTTAATATTCACTTGTTATCTTTTCTCGCTGTGAGATCGTACGACATACGCTTCATACGATGGCGCCTCTCGTGTGGCTCATTACCGGCTGCTCCTCCGGATTTGGTGCCCAGTTCGTCCACTCCGCCCTTGCCCGTGGAGACAAAGTCATCGCGACAGGCCGCAACGCTGCCACAAAGCTCAAACACCTCGAAGGAACCGGCGCTTCTATCGTCGACTTGGACGTAACCCTGCCTGAGGACGACGTCAAGGAAATCGTTGATAGGGCGGTGAAAATCCACGGCAGGATTGATGTGCTGGTCAACAACGCCGGGTACGGTGTGTTCGGGGCCATGGAGGAGACAAGGCGAGTTACTTACCCAGCATAGACCTGGAGATGAGAGAGGACGGAGGGAGCTAACCATGGATGTCCACACAGTAACGAGGACTATAAAAAGCTGTTCAATGTAAACGTCTTCGGAGCACTCTCCGTCACCCGTGCCGTGTTGCCGTATATGCGGGCACAGCAGTCCGGTACCGTCGCCTTCGTTGGGTCCATGTACGCTTGGTGGACGCCGGGTATGGTGTCAGTGTATGGCGCCGCAAAGGGAGCACTCAGAGGTGAGTAATCCTACCGCGGCTGCCTGTTACTTGTCGTGGGCCCCGAGTAGCTCACACACTTGTTAGCCATTGTCGACAGTCTCGCCGCCGAGCTCGCCCCATTCAACATCCGCACCATTGACTTCGAACCAGGCTACTTCCAGACCCCGCTCACCGACGTTGCAAAGTTAAGCCAGTATGCTTCCACCAAACCGCCGATGGACGCGTATGCAGCACACCGCGCTGCGATAGTTGCTGTTTCGGAGGTAATGGATGGTAATGAACGCGGTGACGTCAAGAAGGGCGTCGAGCTAATGGTGGATGTGATTCGCGGTGAGGGGTGTGCTAGCGGAAGGAAGCTCCCTCCAAGATTGCCGATTGGGTATGATGCGGTGAAGGTAATTGAGGGCGCCTGCAGCAATATCCTCAAGGTTATCGATGTGTGGAGGAGCGACATTGTCGGGACGACCGATCGTGATGAATTTAAGGGTGGGGATCTCATCGAGTCCGTTAGCACAGTACCCGAGGTCGAACTGTAGGTACCTTAGATAAGAAGCCTCGCTCACATCCCTCGTATGACACAGCTACATTCCTTGTCCCAAGGTTGTTGCTGCCACGCAGGCCACAGTGGGGTCAGATCGCCTGCCGGTTCGAGTTGAACAACCCGATGAGCTCGTTGCCGTGTCTGTCATTCTTGCTTTGAGCTCACCAGCGGCAAGCTCGCTATAGTGGACTACCGAGGGTAGGGGACTTGCTACGTACTAGTATACTCAAGCGCACATGGCAGAATCACCCAGTAGGCACTAAGGTACTGAACGTCGTCCGATAGCCACATCTCTCTGATCGAGGCAGGGACGCCGAACGGAGGGAGTAGAATCTGGAACGAGGCGAAGGTCTTGGCTCTCGAGATGCCCCCACAAGGGGCCCAAGTCACTCGTTCTTGATTAAATGGGACTAGTGTAACTCCACTTTTACCGGAATAGGGAAGTACTCTCTGGTTGGTCACTTGGTGCAGCTGACGGTGTGTTCGTAATGGAACTTGTGATCGCAAGAGTGTCCAGCCTCATTTTGCTTGGTCAGCAACAACCTGAGCGGTACCAAAACTGTGAGGCTGGAAGGCCTGGGCTCAGGAGGTGTGTGATGATCCAAGCGGCATCACAATTCCCTTTTTGGGAGATCACTCTCCCATTGGCTGGGACAAATAAGCCATCCACAGAAGCCATCTCCGCCGACGAGATGATAGGGGCAAGGGGATGAGGGCACGAAATCTCGGTGGATGGGCTTCCATAAACATACCTAAGTTGGCTTTCATGTATTAGGCAGGGTGTGGAGATCAATTCGAGCGACTGGCGCAAGCTGTGTTGGAAAGACGGGAATCCCGAGGGACGGGGGAACGGGAAGATCATGTATAAAGATGGGCATCGTCGCCCCGGGTCAGCACTGGATTCTTATTATCACAGCAAGCAGACCAGTGCAGCAGACACGCGGGCAGCACACTCCTTGCCTTACCGCCTCCCCAAACCAACACACTTACTATTCAGTCACCTCGTCACCCTCCAACCAAACATCATGTCATCGGACAACGCGCTGGCCGCTCAAAAGCGTAACCTACCTCTCCTCGCCACGGGCGAAAACACCGAGGGCCGCACATACATCGTGACCGGCGCTAACACCGGCCTGGGCTTCGAGGCAGCCAAGCATCTCGCTTTGCTCGGCGCCTCCAAGGTCATCCTGGCCGTCCGCAACACGACCACTGGCCAGGCCGCCAAGCAAGAGATTGACACGGCTGCGGGGACGGTGGGCAAGAACGTCGTCGAAGTCTGGCCACTCGACCTGTGCAGCTACGATAGCGTCAAAGCGTTCGCCAAGCGGGCCGAGGCCGAGTTGGAGAGAATCGACGGGCTCCTTGAGAATGCGGGCCTTGCACAGGCGCGTCGCGAGATGGCTGAGGGCCACACTGTGCAGGTTACCGTCAATGTCCTGAGCACGTTCTTGTTGGCCGTGTTGCTGCTGCCGGTCATGAGCAGGAAAGGGAAGACATCTGGAAACCAGTCGCGCTTGACTATCGTAACGAGTAGCATGGGGTTCACGGTGAAGGATCAGTGGGAGAAGATCACCAAGGACCCATTGACAGGTATGGATGATGAAGGTTTGCATTTTATGCAGACGTGAGTGACCCCTTTTCTCTTCCCAACATCGGGTCTATCGGCTAATGGAGACGTTATACTCAGGTACTCGCTTACGAAGCTGGTCGAGAACCTTGTCGTTCACCACCTCGCCCAGTTGTTGCCAGTCGAGAAGACGGGTGTTATTATCAACACCGTCTGTCCCGGCCTCTGTGTGACTAACCTTGGCCGGGATGCACCACCCGATGTCATGGACAATCTTCGCCAGCTCCACATCCTATATGGTCGCTCGTCTGAGGACGGCAGCCGGACACTGTTGCACGGGGTTGTCGGAGGCATCGAGACTCACGGGAAGTATCTTGACTCTTGTGAGATTGCTGAGTGAGTACTATTGCTCATTCTGTATTTGGTCCTTTGGACCGGGCTGACCTGAGCGGTAACAGGGATACCGTCATGCCCGGCTGGGCGAAAAACGAGGATATGCAGAAGCGAACTTGGGATGTCATTGCAAAGGAGCTGGAGGCTGCTGATCTCGGCTGTGTAGCCAAGATGCTAGAGTGTGCTGTTTAAGTTTCTCACAGTAGAAAGGCATGTCTGGTACAAGTACTCCAACAGTAATCGGCATCTCAGATGGACACTACTATCAGACCACCGGGACCGAATGTAAACTCAATGCGCTACACCTCTCCCACAAACCCAGCCCCCTCTTCCCGTGCAACGCGTCAATCCACGGCCACCTTCCCAACACATTCACCGCATCCTCCCAAGCCACCAGGCCCAGAGCCGCCACACATTCTGCCGCCTTCGTAACAGCCCACTCTTCGATGTCACTTTCGTGGTACACCAGGGCAGCAACGCCAACAAAAGTCATCCACAACACCGATTCCCACTCCCAGCTATTACGCATAATACTCATTCTGCCCACAGAGCGAGCCGCATCACAAACCCAGCTCAAAGGCCCGCTGTTCATCTTCCCGCACCCGCCTCCTCTTAGAACGCTGACGATGAACGCCGTGAGACCGAGATATATCGCTTCCTCCGCCGCCGCCGGCCCGTCCGTGCAGTAACCAGTGGTGAGAGTCGCAGGCAGGAGTTGCGCCGTGTTCCACCGGTTTCGTGCTCGGAGCAGTGGCAACAGCGCCTGCAGCCGGTACCCGAGCAGGACGAATGTGCCGTGTACTTGAAGGCTGTTCAGCTTTTGGTGGGTCCCTCGAGAAGCGCCGTTTAGCAAGCGAGAGATATGGGTTGCTTGTCGGAGCAAGGCGACCAGAGCAGGGTATACCACGAGAGAAGACGGTACTAGGCTTTCAGAAAGTGTCGAGAGGTCGTCTGGGAGTGACAAAACGATGCCGTTGCCTGCAATGACCCGTTCGACGTCTTGAACTGCGAAGCGAGTGGGCATATCGAGGTAGAGGGAGTACTCGAGGTCGGCTCTGGATGGCCTATGTTAGAAAGATGAGTTTTGTTTGGATCCAAGAACAACCGTTACCTGAACATTCCCACTGTCAGCAAAGGCGAAGTCCTCGCGAGCTCGGCGACGCCACCGCGCATCTCCACGATGCGTCGTAGTCCGTCGAGGTGCACGAGACCATGCCGGTAGTTCCCGTCGTACCGCTCATACATGCCCAGCGTCAGGATTACGGTGATATTCTCCTCAGCGGCTGCGTTTGGTCCGGAGAGCCGGGCATTGACCATTCGGAGAGCCCAGCATATATGTCGGGCTTGTGCGGTAACCTTTTCTTCGTCGGTGGGAGAGTCAAGCCCGGCAATAAATAGTGCCATTGCTCCGTGGAAGTCTGTCGCCGGGTTAATGCTTTTGGGACCGAGGAACCCAGCCGGCGGGGACGTACAAGCTTCATCGAGAAACATGGGCTGAACCCACAAGTAGCCGAGTTCCTCCCGGTAGTCCAGTGCGGCATCTAGCACTGGGAAAGAACGTAGGCCGCTAATAAAAAGGATCGCTGTTGGAGCCTTCCGTCAGCGGCAATAACACAAGATCCCGAGGAGTAAGTATGCTCACCTCTCTGGATAAGCGCAAGGCCCTCGGACCCAGGCTTCTGCACTTTCTTCCAGTGCGTGGGTAGAAACGAAAGCGGTACCAGCGTAAGAATCGGCAGTCTCGCACTGCCATCTCCCTGGACAGACTCCGTACTCGACCCTGTTCCACGCTGATAGTTCGTCCTGGAGGGTCGGTTCAGCTTCTTCCCGGCATTGCGGCCCTTGGCAACATGACTCCGAATCTGCCTCCTGACGACCGCGTCGTCAGTATGCTTGGTGTCTACGAAATGGAATCTCATTCCGCTAATCACAATCTCAGCCGGATCAGCACTTTCGTGGTAGTCTTCGCTCAAATGCAATGGCTTCGAGAACGATGTTAAAGATTGCTAATAAGCAGCTACGGATAAGCTAAGCCATACGAAGTACAAGTTTACTGAGCTCGGACCCCGCTGTTAACTCCGAGGCTCCGACTCCGCATCTGCGGCCAAGTCGGCCATCGGCCAAGTCAGGCTAGCCCCGGAATCTCCTCTACGGCACGAATATAAGCATATAAAGTCGATTCATCTTTCTTCCCGTCTATACTATTGATCCCACGTCATGAGGAGGGTTCCGGGTCATGCATGGTTCCGGGCCAGGTTGTCCTAGCCCCCATCATTTCGAGGTACAGCTACCTCTGCTTTCCTCTGCCTAATCCCGGCAATGATGGCCATCGGGGTACCTGATAGAGAGCTTCACACCCGTCTTCTTTTCTACGATATTCACCATCACCGCCCCGATCGCCCCAGGGTTATGCGTATCATTCGCCTGCTCCCAGTATTCGACATCCGGATCCCAGCCCTCGTCTTCGTGCCACTCCCGCTTGTACCAGTGCTCGACCATCTCATCTCAGAAGCGGCACTGTGCTAAGTCGACGATGCGCGGTGTATGCGACTGCTTGTCCACGACCACGTTGCGCGGTGCACAGTCGTCCATGATGATGCCGCGTCTGTTGATCTCGTGCGCTGCATCAGCGGCCGTCTGGATGAGCTGTTGCCATGTCCTAAGGTTCCTTGGTAAGGGGGAAGCGATCATCAGGTCTTCTAGGCAGAATCCGTCGATGCGTTCCAGGAAGATACCCTTGACTTCATAATAGGGTGCTGCTTCCGGCGGCATGGTAGCTAGCTGGGTGGTCGATAAGCTCGACAAGCTCACATGGGCAAGCATACGCGGAACTAACCTGCCCTGGCAGTCCGCTAGGCGGTTATAGGCCTTGGTCTCGCACTCAAAGTACTCGATGCAGTCTTGCCATAGCGTCGCCTCGTACTTGGCAAGGCCGTCGGTGTGGTTGCCCTCGTCAAGAAACCCCCGAGCTGTAACGGGATAGTCCTAGGTCTCGTTTCTCCTCTTGAGATAGCGGAGAAACCTAGGCATCATCCCCACCTGACAAAGTCCTCAAACGCCGCCTCATTTTCCCGGGTGCGTAACACGATCTTTTTCCAGTGAATATCACGTAGACATGAGCCAAACCGACGGTCGTAAAGCTTAAGCACACAGTGGATAGACGGGCCGTGACCGGTTTGGAGGGTGACTGCCAGTACAACGGACATGGTCATCGAGAGCACTTTGTTGAGGGTGGCGGTAAGTCGGGACGGCAGATCGTGGGAATAGCTTTCGCACACTTGGGAGTTCCAGCGACTTCCCTTCTTCGTAAGGCGTAGAATTCAACGCGGCAGCCCTTTTAGTGGGAGATATTTTGGTTAGTGAAAACGGTCAGCGTCGAGAGCGCCCAGTTGTGCTTACATTGTGGTCTTTTGGGTCTGCGCTGGCTCAAGGGTGACAGGTTCGCGGCTGGAATAAGAAGTGATTGTATTTTTTTTGTGTGTGTATGTATGAGAGCAATGCAGTGGTGGTCAACTCTTGTTGGTGTTGCTACCGTACGAAAAACTGAAGTGTAAGAGGGAAAAGTGTGGCATGCGGGCACAGGGCTGTATGGCCATAAAGAGGTGTGTGGCGCACAGACCACACCTCACAGTGAGACTCAATAGTATGTGTGTGTGTATGGGTGTGCGTGCGATAGACAACAAGGTTCAATGATGAATACACGATTATGGGATGCAGTCGGCTCAATCAGAGAGAACAAAGAACGGCAAGTTGGAGAGGTCAAGTCGAAAAGGTTAAAGGCTGCACATGGTCCGCTTAACTGTTACACAACAGTTAGCCCCCACGCTGTTGGCTTCGGAAACCACCTACGGTAGGCAGCAGTCCAATTACCTCCACGGTTGGATGCTGAACGCCGATTGGCAACTTCTGCGGCCTACTGCAGCTGGAGGGGACCAAATCAGATGGATACAAACATGATTCTACAAACAGGGACATCAATGGCATTCCCAGGACGACATTTCTTTATTATCCACAAGTCCTCCAGGTTGTAAACCAGCTGTCTCCAATACCGCTCTCTTCGTTATTTATCGCAGCGAGTGGTACTGTGGTACTAAGCCAGGCTCCATCTTGCAACGCGCCCAGCCTCTCTTGCCCATCTCAGCGAATAGTACCTACTCGGATGGCAGTATTCAGAAGTGAGCATTCAGACGGCATGGCCGAAATCTCGGAGAGCAAACCCACATCTAGATCGGGTGATGCCAACGCGACCCAAAGACTGCAACCCAATACGCTCGTCAATGGATATCTCCTGGAACACCTCCCGATCTACCGCGAGCTTTGTGAGCTCCGGAGACAGGCAAGCACTGACCAGCTCTTCTTCACACCAGAACCCTATCCTCTATATTCCGTTGCTGACTGATAGAAAAACGATCAGGGCTGGCAAAATGAGGCAGGGGATACCCATTTCCAGCAGCAACGCCAGCGGGCCGACAACGCCGACGACAAAGGGAAGGTGGTATTCTTCAAGATGATGCGCGCCATTGGCCTTGAGCTGGACAGAGCGACGTCGGCCCTGACCATCCAGGGTGGCGGCAACTCGCAGCCCGCCATCCTGGATCTCTGCATGGCCCCCGGAGGTTTCTCGGCAGCCGCCCTCTATCGCAACCCATCCGCGCTCGTCCGCGGCATCAGTCTTCCCCCGTCCCAGGGTGGCCACGAGATGCTCCTCCGCGAAGCGTCCACGACGGATTCCGACGCTCAGGTCTACGTCTCCTTCCGCGACATCACGCTCCTAGCTGGCGAGATGGGCACGTCTGCATCAAACATCCCGGCCTCGCATCCTGAAGCTACGTCCTTCTCGTTTGACAGGCCGTTTTTAGAGCAGAAGTTCGACCTTGTGTTTTGCGACGGCCAGGTCCTTCGCACGCATGAGCGCCTCGAGTGTAAGTGGTCTTGGACCTTCTCCTTCTCCTGCCCGACAAACCACACTTCTCATACTTCCCGAAGTCCACTGGCATATATACTCACTCGCCTGATGCAGACCGGGAGAAACGCGAAGCCTCCCGCCTCCTGACGGCCCAGCTCGTCCTCGCTCTCCAGCGGATCCGCGAGGGTGGGACGATGGTCATCCTGCTGCACAAAGCCGACGTATGGCGGTCCGTGTCCCTGATGTACACATTCGCTACTTTCAGCGACAGCGTGGAGTTGTTCAAGCCGCAGAAACCACACGCGTTGCGCTCGTCGTTTTACCTGATAGCCAAGGGCGTGGGGCCAGAGCTTGATGCCGCGCTGGAGTCGGTGCGACGATGGAAGGAGATATGGACCACGGCGACTTTTGGGCTAGGCGGTACTGGTGAAGATGGGTCAGGCGATGAGGAGTCCGAGGTAGGACAGAGTGGAGAACACGCGGATGAGAAGGTCAGGGCAGTGTTGCAAGAGTTCGGGCCAAAGCTGGTGAAGATCGTAGAACCTGTTTTCTCGATACAGGCGAAGGCGTTGAAGAATGCGCCTTGGATGAAGAAGTAGCCCAATCAATCATTATTTAGTACCTTCCTATAGTTACATTGTCAGGGCCGTTGGTGTCCGCGATGGAATGGAACTTGATCCTGCAGGTCATGATCCCGTGAATTCTCGTGGCGACTTTAAAATGTCGCGAAGAGTACCACGTCTCCATGAGTTCTGGGCTTGTTGGGAATGGTTTCATCGCGCTAACTTGCAAGTTATGCGTCAGAGGGGTGTACATAATAAATGGAGGTGGCTCGTTGTCGGGGTTGTCGGGATCTACAATTCGCATTGCACCCCTCTATGACGTACCCTCCATTGATAGCAACAATATGACGTTACTTGACTATTACTGCAAGTTCCTGATAAACATAAAGTCAACGCTCGGGACGAATCAACCATCGTCGGCGTGAAGCTTGCTCAGAACTCGGGTGTCTCCTAATACTAATTCTTCATCCAATATGACCTTGGGCATCGACCTCGTTTCACCAGTGGGCGACAAGCTAGACTGGGAATGTCAAGAGCTCAAAGCCAAATTCCCTCGAACCAAAGAGGATATCCCGAAGGTCCCGAAGCCGCAAGAATGCTTATTGCTCATCGACGGCGAAGTCGTCAAGAGCAGTCAGAAACCAACTAATGTGCAGTCGCCGTTCGTCACCCAGGACCATCCCGATGAGCACATCGTCATCGGCCGGTTCGAGATGGCCTCGGAGCAACAGGCCATGCAGGCATTGGAAGCTGCAGAGCGTGCGTACATGTACGGGCGGGGCGTCTGGGCCAAGATGTCAATGGATGAGCGATGCAAGCGCATGGAAAGCTTTGCCGCCGACTTGGAGAGAAAGACAGACGATATTGCCGAACTCCTGATGTGGGAGATTGGCAAAACGGCGAAGGACGCCCGCTCCGAGGTCACGCGGACGGTGACGTACATTCGCACCGCGATCAACGAGGCCAAGGCACTCGTCGAGTCGGAGTCGCGGTGGCAGGAGGAAAAGGGCATCGTCTGTCAGATCCGCCACTTGCCCGTCGGTGTCGTCCTCGCCTCGTCGCCATTCAACTACCCCCTGAATGAGGCATACACGACGTTTATCCCGGCGCTGCTGATGGGGAACTCCGTGATTGTACGGGCTCCGCGGAATGGCGCCACGCCGCACTTCCCTACTCTCGAACTCTTCGCGAAGCATTTTCCCCGCGGCACGATCCAGGTCCTCACGGGTTCGGGACGCGAGATCATGGGAGCACTTGTTGGCACTGGCCGCATAGACGCCGTGGCCTTTATTGGTACAGCATCCAGCGCAAAAGGTCTCCTGAAGGGTGCGCCTAACCCGCACCGGCTGCGCGTTATGTATGAGGGAGAAGCCAAAGACGCCGCCATCCTCCTTCCCGACGCCGATGTCTCCGTCGCTGTGGACAGCTGCGTGTCAGGCATGACGTCGTTCAACGGGCAGCGCTGCACCGCCATCAAGATGATCTGGGTCCACCAGTCGCAGGCCGAGGCGTTCATCTCTCAGCTGGCAAACAAGATCGACAGCCTCGTGCCCGGCATGCCGTGGGACGAGAGCGTCAAGATCACGCCGCTTTGCGAGGACACCAAGCCCGGCTACATCCGGGAACTCATCACTGACGCCCTCGCGAAGGGCGCGCATATCGTCAACCGGACCGGCGGCCGATGCTACCGCACGCTCTGCACGCTGTCGATCCTAGCGCCGGTCAACAAGCACATGAAGGTTTGGAGCGAGGAGCAGTTCGGCCCCGTCACGCCTGTCGCAATCTACTCGGACCTGCAGGAGCCCATCGACTGGGTATCGCAGAGCGAGTACGGCCTGCAATGCGCGCTGTTCGGGTACGACGAGGCGCTCCTCGGCCGCCTGGTCGACGCACTGGCTTACCATGTCGGGCGCATCAACATCAATGCGCCCGATCAGCGGGGTCCGGATGTGTTCCCCTTTACGGGGCGCGGAAATTCGGCGCTAGGGATCCTAAATGCAACAGAGGCGCTGAATTTCTTCTCGGTGCCGACAATGGTGGCAGCTAAGACAGATGACGAGCGGAGTGTTGGGGCACTGAAGGCCCTGAACGGAGGTGACAAATGTAGTGTGCTATTCGGAGCGAACTAAGAGAAGCATTTGGATGTTATAATGGAGCACCTGCTCAATGAAACCTCCAGAGACAGAACCGATGGTTGACCCCTCGACAGCTAGGATGAGCTGGATGGCTGCGGTTCTTGGAAGTTGGCCCTGGTCCGGGTCAGAGTTCTCTTGCCGCATCACCGATGACGACACGCCACATTTCAAATTCCTGTCTTCCAGCTCATATCTTCCATATTCTGCACCTTCCCCTTCTTTCGTAGTCCTTCCTAACCCTCCCTTCCTGACTACAAACTTTGACCATTGTTTGTCCCACTTATTACCGGCAGGGTTACCGGTACTAACTGGAAGTTCACTACCTACTTGATTGTATGTAGAGGAATTACGTCATCCTGGTGGTTTATTCTCCTATCTTTCAGACACCAATAGTCCTTACCCTAGAAGGGCGCCCGACATACTCACTCGGCCTCGGTGCTTGTATACGTCCCAGCAAAAGCTGTCTCATTTCTCCAACAGCAAACACCCGGAGACCGCCACACAAAAGAACGCCATTCACCTTACCACACACCTACGGAGGTAGCAAAGGGACAATGTCGTCAACCGCCTCCATTCCACCGGAAGAAATCGCCAAAGCCGCCGAGGCGGCCAAGGCGGCCAAGCACCTGCAGGATGCGGCGGACACTCTTAAGGCACGGGCTGCAGCTGTCAAGGACCCCGCCGAGCGGGAGCGGCTGTTTCAGGCCGCCTACGACAAGGAGGTTGAGGCCCACGGGCAGAGCAAGAAAGCCCGGCTGATGGCGAGCGGGTGGGGGCAAGGCGCCGCGGCGGGAATCGGAGCCTCGAGCGCCATAGGCATGGGGCTCGGCAACCTCGTGGGCGTGCTTCTCAGCGGCGTTGTTGCCATTCCCGGCGCGCTAGTGGGCGCCGGCGTCGGGGCGCTGCACGGACCATGGTATAAGCCTTCTACTAAGAAAGCCGGGGAGGACAGTGCGTCGGGTGGGTTGCAGGAGGACGAGGAGGCGCACCGTGCTGTGATTGCCGCCGCTAAGCAGGTCGAGGAAGAGGAGCAGGAGCAGGAGGGGAAGAACGGTAAAGCGGCGCAAAGGGAGGAGAGGAACAAGGAGGAGGACGAGATGGCGAAGAGCAGTGGTGACATAGGGAGGTAAGTGAGGCAGCATACTTCGTCTGAAGCGCTATGTTGCCCGACTACGTCTTGGTCGGAGGTATCCGACCCTGCCTGACCAAGAATACCCGGAGCTTGACACGATACTGTCCTTCGTTCCTCCAGCTCAAACTCCCGTCCATGATTCGGTAAATCAGGATGTTTACAACTTCAAACCTGGCGACTAGTATTAATGTGAGAGATTTGATAGCACAAGCTAAAAGTAAGACTCTAAAAATATATGATGTATCTGTCAATACATTGTTTCCTCTGCTGATGCCATTTTATGTCGACGTACCCAAAGCAAAGACCCAAACAAGTCCCGGCCGATCCGCCAAAGTCTCCCAAATTCCTCGAAGGACTCGATGCAACAACCGCCCATTCGCCCTACAGGCCCGTCATCTCTTGTATACGCATTGATGATTACCATCACCGCCCCAATCGCGGCGGGGTTACTTGCGGTACACCAGCACCACCACCGCCATGAACCTCCTCCTGTCCCTCCTCGTCATTATGCCTGCCAGTACCATCCCAGTCGGACGTGTCTCCGGGCGAGCGAGGTTGGCCTGTGTGCGGGCCGGGCCGGTTTCCCTGCGGGATGATGCCGCGCGTGCTGATGGTGTGCCGCTAAAACATCCTTGGTCACACACCTGGCTTTCGACAATCGCGGTGGCGACATGTCTTTCACCCAGTGGCTCATCGTATGCGCGGTAGTCGACCATGAGCGACGGGGTCTCGGCCATCCAGAGTTCGCCGCGTTGGATGTGGGCTGTACTTACTTGCTCCCAATACTCGATATCCGCATCCCAACCCTCGTCCTCGTGCCACCTATGTTTGTACTATCGTTTCACCAGCTCGTCTCGGAAGCGGCACCATGCCAGGTCCACAATACACGCTGTGTTCAACTACCCATTCAGACAACCAGCCCCGCACACGGCCAGCCAAATCTGCATATTTTACAAGCCATCAACCTGCATGTAGCCACCACTGGCGTTGAAAAAGAGCTGCCCAACTCCTGCTGCCTATCCCTCCAGCCTCGCACAGAATGGCGCTGTCTTACAAGTTGCCGATAAAGCTGCACCAGCTGGGATCCTGCCAATGACGATTGATATGCCTGAGAAGAAGGCAGCAAAGTTGCCTTTCTTCTATGGATTGCCCTTAAAGCGAACTGAATAGGGGTGATCCAGACGACTTGAAAAGTACAAGAACATTCTGTCGACTCGCTCAGTTTGCCCTCCGTTTTATCTTTTTCAAGCTTTCCAACCCCAAGTCCCAAACCAAGCAATCTACTTGGAGCAGCATATCATACTACAAGGTGTATCTACCCGTTGGGCTCTCTCATCTAGAAGAAGGCTGAGTTCCGGTCGAATGTCAAGACCATAGCAAGAACAGCAATCATGCCGAGCGAAGTCATGAAATGTCCTGGCGGTTGCGGTACAAATGTATCATCGACTCAATCACAAGATGAGTGCCTTACTTGCAGCTCGTATGTAACGCTTGAAACCCGTTCTTCCGGCGTTTTACGCTTCAGGGCATGGACTAACATAACGTTGATGAACGAATTGCCCACCTTGTAGTATTTCTTATTTGGAGTAACCGCAGTGCAGCCTGGCTCACGGTGCTTGTTCATATCTTGGTTGGGCACCATTTTGGTATATGGGAGGGGCCAAAAGCGATTGAAGATGGCTTTTATATACGCAACGGTTGCTGTCGGAGTGGTATGACCATCAAGGAGTAATGATTGCCGTATTAGAGGGAGAGTAATAAAGCGGTGGGCGGTAGGCGTCCGCAGAGCTCGGAAGCGGGAAAAGAGCGTTCCTCGCGTTCCACTGGCATGAAGAGATGTTTGCTCTCTGAGGCTTACCGCCAAGACCCCACCACGGGACCAAACCAAGGCGCCCACTAGACGCACACATGGGCTCCCAATAGACGGACACTGGTGGCGCCCACTAGATGCACGGGTCCGTCTCAATTATGTAAGCACAGTTGATTACGTAAACATAAAAAATGCATCTATCGCAGCGTTGACCCCGCGCCTTCCCTGAGCCTCTGAGCCCCTGAATGCCACCACTAGCAACACTACCACCACCACCACCACCACCACCACCACCAACATTGCCATGGCCACTCTCTTCGCACACGACTGCCTCCCTCCCGAGAATATATACAGCTCCCGAACAGCCTTGTTTGAAGCAATCAATTTGTGGGCTATCACAAGAGGATATGCCTTCACAATAGGAAGATCGACAGCCGAAAAAAGTGGAAGAGCTACCATTACCTTCGCTTGCGATCGGAGCCGCCGACCACCCAAGGCATTAAACAACCGCCAGAGAAGAACGACTAGTCGAGTAACAAGCTGCCCATTCTCGGTTCTAGCTAAAGAGTCGTCTGACGGTAGTTGGGTACTCAAGCACTGTTCCGATCCTCGATTCTCAGTCTATAACTACGAACCAAGTCAATACCCAGTTGCGCACCTAATTTATCAACAGCTCTCTAGAGGCACTTTATAGCTTGTAAGTCTTTCGAATGCCGGCGTTACATTAAAGGAGATTCAGACTATCATATAGCAGAGTAGCTTACTTGCTATACAGTAAGATATCTATAACCGGATTGCAGATATACGTCGAGATATATATGAAGGTCAGAGCCCAATTTATACTCTAGCTAATCGGCTTGATAAAGAGGGCTTTTGGAGCCGAATCCAGTTTATACCAGATGGCCGGGTTATAGCTGTTCTTTTTGCTTACCCTAACTCGCTTGCCTACCTCTAGGCTTACCCTGAGCTTCTCCTCCTCGATTATATATATAAGACGAACAAGTATAGTATGCCTCTCCTAGATATAATTGTTATTGATATAGCTTAGCGGTTGTTTTATATCGTGTTTATATTCTTAAGTAGCAAGGTAGAGGAAGACTATACTTGGGCACTTGAGCGGCTAAAGTCACTCTACGAGCAATGCAATATCTCTCTCCTATTTATTATTCTTATAGACTGCTATCTTACAGTTATAAATATAGCTTTAGCTCTCTTCCCATCTGCTATAATACTCCTCTATCTTTGGCATATGTGACGGTGGAACCCACCGTACCATGGCACAGGCCATTGATTGGTCAACCTGGTTGGTGCCCCACCATCTACATCTGGGCACATGCTCCACATCCTGTATTTAGACTTCTTCGCACCTTGCAGTCTTCAAGGATTCCTTTCCTCCTGCAAGTTCAATATTCTTGCAATGCAGTCAGTTTACCACCAGAGGCTTGACCCTGGCCTTGAACGACGGCCCTCGTGACAGCATATAAACAAGGCAGTCCTTATACGATATTAACCAGTATTCTAGAAGGCTAAGTAATAGAAGGAATTCTATAACTTCTGGTATTCGATTATTAGCTTACTGACCGAGGAAGACTATACTAAACGCCTTGCTAAAATATAATAAAAATACCTTCCCTAGTATCTTAAAGAGATTAGGTATATTAAAGCAACGTAGCTTATTCTATTCAAAGAGAAGCTTGTTCGTACTTAGGTCGACTAGTCAGCTTATTTTAGCAATATAGCTACCTTATACATTAAAGGGATTTACTCCCTCCTTAAGTCCTACTTAAAGAGGTCAATATTTAATCTCTTTAATGCTTAGAAAGCAATCTAACTAGCTCTCTAGAACCAGCTTTCTAAATTACAAGCACGCCAAGCAAAGCAACAAATTCGTACTCCTCTTGAGCTTTCAACAGTACTCTATAAAGCAGTATAGGGCTAGGTATTATATAAAGCAATAAGAAAGGTCGAGGAGCAACGGAAGCTGCTTGTAATAATAGACCCTCCTCTATCCCCTACTTATATAGGCACCTTCTCTCGAGTATATGGGCTACCATGCTTGTATATACTAGATAGTCTTCAAGGCGAGGCTCTTCTTCTTAGCCATTTCCACTTACACTGGCATTTGAAGCGCGAAGGTAACCTATAGCTCCTTCTTAAACCTTGTTAGCTTATTAAGCCAGTTCGGGCCCAAAGCTCACTCCCAAGGTCCAGTACCAAGCGGGAGCCCAGTCAATTTGAGGCCCAGGCCCGGCCCCGTCGGGCTCCAAGCAAGTGTACAAAGTGCCACGTAGTTGGCCATACAAGAACCTCGAGGGCATGCCCTTTGCGGTATTCAGATGTACTATAGTTTGGTGGTAGCATTCAGGGGCTCAGGGGCTCAGGGAAGGCGCGTGGTCAACGCTGCGATAGATGCATTTTTTATGTTTACGTAATCAACTGTGCTTACATAATTGAGACGGACCCGTGCATCTAGTGGGCGCCACCAGTGTCCGTCTATTGGGAGCCCATGTGTGCGTCTAGTGGGCGCCCCAAACCAAGTATAGATTAGGTAAAGATCAATTTGTAATGGCTGAGATGGCAGCTGGCTGCAGGTGTACGAACAGAACTTGGTTAATTGAACCACGTCTAACGTTCTCAATTTGCATTCGGGCAGTTCTATTCAGCTTATTTCGAAGGGAGCAAGCCTTTTCAGCCCCAACACACTCCGCTTCCCATGGCGCAGTGCAGATCAGCGAGATTTCTCAGGAAGCTCTACCACAATCTAGACAGCAGTCTTAATCTAGGGTGATCCCGCCGGTGCCTGAAAAGGGCACCGGTACCGATGCGAAGGACTGCGCTGCTTAGATGCCATTGTGGACCTCCAGAACGGGCTCGGGGCTGTCGTCCAGCTTCGGCGGAGCGCTCGAATTGCGGCTGGTAAAAACCCTTCTGGGACTGCTGCTGCATATCTTCATCCGACCAGCGGTGCCTGTCAACGATCTCCCCGGAAGACCTCACAAGATCGGGCGCCTTCTTCATCAACTAGGTCGCGAAAGCAACAGCCAAGGTCTCTTGCGACAAAGATAAGAGGCGCAAGGGGTAGTAGTTGGCTTGACGCATCGATGCAGAAAGGAGTTTCCAAACCAGGACGGGCGTCAAGGATAACAAGACAGTAAATAAGCGTGCAGAGGTAGCTGGCCACGGTGCTACCCTAATGCACTATACTGGCTGGCAATACGGCGGAATACTTTGGAGCCGCCTATACTATAATAGAGTATTCTTAACTGATAGGGGGCTGGAGAAAACGGAGATGGCGCGCTTTGAGTTATAGTAGCTAAGCCGATCTAAGTATCTCTAAACCGGAAAAAGACCGGCTCGCTCGCCGTACCCCTTGCTACGGTTGAAGCTTCCCGCCTCCCGGTAACGGTTGCTTGGCGTTGCCATCGACGCAAACCAATCTATAAGACCATTCACTTTCTCTTTAACCTCCGCCAGGCTAAGGCCCCTCGTAATAGTAGGTAAGCATATAGACGCCGCAGGATATTCAAACAGCAGCCGTTGCTCGAGATCGGTTAGGTCATTGGCAGTCTTGGCCGGATTAGGGATACCGGCCTGCCTTGCCTTCTCCGTATGGTCTTTGTAGCCCGGAAGATTAACCAGATATTGGACTGATCTCTTCGTTGTAGATCTCGAGTCCGAGCCCTCGCCAGAACCCTAAATCTCCAGCCGCATCTTCCCTCGCTCCGTTCTACCTCTCACTATTACAGTGAGCACCGCCTCGAGCAAGCCCTACAAGGCACAACGACTCTGCATATCCAACTCAGAAAGGGACGGTACCGCAATGGACCAGACATTTGGCAAAGCCTCAGTGCTGCCACGCGGCGTTTATCGAGATTTAACGTTAACAGCACGCATGCACGGCAGACATCCAGTCACAATCCCGGCAAATATTATGTGATCTTTGTTTACTTACCCATGAGCCCGGCCGACGAGCCCTGCAAAGTCGGCTTGCCTCTGAGCGAGGACGCCGCCTTCCCCCTTCACCCCTGATGCGAGAATTATGACACACTCCAATTTGGGCAGGCCGTGCTGAGAGGTGTTTGGGTGAGGTTCGCGTGGACAGGGGGAGAGCTTGTGGCGGGGGTAGGCTGCTCTGGTTGGATGTGGGTACAGAAGACTACTCAAGGGGCTCTTCCGGAGCAGTCATGCTCGGGGGGGGAGCCGGCCTTGATCTTTTCTTTTTCCTAGGGACCGCGCAACATGGGATTGTTCTTGGAATGTGCAGCGGGCAGGATGGTGGCTAATGTCGACACAGCTTCCTCATGCACCTGCTCAGCAGTTTGGGATACCTTCTGGTGTTCTCCAAGAGAGTCCGTTAACTAGTATGTCCTCCGAGGAAGTTAGTAGACGAAGATGGTATCCTTTTTCTTGATATTGAGTGTTGTACCTTATACGACTTTATACTATAAGGGCTCACCGGCTAGTCTTAAAGCCGCGGCTAATTCAGGCCCATAGAAAAGAGGGAAAGGCGAATAGGTAGTAGGATGAAGGGTAAATGGATGAAGCGTAGCCTAAGAGCGCACTCGGGAGTGCCGGAAGCGCTCAGAGGAAGTTGAGAAGATAGCGGAATGGTCGGGTTAGTCTCAAATTCCGCAGCTCAGCACGGTTGTATAAGAGCAAAGGCAGCCGCGTACCGCGGCCCTCGTTATTCCAAGCCTCGCAAGCACGTTAATTTCTCCGGCCCTCCGTTTAGCACTCCAGAGAGAGTTGAGGCATCCCCAGAGCAGGAGGAAGCGGGATCCTAGGGGGGCCGGACAGAGAAAGGTGACTAGGCTGGTTGGTAGACAGATAAGAAATCTAGGGAAAGTGGTCCATGCCCCAAAAGAAAGGGCCCTCAAAAAATGGTGGCCAGAATGGGTGGGGATACGCGACAATCGAGAGATTTCTATCGCTGCCATCCTCGGGCCAATCCTTTCTCCAGAGCTAACGCCGGGACAAGAAAGGCGGCCGAACTAAATACACGCCAGTCGGTTCCCATTACATGGATGCTGCCTCAGCGGCGCATCGGGGGACCAGGACCTGCATCCCGCTGTGTACCGTGCGTGCATCGCGGCTGTTAGGGCAAGCAAGCAACTCAATTCTCAGCTCCGTACCCAGCTCAGGCTTGCTGCATGTTATACTGTGTAACTGTCAACATCCTCGAGTCATGGGTGCCGCAACGAATCTCAGTTTGTTTTGCTTTCCAGCAAGATGTTCGTAGGTCTAGAACAGAACTGAAGGTAGAGATGGCTTTATAGGGCACGAACTCGAGACAAAAAAGCAGCAGATAGCTGCCCAGCCTCGATCTAAGATGTCCCAGCTTAGCGGCTCGTCGGGATAGGATTCGTCGCAGAAGCCCCCGCAGCTCTAGAGGTCCACGTCCACCGGGCTGTGGGTGACTGACTTATTCAATAACAATTTCGTTCCCCAGACCTATACATCTTCCGTAATCAGTGATACAGAGAATGGCTTTAATAGCGTCACCGACGACTGCGCTATTGACGATGACGATGACGATGACGATAAGGAGTAGAGAGAGGAGTCTGCCGACGAGACTGCCAACCATTCCTTTAAGGACAAGATGAAGTTCAAGCGCGTCGACTCGACGGCAAATCTACCGTTCCATCGGTCACTCATCACGCTTATGTTGGAGGGCCAACGGCTGAATAGTACAGCATCTCACTCGACATCCACTTTGCCTGGCTCGCAGGCAACGCTCAAGGGCCTTTCGCTGGCTGCCTCACCGAACGACTCAGATAACGCGCCGTTGATGCCGAAGCGGAACATAGACTATGCACCGCCGATGCCTCTAATCAACGAGATTCTCGGCACCGCGGCGCAGCCGATCAACGTCACCGCCGTCGTACTAGGAAGGCACAGCCCAAGCGTATCACCAGAGCCAAAAAGGAAGTTACAGAGGAGGTGACCCGGACTGGAGAAAATAATATCTTCAACAAAATGATCCTCTATTACAAGAAGAGCTCATAAATAATCCTATCTTCATACGTTAAGACTATACGGTTATCAGGACCTTGCGTGGTAGTGTTTTGAAACACGGAAATATCTTCGTTCCAGGAAATAATATTTGGCTAGGGGTAAACTACGTTACATGGGGGAAAGAGGTATTGTAGAACACTGTGCGCGCGCTAGGGTACCATTTTCCCTCACTTCACAGCAATCTTCGCCCCGACTATGGTGGCCATGAGCCCGCCTAGCTGCAGCAGCGAACCCGAGTCCATGATCTCTCTCACGCTCATGACTATGCCAAACACGCGCTTGAACCAGGGCTTCAGCTCGATTGCCATGAGCGAGTCAAGCCCGATCTGCGCGGGCGTCAGGCGCGTGTCGATCTCGCTCGCGTCCTCGACCGGCCGCAGCATGAACTCGTAGATCTTCTTCCCGATCTCGTGCGCGAGGAACGCAACGTTCTCCGGGTCCGACAGCATCTTGCTCGCCCTCCGAGACTCCCACGGCCTCAGACATGGAACCGGCTTGGCGACCTGGTATAGTTAAAGTCGAGCGAATCACGAAGCAGCTACGGGAGTCTACAGGGAACAGGGTCGAGCAGTCCGCCAGCAAAGCGAGATACACCCTCCCGTGTCCAGCTCACCCACCAACGGGTTGAGCCGGTTGAGCCTTGGCCAGGGGGTCATCCCAACAGCTTTTCACCGATCTCTTCCCTTTCGACGGCTGAGCCGCAAGCCAGCCACAGCGGTGAACCAAATGGCAGCGCAGATCCGACATTGAGTAGTGCCTGGTCTTTTATGAGATGGCAGATACTCTGTACGACCCGCGGTACGCCCAGCATCTATCTCATTCCAACAGTTGCGCATTCGCTTCCCGCAGAGTCGGAGCTGCCATGGCGATACGGATGGCCGGCACAGTTGGGACAGGGCTCGTCACCCTGACGACGCTCACATTACCCAGTAACTGGTGACGTCGAGACCTTGATCGTGGTCTTTTGGCTCGTTTCTATGACTGCCCGGGCTGTCACAACTCCCCAAATCTGCCGACTTTTCGTTCGATTTCCAAGAGCTCCAGAAGCACCAGACGACACATCTGCCTGTCTTCCGCCTAGCTGGGCGCGTCGGGGCTCCTTCATCGGCAGCACATGCCCTCCGAGTTACACAGCGGCTTGCAGTAGTACCGGCAAATGGGTGACTTGCTGCCCTCAAATGCGCATCTCCATTTAAACTACCTGTGTCTGCCATTCGAGATGAGTCCTGACTAACATGTCAAACTCGACTATCAACCTCCGTTCCTCTGCAACCAAGTAACGAACGGATCAGGCACTGCCCTTGCCGTCGACGCCTTCACAGCCGCTTACCTCCGCTCCTATCAGCAATCCTTCGCACGACAAACGAAATGGAATATCCCAATACCCTCCGAATGCAAGGTAACCTACCTTACCTGAGGCAGGGGATGGAGGCAGCCCTCAGTGGCATATCTGCCTTGAATCACCTGCATTAGTTCCATATCACTGGCCCCATTCAGCCACTACTGGTTACTCGTCGACCACCCAGGGCCTCCGAAGTACATGAAACCCTGACCGTCACTACCACCGTAGTTCCCCAGGCTAGTCGACCAGGAATGGGCTCGACCTCCTCCTCCTGCCCCGGCATTGTACGCAGCCTGCATTCTCAAGTTGCCGAGGACGAGGTTGCTCCCCTCTGCGCCGTAGCTGCCGTCTGCCCGGACCCACCAACGGCCGGGGGCCACGACGGCCCCGATTCTCTGAAGCGCCGCAACGTCCAGGCCATGGAGCTCGCGGCCATTAACGAAGACGCCGGTGCCGGTGCGGCCCGACGCGTCGGGCGCGAGCGGGCCCCCACCGAGCGCGGGCGCTGGCCCTGGGAGGAACCCGATGCAGGGCCCTCCGGCCGCGCCGTACGCTCCGCTGATGCTGTCGTACCAGAACGACCCCGGCCGGACGGGACCGACGGCGGCCTGAAGCATGAGCCGCTTTGCTGGACCGAGAATGACTCCGTTGACAATGACCTGTCCCGGGTTATTATTAAATGATGGAGGCGGCTGGGTTCCAGCCGGAGGAGGCGGTGCTGCCGGCTGGTTTTGGTGGTTTGGCACGGAGGGACGACGGCTCTCTGAGTCCGGTGCTAGGGCAACGGAGAGGCCCGGCATGAAAGGTTCGAGAAGTGCGAGCTTGGCGAATTGCCGAACAGCGGCGCCGAAGAACGAGCGGTGCTTCTTTTCCTCCGGCTGAGGCGGCCGAGACTCGGGAGAGGTGGCCTGAGCACTCATAGCCGCCTGTGCCGCGGGCGTTGCGGTAGGGGCAGCAGGACCATAGCTGGGACTGAAGGAGGGGCTAAAATTGTAGGCTGGTGGTGCCGTGGACGAGCCGGACGGACCATCACCCGCCGGGTTGACATTATATCTCGCAAAAGAGGGGGACGAGCCTGGTGGGTAGCCTCCCAGTCCCCGAAACCGAGCAGATCCCTGAGGTGATGGGGCTGCCGTGGGAGACACGGCCGCGGGAGCAGTGGGAGGCGGCACCGGCCGGCGATGCGGACGTTGACGGAGAGGGAGCGTCGCTGGATCAGAAGGAAACGGTGGCGGACGAGGAGGGAGTGGCGGCGGCGGTGCCTCTTCGGGTCCTTGGGAGGCCGCGGGCTCCCTTAGGGGGGTCATCGGGCCGGACTCGAAGCTGAGGGCATCCGGGTTCTGTGACGCGGTGGGTGCAGTGTGGCGGTGTTGCGACGCAACATTCCCGAGCGTCTGACCCCCGTGACCAACCAGGACAAACGGCGCCCAAAAGAAAGGATGAGAAAAATCACATTCCTCCGGAGTAATGCCATTTAACTGGTTCAAGATCTTCCTCTTGTGGCCTGGCCTATCAAACGCCCGATCATCCAGTCCCGCGCACGCATCCCTGAAATCCTGCAGCACCGCCCTGGCAGTCGATGCATCTATCCGGTATAGCCTCATCTGCGCCCGGCGTAAGCAGCCCGCGAGGGTACTAGACGCACCACCACCGGCTGCGGTCTGTGTTGCCGTGACCTCGCGGAACAGGAACGCCATGAGCATCGCCGACGCGAGGTCGGACACATTCCACAGGGCGCCGACGAACGCGCCGGCCCCCGACGCCAGCACCGAGTGCGCGAAGCCCAGCACGTCGTTGCCGAGCGAGCTCTCGCCGACGCCGCTGACGCAGGCCTGAAACACCACCAATGCGGCGCGGCTACGCAGCGGCACCAGCTCTAGCACGGGCAGGTTCGTCTGCAGTTCGATGCTGGACTCCCACGCGGACAACGGCGCCTTGCGTGGCCTTTGTCCTGCCGGCTGCTCCTTGTTGTTGGGCTGCTTTTCTTTGTATGGTCTCCACAAGCCGTGCGTGCAGATGACGATGAGATCCGATGTCGTGTACGCTTCTTTGAACGCCCCCAGGTCGAGTTTGTGGGCTTGCTTGGGGCTGCAGCCCAACCGGCCCGCGATCTCGATGGCTGCGGCCGCCGAGCATTCGAGCCATTTTTCAGGGGGGCCGGTCGGGGCCTTGTAGACGACGGTCGCGCGCAGAGGAGTTCTGCTAGGACATGTACCGTCCCGTGTTCGGTTGCGTACCAAGTGCTGGAGAACCGAGAGGCTCGGTGCCATGGACACCTCCTTCCGCATGAAGAGAGGCTCTCCGTGCAGGAGAAGGGCCGAGAAGGGTAATTTGTTCAGCGATTGCGACGGGACAAAGATCAGGTGCGATTTGCTGTCGATGAGCCGCAGCGCTGGGCGGAGGATGTCGTCTGACAGGTCTTCGAGCGGGGCTTGGCACTTCGCCCTGGGAGGCAGCGAGTTCATATTGCCCTTCTTGATCTTGAAAAGCTTGACGTATTGCAGGACGTGCGCCTCCATTTGCTGGTCGGTAAAGGAGCTCGGCCGTGCGAGCTCGACGCCCTTGCTGCTGATATACAGAACGAGGACGCCATCGCGCGACGGGTTCATGTGTATGGCGAGGGCGTCCTCGGGAATTGCTTCGTAGAGGGCTCCCGTGTCGGCGGCGAAGTGTGGCCGGTGCAGTTGGTTAAGTATCATGGCCCGGCTCGGCGACTGCATCTCTTCCCCCAGACTGCTTCGTAGCCTCTCCACGTAGGCTGCCAGGTCGCTATCGTGACCTGCGCCTCCTGTCTCAGTGATCTTGCCGTCTCGCATGTCGCACTCCTGCTTCCGTAGATCATGCAACCATTCGAGATAGCGTTCCTGAGAGGGTTCCTCCAACGTGAACAAGTCGAGGAGCGCTCGCGCTCGGCCCTGTTCCAGGAACGCCAGTGCTTCATCCGCCCAGGTTGGGCCGTGGTAAGTCCAGTGATCCGTCTGCAGTCCCTCAAGCCTCCTCCCTGGTACCGGAGACGCAGACAGGCGGAGGGACACTCGGGCCAAGCCAGCGAAGAGCTCAGCGGACTGGATGACGTTCAAGAGCTCTCTGCGGTCGGCCACGTCTGTCAGCCTCGACCTGCTGGTCTCTATGATGTCGAGTGCTTTGATGAGCCAGCGAAACGAGGACTCGAGGTTGCCGCTGTGCTCCTCGATGGCTGCGATGTAGACCATATTGTACCACCTCGAATCTCCCTTATCTGTGAGCACCTTTTCGAGGAATCCGGGGACGGACTCCTGGATCTTCTGCAAGACTGTCGCGCCCAGCTCCCAATCCTGCGCAACGAAGCACAACGAAAGAGACCTCTCGCCATGCTGGCGAACCAGCTGCCTGTTCATATCCTGCAGATCCGGGCTCGCATTCGGAAGCAACTTGGGGAAGTAGTCGCTAGCAATGGGCAGCCGGCCTCCAAAGACGGCTGGGATCGCGTCGGGCAGCCACTGCCGGATCACGTCGTGCCTGCCCAGGTTGTGTAGGACAGCAGCTCGGACGCTGTACAGCTCGGTTGACTTGGGCACACCGGGCTGGTCGAGAGCGTCTAGGACACGGCGCAGGCGCTCCTGGCCGCCCTCCCAGTCGTTGTCCACCACAAGGGCTTTCCTGTGCTCGGCGATGGCCTCGTCGTACTGTTGGTGGATGCGTCGGACGGCGTCCGACTCTCCGAGCAACTGCCCGAGCATACTACGGATGCTTCTTTGTTCGTTTGTCGTGTTAGCAGTTCCTGCTGTCCGGGCTTCTGTAGGCCCGGCAGCTCTGACGCTGTTGGGAGGAACGCCATATCCGGTTCCTGGGCTGGTGCCAACCGCCGTGGTGTCGGTGGAGCTCATATATATGTCCACAACGCTGCTGAGCAGCGCGTTGAGCGTGGAGGGCGGCGATGTTTGAGATGGCGGTGAGGCCGCAGAGAATGGGCCGTGGCGCTCTGAGAGCAGTCCGCCCTGTAGCGTTTCCCAGGCACGGGAGCGCGGATTGCCGGCATAGATGGAGTAAGCCACGCTGTCGAGCTCATTTATAATGCAGGCTCTGATGCCCGTCACAGTGGCGCGACAGTCGTCGCTCGCGGCCGTCTGGATCACGGGGTCGATGTAGTTGACGACGACGTGTCGCAGTGTGCTCTGTCCATCGTCGAGATGCGCCCGCGCTGCGTCCATGTTGCCGTAGGACTGGAACAACTTCGCATGCTGAATGATGGCGTGGAGCTCGAGGATGCGCTCCTCTGCGGCTCGGCAGCAGGACCGGGCGCACGCGCAGCAGAGCGATGCCGCGTTGATATTCAGGGGCGAACCGGACAGAAGCCTCCCGGCTCCCAGGAAGAGCAGGCCGGCGAAACGGGCAACGCCCGCATTGGCATTATCCTTGGCCCACGTCCCTATCTCCGATGCGTCTTGAACAGCACCGTGTGCCCCTTCCGCCGGGTTCTGCGATGGGCCCGGAGGGCAGGAAACCAGAATCCTGAGGATAATGTTGTGGGCAGACACAAGCCTCACCATACCTCCGTTCCCGTGGTACTGGTCGAGTGCGTCGCCGAGGTGGGACCTGGCTGACGCGCGCCACGTGTCGAGCCGCCCATGCATAGCAGGTGCGCGCAGACCGTTCAGGTACTCGGCCAAGGCTACGCAGCCCCGTCGGAAGTGGACTGCGGCTGTCCCGCGGACGGAACGGGCTGCACGGAAAAGCCCAAAAGCACGGTCATAGAACTGGTCAGCCCCGGCGTTGTATGCCAGCCGATGTCCCGCCTCGATGCTATCATGCCACTGCTGCAGCCGCGCCGATGTGCCGTTCATCAGGGAGAGGTTGAGTGCGATAGGGCTCGTGAACGGCAGCGAAAGACGGTTGTCTCCTAGAACTAGCTGGCAGCTGGCGGCCCCAACGAGATCCCCCTCCTGCAAACAAACTTGGTGGAGTTGCTCGAGCTCCTGGGTACCCTGCTCGGAGCCACCCGCCAACAGGTATTCCGCATTGAGTCGACGCATGTGTCGAGAGAGGGCTCGGAGTCCCAGACGCTCCGCCTCGTTGAGCATCGGCGACCGGAAGGGGATCCTGATTCGAAAGAGAATGTCATGATCGTGGCGGTGATATGCTGGATGATGCGGAAACGCAGCCATTCGGACATCAGACAGATACTGCGCAAGCCTGCTGACGACGTCTCTCTCGAGTCTGTCGAGCTCGGTCACGGCGGCGGACGATCCGTTTTGGATAAATCGTATTTTGCGGTTATAGGCCAGGGTCTGCGCATCCGTCAATCTGCGCCAGTCACCGTCCGTGTCGTCGTGGAAACGTGGCAGAGGAAGCTCTGCTTTGATGGCGAATAACAAGAAGTCGTATGTTTCACATCGCGAGATCAACCGGGCGTCTTGGGTTGCTCGTGCCCTGGATAAGGCAGACGCAAAGGATGTCCCGGATGATGCAAACTCGCCCTTGGCAGCACTGAGGAGACCTTGGAGAAGACACGATACGACCAGACCCTCTTCCGTCGATACAGTGCACTCGAACTCGTTGATTTGCTCCTCGGCATGGTCGAGATCCGCTGTGTATTCGTCGAAGAGGATCGAACCGCCAAAGAGGTTGCAAATCTTGGTAAAATCCATTTTCGACGGGAATGGCGATTCGGGCATCTATTTGGTGTTGGTTTTCATATCGTGGTTTTAGTCTGAACGCGGCTTCCTACAATACCCAAGATACTCAGCTATGGAGTCTATTTAGATAGGCATTTCATTCCGAATAGCAGGAGGGGAGACAAGGATGTGGACGGGAAGAACTCGCGGTTCCAGGGCAGTCTAGATGCCAGGGTCGTTCCACCCGCCACGATGAATTCTTGTTCTCAAGGGGGTCTCGACCTAGACTGACGTGGCTGATTAGGTGCTTAGCCTCTGCGAGGATCGAGATGAGAACGAGATAGGGTTCTAGAGCGAGTCGCCTTGTGGTGTTGGTTGACGTCAATGGCGTCATGGTACACGGCAACTGCTTAGGGCACTGAAGCGGCAAGGCCGCTGCACCGTCTGGACCGTTCTGAGGATCAGGTGATGGGTTCGCGTTGGGGCTGGATTCTCCGGCTTGAGCAGAAATCTCCGCTTCCCTTCCACTGCCTCGGATTATATGAAGCGTCCTCGCCTGCTGTAGACAGCCTTTCACCACCGCCATATTCTGCGTTGCAACTCAATTCACTTCTGAAACCGCAAGGGAAAAGTCACGATGAGCCCTAAGGAGGAAGCGTCGTTTTATCTCTACAGTATCGGGTACTCGCCAGCCCTGATCACGCTAGGCACTCTGGTGTACCGCAACTACGCGAATCCAGACCACCGCTGTGTCTCACTCTCCGGCATTGAGTAAGTTGGCCACTTGGAGTTATGGAAGGCCAACTTTCCAGTTGAGCTCAGCCCAGCAGTGCTGACAAGAAGCAGTGAAAATGAGCTAGTCATGCAGAACCTCGTCTCTATCACAGAGATCGATGGCTGCTGCTGGGCGAGCGCGAAGTCCTCCACATACGGCTTCGGTCTGCGCCCCCTGGATTTAGCGTCGGTCACTTCCAAATATGCAACGTCGCTGCAAAAGATGGTTGTTGCTGAGGCAGGGCGCCGCGTGACGCTCAATCAGTAAGTACATGGCCCATAAATTTGAACCGAGTTCTGTTTCACTACCAAGTCGCAGCCCGGTCAGGTTTTTCGAAACCAAGGTCCTGCAGCACCCCGACATTCGGAGGGAATTGGCCATCTGGCTCACGGCCGCAAAGAGCTCCTATTTGCTTCGGAAGGCCACATTCCAAAAACCAAAGGTGTACTGCGTTACCGGGCTGTTCGAGCTGCGCGGAGTCCGAGCTCGGGTGGGCTCCAGCAGCGACATCAACCTGGACCTTGGCGTGAGCGCCGAGATGGTCGGAGCACCAACCGGCATACCCATCGGGCTGGAGATAGGCCCCTTTTCCAACAACAAGTACCTGATGGCGTCGGTCGCGATGCGGAAACCGGCAATCTGGGCCGCTCGGTTCCATCGACTCGACGTCGAATACATACGCGGTGATCTCGAGGCCGAGCTTAAGCCCGGCCTACCAACTACCATAAGACTGAGGCCTGACGTGACCGATCCTGGCCGCGGCCTCATGGGAGACACAGGCGAAGAAGACGAGGAATTATATGGCGAGGCCCAGGTGCTAGTTGGGTCTAACGTACAGTTGACGACGGGGGCGAGAATGCGTATGAATGACGCGGTGGAAGAGATGAGCGAGGATTACTGCGAGGAAGACGAGTACAGCAAGGCATTTGCTGTGGCCAAACATAGGATTGACGAGGATGCAGCGGCGAGTGATGAAGACGATATGAATGAGGACGTGTAAATCAACTGCATTATTACACCCCCCACAGTATAGTTAATCAATTCCTGTCCTATGCACCATTTTCTTCGTGGATGGCATCGGCATATCCCTAGACCTGTTGGTTGATCACGACCCGGCGATGCCGACTAAATGAATGCATAGTAGGTTGGCAGCAATCCCTGCTCTATTCTATACCCTGATGGATCTCAAACACCCCTGTTGACGATGCCTCGCGCAGCTATAGAGCGATGCAAACCTCGGTCCGCTGAGTTCGGTCGGATGCGTGTGAGTCGTGTGACTTCCCCTTCTATTCCCAGTCTAGGCAGGCGAAGATAATATCTGCTGCGTGCTTCAAGGCCGTACGGACTGGGTCTATGCCGTCGCTATCTCACCCGACAGCCGCTTTATTCTGTCGGGCTCTACCGATAACATGGTGTGGATATGGGATGCAGGAACAGGCGCTAGTGGTGCGTGCTTCCAATAGGTACTTCTCTGGGGCATCTATCCTTTTCCTCCTGTGGCCAACACCTCTTTACAGATCGTGGATCCGTGCAGTTGCCTTCAGCCAACTGTCAATGTGGTCGTCACGTCTTTGCTACAAGGTCTTGGATTACTAGAGGCCGCGATGATCTGCTCTACCTCCACCCAGACTATCAGAACTCATTTGGCGTTCTTTCGGGCAGCATAGTCGTCTTCCCTGGGAAGATTTCACATGTGCTAGAGTTGAATTTACCACAGGAGTCAATATCAAGGCCTTCGTAACGGAGAATATCATTGCGGCGCGATGATATCTCCACCTTTCGGTATTCTAGGAGTAGCACCTAGGCCTTTTGATATGTCTTACCATGAGGTTATACGTGCAACCACTTCACCATTGACTATTAGCGATGTGTCTTCAAGACCCGTATTGAGAAGTATCCCTGTTCGCAATCCGATGGTGTCGTTCTCGTTTATGACATCGCGAATCGCGCTTCCTTCGCCGCAATTAGGGGTTATTATGACCAGCTCCGCCGGGACTACGAGATCGTTACGCAGCGAACCAATTCCCCAGTCCGACTTGAGCGACTCCCTATTGTTATAGTCGGGAACAAGACCGATTTAGTCTCGGACAGGACCGTACCTACCAAAGGCGGCGCTACTTTGGCGAGGGAACTCGGCTGCTGCGGGTTTCTAGAAACTTCAGCAACCTAGGGGGAGGTCGACAGTATATGCACCATCGAAAAGGTCTTTTTTGATCTTATCCGCACAAGAAGGAAGCGATATAAAGAGGACAGAGCTCTAGGCCAGAGTTGAAGATCCCGTTAGCATTCCATAAGTCGGTCGAGAAAAAGTATATTAGGGAAAAGGTGGTGGAGAAAACAACGACGTTTTATAGGATAGATCTCGTGCGCTGTGTGACTGTGGATCACAGACAAGACGATACGCGCAGCTATCGTCGTCTTCTACGCTGTCCTCATTTCTATTTTCTCTACCACACCGGACATCGGATTGCCAATAGATTAGCGCCATCGGTTTTCCAGCAAGCCTCACTAAGTTTCCTTATTCTATCTCCCGTCTTCCTCGTGGATGTCTTAGCAGAGCTGTGAAGAAATCTAGGGAGCGAGCCAGCACTAAGCCTCAAGGGGCGGACATGCGATGAGTTCACTTCCTTAACGACAACCCCGAACAACCCACGCCAACATTCTGCGTTGTTTACGCCAACAGGGAACGAGATCCTGTCGCGAACCTAGCGCTGCAACCCGGCTTTTGCGGCGGTATATAACCAAAAGCCGGCCTTCCACTAAGGATCCGTCTCGTTCTTATAGGAGAGATATAAGAGCAGTGCTTTTCAAGCAGACAGAACTAGACATCAGTTACAGCGTGCCATCAAGCATTTCTTGCTTATCGTTCAGCGCTGTTCACAATTAACATGTCAAACTATACCCTCACTACCTCCCCTCTCTTAGCGAGCGCAAGGCTATCGCCGATGCCTTGTACTACGCCGCCATCGGCTGTAACCAGAACGACGCTGAGCTCTTTAACTCGGCGTAGGCCGGGGAAGACATGTCGCTTGAGTTCCACGACGACAATAAGAAAGTGATGTCTGGTCTCTCGGATATCCGCAAGAACATCTTCGACATAAGTCGGACCCCCCCAATTCCGAACACCCCACATTCCGAACACTTTGTAAGCCCACACCGCTTTTTCGACCCCCTCAGTTCAACTTACCACAACTCCGTCAATTCTAAGTTAAATCACTTCATTTTTTAGGCAATAGTATCGTCAGTTTACGATGGTTTACTCGGAACAAGATTTACAAGATGCGGTTGCTAAGTACCGTCGCGGTGGCTATTCAGCGCGAAGCATCAGCCGGGAATTCGGCATCCCAATGACTACCTTATACGACCGCCTCCACGGCTCGCAGACCCATTCTATTGCCGCCGAACCGCAACAGACTCTTAGCCGGGTACAGGAAGATCATCTTACCCGATAGGTCTTGACCCAGGCCGCCCTCGGTGTTCCACCAACCCATACCCAGATCAGGGAGTTCGCCAGCCGAGTTCTACAGGCATAGGGAGCCACCCGTACAACCATTGGAAAGGGCTGGATAACCCGGTTTCTTCGTAGAAACCCGGTTATCCGAACCTAGAGAGGCTGTAAGATCGACTCAGCTCGTATTAACGGCGCCACTAACGCGGTTATCCGTAGCTGGTTCCCACTACTAAAGATCCTAGCCATTAAGGACATCTTACCTGCCAACCGCTGGAACTTTGACGAATTCGGCCTTATAGAAGGTCAGGGTATCAACGGCTTGGTAGTTGGAAGTGCCCATATACGCGTAGTGCAACGGAAAGTCCCTGGTTCGCGTGCCTGGACCTCCTTCTTGGAGTGTGTCTCTGCGATAGGGGTATTACTCCCACCAGCTGTCATTTTCAAGGGCAAGAGCGTTCAATAGTAGTGGTTCCCTATCGCCAAGGACGAACTAAAGGACTGGCTATTCACTATAACCGATAAAGGCTAGGTGAATAGGGTGATTGCGTTGGAATGGCTGCAACGGGTCTTCATCCCTCGGACCTAGCCGTAGGATCCCTCCTAGAGGCGGCTGTTAATACTGGACGGTCATGACAGCCATATAACCACTGAATTTATATGGGAGTGCTTTAATAATAATATCCAACTACTCTTTTTACTAGCCCATACCTCCCACGTTCTCCAGCCGTTGGATTTATTAGTGTTCTCTCCCCTTAAGTACACCTACCGCAAGCTCCTCAACCGTTTGACTAGCTGGTCAGAATATACTGTATTAGGCAAGCAGTTGATATTAAAGTGCCTTGTCCAGGCTCGTAGGGAGTCAATTACAGCTTATAATATCAAAGCTAGGTGGAAGGCATCTGGGTTATAGCCTCTTAGTATAGCCAAACCACTGATAAGCTCTCTCTTGCTGGAAAATTCGAACCGTGCGCTTGACGAAGATGATCTACTACGCCTACTATAGACCCTAGCTCCTACGCTACCTGGCCATCCTACTACTACGGCTAAGGAGGTCGAATTTCAGACTCCACGCAAGAAGGTAGACCTTTGGGATCACCTGACTAACCTGGCCATCCGGCGGCAAGATCTTTCTACGCGACGGCTTCTATTCAAGAAGGTTGAGAAGGCTTTTGATAAGAAGGACTTCCAATTGGCTCGCTTGCAACAGGAAAACGAGGCTCTGAAAGTCCAATTGGAGGCAGCCCGGCCATCGAGAAGGAGGAGGGTAGTCCCGGATCCGAATAAGCAGTTCGCTTCCATTGAACAGGTACACCGGGCTCAAATTGAGGCTGGTCGTCTTGAAGAGTCTGGCATTAAAGAGAGCGGGTCAGAAAGCTCCGGCTCAGATGCTTCCTATATTGTAGTGGGTTGATGATGTTGTAATGTAGTAGGTTGAAGAAGATGGGTGGTTCAGATGCCAAGGCTTACAAAGTGTTCGGAATGTGGGGTGTTCGGAATGGGGGGGGTCCGACTTAGTTAGTCCTATAGATACCACGTACAGTACTTCTATAGTTCATATGAACTTAAGGGATGGCGCCGATACTGCCACCCTTACCGCGATCTCAACCGCCTAATACTGTCCTCCTGGCATAGGCAGGGATCCGACTGGCCTCAAGTACACTACCGGCGGGGAGTACGCCGTCGACCTTATCAGGGACGAATCGGTTATATGGAGGATCAAGAAGCTAGTATTGCGTATTATCCGGAAGTAGGGAGATGGTTTATTCATGTGGCCCAAGTCAGAGGCAGCTATATAAGTAGTGGATTGCTAGTATATTGGAAGCCTTGGGGTCCGTTGTCTTTGTCGTCCCCCAACTGAAGGTGTCGGGCAGGGCAGCTGGTGGCACCCGGGAAATCCACCCTAAAGAGCCAAGATGCCAAGTGTAACTCTGCGATAACGTTAAAAATCGCTCTGGGCCTCTGGATAGACTGATCTTCGGCGCAACATTCGTCCTACGCAAAGTGTCCGACACAGTCTGCTATGCATAACCCACCACCGAGACGCATCTACATCTGGAACTGAACGCCATGTGTAGGAGGAGACTGGTGATACATTCGTAGGTGGTGTTGTGGATAGAAGCACAACCACAGGTGGCTAGCTAGAACTATCCAAAGAGCGAAGCCCTAACCCTTACACCATGGCCTGCTCGGCTTCCTACGTCGCGGCCTTACACCGTCCCGTCGCCCCGTCCTCCACCCGTTTGAAGCCTAGAGCCATCATGTATGATCCACCGTTCACGGCTTGCCTATCTACCTATAGCCGACACTCCACCATGCCGTCCTTCGCAAGAGAATGTGTACTTTCGCAACATCCTCTCTTGCTCTCCCCTCACATACAGAGCATACACGCTGCTCGCACTCACTGCTTCCACGCCTCATCCAAACACGGTATCCGGCTTGCATCCCATTGGACGCCCGTCATGTCCGCCCAGCTGAAGCATCCAGCCTCATACGAGGCCACCTTCGCCCACACCTTCTAGAAGCAGAGGCTCTCTCGCGTGCCGCCCATTCCCGCCCGCACTGAGCTCGCCGGGAAGACGGTGTTGGTTACGGGGGCCAACGTCGACCTGGGTTTCGAAGCCTCTCCGAATTTCTTGCGGTTGCGGCCAAGCTTGCTGATCATGGGCGTGCGCTCGGTGGACAAGGGCGAGGCAGCCGCAGCCGCACTCCGCCGCGAGTTCCCCGACGCTCGGATTGAGGTGTGGGAGCTCGACATGGAGTCATCCCGCTCCGTGTAAGCATTTGCTGCGCGGGTGGAGCGCGAGCTTGACCGGCTCCACGTCGCCGTGCTCAATGCGGGCTTGGGTAAACCCAGGTTTGAGCGCGTCGACGAGGGCGGCTGCCATGAAGTCACGATCCACGTCAATTAATTATCTTGCTACTGCGCTGCTTTCCCTCCTTCTCTTACCCAAGCTGAGACCCACCGCTTCTTCGTCTGAGCCTGGTCGTCTATTCATCGTCAACTCTGGCGCAAGCCTCGGCCTCACCTTAGAGGACCCCGGCGATGCTAGACTTCTCGACTCGTTTGATCAGCCCGGCAAGTTTAATGGCATTGGTCAGTATGGCCTATCAAAGCTGCTGGTTATGATGTTCGTAGCGAAGCCGGCTCGGACCATCAACCCAAAGGAAGTAATCGTCAACTGCACTGATCCTGGCGCGACCAAGGGGACAGCGTTCTTCTGCGATGTAAACTCGTGGATCATAAGCGTTGCTTTACGTGCCTTCGTGGGCCTCATAGGACGTCAAGCCGCAGATGCGTCCCGCGTATATTTGCATTCATCCCTGGTGTTGGGAGAGGAGAGCCATGAGTCATGGACTGGTTGGATCATTAGAGCGTTATTTTGCCTTCCCAAACACCATCCATTGTGCTAACTGGGACCATTAGCTGGCCAAAGACTATGTATACCGACCAAGGTCACCAACTCGGTGAGTGGCTCTGGGACGAGACACTTGAGGAACTCAAGTTTGCTAGTGTTAAAGCTTTAGCTCGATAGATTGTATTGAATTGCTAGGCTAACTAATCTGAAAGATTCTTGTTTCCTAAGTATAACTACTTGTTTGACTTTAAAGAAACCATAGATGGATGTTGAAACTGTCTTGCCGCCTTCTTAGCGACTATATAAGTCAAAGCACCCAAATATCGAACCACAAATAGCACGTTGGGCCCATCCAGCCCTAACCAGCCCATTGCTCCCATACAGTGGCGCAGCTTCCGCCTGTAGGCTAAGGAGAACCTGTCATGCTTGTCGTCAAGGTTGTCGCGGTTGTTTACGTGGCGGATGCGTGGCCAGTGCCGCCTTGAATGTCGTTGATGAACTGCAGCAGCTTGGGGCCAATCTGCTTCGCGAGAAACTGGTCACCCTGATCGTTGGGATGAACGCCGTCGCCCTGCAACATCGCGTTGGTGAAGCCGGCAGCCCGTGAACAGTCAGCGATGACGATGGGCGATTGCGAAGTGTTGCGTGCCTGTGCCCAACTGGGGATGGCAGTGTTGAGGGCCTCAATAGTCGTGTCGCTCCAGCTTGTCGGGATCAGTTTGTCCACCTAGAAGACGTGCGTCAGCGTTTGAACTCGGAAGACGTGAGTGGGGATAAACAGTGCCACGACTTACAATGACCTTGACACTCGGGTTTGCGGCGCGCATGGCATTGAGCATTGTCGTGTACGAGTCGAGGATGGTCTGGACGTTCCGCTTGCCGATGTTGACGTCGTTGGTGCCGAGCATGAATTGAACGATGTCAGGCTTGGTGTTTTGTACCCAGCCCGCGATGTTGTTCCTAGCAATGTCGTACGCCTGCCAGCCCGAGTGGCCTTCGTGATTGGGATCAAAGCCTGACGGTCTTGAGCACCTCCCCTGGAGGTCGCTCATGCTGCCGACGAAGTCGACACTGCTCGCCAACCCGGCAGACGTGATTTGGTTCCACACTAGAGGTCTCCAGCAGGTGATCTCCGTTATAGAGTCGCCAAGCAGCACTTTTTCGGTCATTGTCAGCTTCAAATTCCCAACCAGCAATTGGTACAACGAGCAGTCTTGAGGTGGCCACTCACTAACTTTGACCTTCTGCCCGCATGTAGTGGCGGCGAGGCCGGCAACGATCATAAAAGCGAGGAGCTGCATTGTCACGAAGACACTGGACGAGAATTCGAAGCCGTACTTTTAGAGCAATCAAACTGGCATGCTAGCCCATCACTAGGGCTGCGGTATGGTCGTCATTTATACTCGCGAATCATGGACTGCCGGTTGAGGTTGCCGAGTCGCGTATGCTCAGTGTAGCAACCGGCTAATTACAAGCATTGCTTTGTACGGATTACATGTGCATACCTCCCTCAAAAACGGAAGCCAGAGCGAGGGACTGTTGCAGACGAGCTGGGGCGAGCTTAGTGCGGTCTCAATCATAGCACTGCCGGATAATATACTTCTTCAGAGGCGCGCCAGTAGGGTTAATGGGTGTACACCAGGCGACAAGAACGCGCCACTCACCCCACTATGTATGTATCCTCTCACACGCAGTGTGAAGCGCCGCAGATGGCAACGTGCCGGTCGTCAAGCCCGCGTCGCGCCTCGTCGACATACGGCGCCCGGGAATAACGGCACGCTGCAATTGGCCCGGGACTTGGACGGCGTGATGCTCGCGAGGAGCTGAGAATTCGCTGTCCCGCGGGGCCGCCTGCGTCGCCGCCTCGCCGGCACTGGGCCCAGAACTGGCCGCCCACCAACGCATACCAAGTTGTCAGCTCCCGAAGAAGTTGCATTGTGCCGATATATCGATCGGCTTGACAATATCAACCTTGCGGTACGGCCAGCCTTCGTTACCGACGCAGCGAACCATATCTTGCGTTCGCGGGCCAGCCGGGCTGAGCAGGACAACCCACCAGTTGTTGGCCAGAAATGGACCTCCCGGTTTATCAAGCGCCATGGATACTTCAAGCAGTGGCAAAGGAAGCTCAACGCTAACCGCCAGAAGGCTGAACAGCCTGCTGTTGTTGCCGAATACTTTGACAAGCTCCTGGCCGTCCTTAGGGGTAAGGGGGTAAACCCTGAAGATATCTGGAACATGGATGAGACTGGCTTTCGCATTGGGATAGGAAAGGACCAACTTATCGTTACCAAACGTAAGCGGGCATACTACTTTGGCATCGCGGAGAACCGAGAGTCGGCAATAGCCATTGAAGCTATCTCTGCTGGAGGGAGGGTGATCCTAGCCTTTATCATCTTGGCTGGCCAAGTCCACATGTCGCAATGGTACGAGCAACCCGAATTGGACCCTGAGATGGCGATTATTACGTCGGCAAGTGGCTACTCAAACGATGAGATTAGCCTCCAGTGGCTATAGCACTTTGAAGAGCACTCCCGGCGAGGGATGGTTGGAAAATATCGGCTCCTGATCTTTGACGGCTATAGCTCGCATCTTACTTGGGAGTTCGTCAATTATTGCGAGGATCACGATATTATCCCATTTGGCCTACCACCACATCTCACACATCTGATCCAGCCGCTCGACGTTGTTGTCTTCCAGCCATTGAAACACTACCATGCAAAGGAGCTTGACATCCTGATCCGCGACGGCCTAGTCAATATCACGAAGATCGAGTTCCTTATTGTTATCCAGTAAGCCCGCAAGCAAGCCTTCAAAGAAGCCACCATCCGAGCTGCATTACATATGCGGCCAAGGAAGCCCGGAAATGGAGGTTAACTGGCCGGCTGGGCCCTGCCGAGGTTGTTGAAGAAGTGGGAAAGATAAGACTACTACGCAGAGGGCTGTAGATGGCTGGGACGTTGGCATCGCCAAGGGGTCAAAAAGGTGGCCATTAGGGTGATCTGGCCGTATGGCTGTCCACCACCAACCTGCCTGGCGGTTCGTTGGCTGGTCCGAAGAAAAGCGGGGCAGGTGGGGGGGTGCCACGAGTACGTAGTACTGTGCCTACTGACCCTATCTACGTAGCTTAGACGTACCTGTTCATTGCCTTCTCTGTCACCCTGGAGGGTGCCGCCACGCAAATGTTTGCGAGGGAGATTTGGAAGTTCATATATCGTAAGTCATCTCCTATAGTGGCTCGCAATTGCGTCAACTTTGTCGTAAGTAGATGATCGTACAGTTGCTGCCTGCAGCGACAACCCCTCATTTATTACCTAGGTGCCAAGGTGGCGGCCCCTGTTCCTAGGTATCAACACCTTTTTAGTCTTGTGCTAGCTAAAACAATCCTTCGACTCCCGAGGTCTTCGAGCCCCGCCCGATCCAATCTGGTGGAACACAACGCTCGATCTCGGCGAGGCGGCTTGTTGCTTTCGCAGCTGATGGTGCCAAACTGCCAACTGCTCACCATCCCTCAATAGGTGTCGAAGCTGAGTGGTTGATACGAAATCATGAATGTGACTTTGCGGAACCCAAGTCATGGCTCACCAACGGCCGTCTCAGACAATACCAAAACTTGCGAGCCACGTCTGAGGACGCCAATCCATCGAGCACGCACGGGCTGTCGCACATGCAGAACGCGAAAGGTGCTGCTCTCGCCCAATAGATAGTGGGCAGTTGCTACAGCCCTTTATTGTGTTTCTCCTGCTGACTCGGCTCGACCATCCAAGGTCAAGTGCGACGAGAGGAAACCATCCTGCGGGCAATGTCGCAAAGGCGGGCGAAGCTGCGAGTGGCTTGCGCCTAGTGACCTCAAGAGATCAGTGTCCTCTAAGAGACCCAATGCCACGGCTTGCGACGTATGCAGAGCGAAAAAGGTATCAGTTGCTCTTTGATCTCTTATTCCCGCGCGGTTTACCTCTTGGAGACGCTCACCACAATTGTGTGATAGCTCAAATGTGTCGGCAGCATCCGAGATGTTTGCGAAAAATGCAGAACACTTGACGTCTCCTGCGTACGCTCCCAGGGGGCTGTAACTGCTACTAGCAGCACCGACTCCCCTACGCTCGCTTCACAATCGTCCGTTGAGGCTGCCACAATGCAGCATCCAAGGCCATACCTGCCGGAAGACGTGTCCAGTACAACGTCGTCACGTACCTGGGCCAAGAGGCCGTCCGCCGCCGTGCTGACTCCGTAGCCATCTCGCCTTGGGGACTTGGATGATGTCCTCTTTACTGCACGCCATAATAGAGAGACAGCGAAATCAACCAACGGACCGGCCACTTCTAGAATCACACCAAGGGTGGACGAGCTTCCTAATGGACTTGAGCTTGAAGGGCTTGTTTCAGCTTGATTTCTCATCAGTTCACGTGAGTACTTGAGTTGTCTTGGACGCCCGCTATGTGCAGGTCCGGGGCGAACATATTTGGGGCGAAAAAGACTTTGGATTCTTTGCATTCATCCACCAATTGCACTTCAACCGCCTTGTTGCCAAGGGCAAGGCTCCTCGCGAGTTGACCTTGGTCATGATAGCAAATCGGCTGCGGTAAGCGGCTATTGCACGGTTCCGCCTGGTTCTCTTCCAGCTGTTCGCTAACGACTGAACCCAACAGCTTTGGAGGTGCAACGACAGCTGAAAATCTGGCAAGGGCTGACGCCTGGGCCGACACAGCGCTTTCAGCCGTACGCCCTCGTATCCATCAGGGCTTCGGGGTGATTCAGCTTATGGTTCGTAACGATCAATATCACGCCGCGCCTCGTGCGGTTCTCCTGCATTCCTAACTCGCTGCCCGCTCAGACTCTTTTGTTGGCCCAACACTACGACTTCCACCGCGGAAACTTCACGTCCGCCTGGGTGCTAGGGGCTGAATGTACAAGGTACCTACTTACCAGCCGCGCCCCCTTTCCAAGGGGTCCTGATTTACGACCCGAGGATGGCTTCGCAGAGTCGAAGCACTCACTGGCCAGAACTGTAGGATGATGCAAATGATGTCCTTGCATACCTTTGACCGCACATATTCGATCAAGCTGGCTCCCAACATCCGGCTCTCCCCCTCCTTTCGTGCGAAGCCCTCCGCCGTGTTGCCTGGTCGACTTTCTATATGGACGCCATCGTCGACGGTGGCCGCTACGGCTTCCACACCGTCGACGAGAAGGCCTACCGCCTGCAGCTGCCATGCGATCAGACAAGCTTCCTCGGCGACGAGACAGTCGTCACGGAGTGGCTTTTTGATGACGGTCCTGACAATACTGGGGATTGGGATTCTCCGGCACGAGCACTGCAGGGCTTGTCGGCATTCCTCCTTCGTACGGCAGCTGCACGGCGCCGGTTGCTTCACTTTGCATTCAGGGCTTCCCACAAGGAGCAGACGGTCGAGCAGCTTTCGGTCGAGAGGGTCACCTTGAGTGCTTATGTTGATGAGACTACCGTCTCTCTCCCACGGCGGCTCCGCTTCAGCAGCGACAATATGCTTCTTCATCGTGAGCGCCTTATCACCTTTATTCTTCTTCATATCCTGCGCCACAACCTCCTCATCGTCCTCGGTCGAGCAGTGCTGCAGGTCTACCAACGGGACCCCGCCAAGGCGCATTTCATACCACAAGTGCGACGCAAACGAATCGCACGAGCTCTGCCAATTGCAAGTCTGATTGCGGAGGGTCTAAGGGTTGGATCCTATCACACAGCAAAACGACATCGTTGCCTGCAACACTTAGGTGGTACCCTTATATACCGCACGACATTTAATTTGATATTAGGGATGTTGTGCCGGTTTGTTTTAGCCGGCATGCAATCTCCTGTTTAGAGAAGCTCTAGTATGTCCGTAGTGAAAGCGTTAATCATCAGTTTCGCTATGGCCCAGCCATTTGGAGATGACTTTTCGCTGATTAACGTGCATTATAAGCGAGCCGAACATATGAGCGAGTCGAACACTTCTTGGCATAACGCGTCTTCCCTCCACCTAAACATTAGTTTTTCTACCACCTAACATGTCTTCTACTTCAAAGGAAGCCAGGGTAGTTTTAACCTTCAAAGCTCTTCAAAACGACAAGGAACTAAGCCTCCGAGCCGTAGCTAAGCTCTATAACGTGCTAGTTACGACCTTCTATAACCGGCGCGCTGGCCGACTTGCACGACGCGATACTACGCCCAACTCGCGCCGGCTTACCGATTCCGAAGAGAAAGCTCTTGTTTAGTATATAATTAAGCTATCTAAGCGAGCTTTTCCACCGAGACTATATGGTATGGAAGATATAGTGTCACGAGGGCCGTCGTTCAAGGCCAGGGTCAAGCCTCTGGTGGTAAACTGACTGCATTGCAAGAATATTGAACTTGCAGGAGGAAAGGAATCCTCGAAGACTGCAAGGTGCGAAGAAGTCTAAATACAGGATGTGGAGCATGTGCCCAGATGTGGAAGGTGGGGCACCAACCAGGTTGACCAATCAATGGCCTGTGCCATGGTACGGTGGGTTCCACCGTCACATATAGCCAACTATTATACGTATATGATATACCCTCTATTGGTAAGCTCCAGGTATATAACTTTATTAAATGCTAGCTAAAGCTCTAGACGTGTTATATATATAGATATGACTATTAAAGGGCTAAGTATAAGGATCCGAAGGCTATTGGTGAATAGTTTGCCCTTATACGGAATGTTAAGGCTAAGTTTAATGTTAGATGATAATATTACCATGAACCAACCATATATGCAGGCCGGCGGGGCCGCAGCCAGACGCAGGGCACCAATCGGGAACGGGATGCAGTGCGGACCCCGGACGGCTCATTGCTTGGCAATATGAGCAGGCTCAGTGCGATTAGTGATGAGCGTGATGAGCGGCTCATCCAGATCACCAATGAGCCAGATGATCCAGGTGCAGAGGTGCCCGGGGAGAAAGCTGTATATAGTTCTACCATTCTGTCATTCATTCAGATGGCTAGCTTCCTCAGTGAGCAATTACAGCAGTAGCCTTCATCTACTGTGCAAATATTGCGACTTGCATTGTTGTGAACCTTTCAGCTTTACCGAGACCTACAGTCCGACCAGCAGTACCTTCGACCGGCGAACCCTTTCAGAGGCAGGACTGCCTGTGGTTTCGTCACATTAAGGACTTAATGCGCGCGTATATCAACTACATCAGCAAGCTCGAGTTCCTCTACGGCTTTCGCGAGGCCTTCTTTGCTTCCATAACAGAGAAGAACATATAGGGTGGCTTTATAGGGGCTGGCCTAGTACTATACGATCCAGAGAGGGTCCTTTCTACGCTAGACGTAAAGCTTCGTACACCGACACCTCCAACCTTACGACCTAGCACTGCACAATCTTGGGTCTTCCAGACACTATACAACCCCCGAGAAGCCGAATCGCAGTCAACACTTATTAAGACTCGCATTGCCAACCATCAAAACAGCTCTCCAACTTTAATATTAGGTGCTGTGGATCAACTTACTAAGGGTACGATAGCTATGATGCACCAGGTGGCCCTCCTTCGGTCAGAGGTCTCTTCGCTCTGTAAGGCCAACGAGGCACTAAGCAAGCACCGGAGAGCCAAAAGAACACGCGTGCAGCTTGGAGGATCACTTGTAGTATAGGATGCAAAGGATCTACTAGACCAGAAGGCCGTAGTTGGGGAGGTAGTACAAGAAACGCAGCCGGACGGTGGTGGTACAGTGGGGGGTCGTACGAAGGTTCGGTGCTGTGGTGTGTGCGGCAAGCCTGGCCATAATGTACGTACGTGCCAGGAGGTTGCAGAAGGGTCTGATTCAGCTGTTTCTGATGTAATTATAGTTGGTTCCTAGTGTTAGTGTATTGTAATTGAGGATAGATGTTTTGGTGTGGTGGAAATTGATCGGCTCGCTGATATGATCGGCTCGCTGATATGATCGGCTCGCTGATAAGATACGTTATAGACTGATAAATACTTGCGGCAGTCGTTGACTGACGCGAGATAAAATCTACTGACTCTGGCCCTGAAATGAAAGTTTAAATCAAGCTAAATAGGATGCTGCATCTAAGAGATGACAGCGAACTAAAAACAAGACACTAATGTTACTAGTAGTTAACGTTAGCGCTAGTAATACAATCACCCAACTCTAAAACTCTACCTTGAATTCGAAGACAAAAATCAAACTCTTCCACCCTGCACACATTTATAGATCCCCTTATAGCTTAAAGCCACTCGTGATCAAGTTTTTAAAGACTCCGAACCGGTCATACTTGGCCTGAACCCGCTTCAGGCGCGGCAGGCTCTTACCCTTACCGTAGGTGGGGAACGGTTTCTGGCCGGGCGCAGCGTCGTTTAGGTAGATGTAGTCATAAAAGATGCCGCGCTTGATCAGTTCAGCCTTGAGGCTGGCGAGCGTCGTTTCCATAAACTTCAGCATGGTCTCGTCGTCGGCAGGGTCGGCCCAACTGAGGCTGGTGAGGAGAACTGGAAAAGAAGTGGTCAGGTCAGCCCGCTGATCTCATTACCGAGAGAATATGAGAATAAATTCTTGACGGAACTCACCGACAAAGGGCCCATCGGCGGGATCCAGGTCAATCGCGTACTCGCCCGACCTGCGCGCGGCCTCAAGATAAGCCTTGCTGATGGGCTCGGGGCTGACGGCGACAAAGGCGTCTTTGACATTGGCCAGCGCCGTAATGGCAGGCTTCAGGATGGTGTCGACGTGCAGCTGGACCAGGCCGGGTGCAATCCTGGCCGCCAGGCAACCAAACATCTGGCCGTGGCCATTGACGTCGACGGTGTTGACCGAATCCACCTTAATTGGGTTATTGACCCAGTCAGCCTCCTGGCCGAGGAGGTTGCCCACCGGGTTCGGGATGTTGGTGTAGTTTTGTATACTGCGAGGCACACCCGAGTAGTTGCCGGACACGAAGGGGTTGAAGACGGGCTGCCAGAGAGCACCGCCCGTCTGGTTCGGGTAGAGAGTCACAGTAGGATTGATCTCCGTGAAGGGGTCGCCGATGCCGTCGGGTGACACGAGGAAGTCCTGGGTGGCTTGGATAAACTGCGCTGTGTGTTCCAGGCCCTGCCAGGCAATCAGGCCGCCGTAGGCCGCCGTCAGGGGGATGGTGGTCATGTCGTAGCGCGTGACAATACCGAAATTGTTGCCACCGCCCTTAAGCGCCCAGAACAGATCCTCGTTCTTGTGCTTGTTGGCCTCAATGATGGACCCGTCACCCAGGACGACCTGCACTCCCACGAGTGTGTTCACACTCCAGCCGACTTGATTGCCAAAGTAATTGATGCCACCGCCAACGAGCAGGCCTCCTACTCCGACATCCGAGTACCGCCCGCCGGCGACAGCGAGCCCATACGGCGAGATCCACTGGTATACCTCGATCCAGCGGTTCCCGGGGCCAATCGAGGCCACCGACTTGTCGGCGTTGAGGGTCTTTGCGTTGATGTTGGCCATGGCGATCATCACGCCGCCGTTATTCGACTGCGCCCCCGGGACGGGCATGTGCCCGCCGCTGACCACGCTGAAGGTGGTCCGCGTGTCCCGGATAATTCGGAGGGCGTCGGCAACATCCCGTGCACTCGTGGGCGTGAAGACGCAGCCCGGGTCTAGAACGCAGGTTGCCGAGTTGATCTCCTCTGTGGGGGCTCGCGTCAGCAGGTATGCCAGACTAAAATGTTAACAGGAAACAAAAGTATATCGTGTCCCGTAGTGGCTGTGGCTGAGAAGCATGGGCACCTGGAACCATTCGCACGAGCAATCAAAGTCACATGCAGGAAGGGTAGCAGTGCTCACCTTCGGCATAGTGCGTGTAGTTTTTCGATCCCGGGAAATATGTCTTGGTAGAGAACTTGACAGCGAGCTGTTGACAGGCCGATTTGCCATGGCGGGGCACTGAGGTTGCATCGCTGACCCATCCCGCAGAGAGGGACAGCAGAGCGATGGCGATCTTCATGCTGTGCGACATGTAGTATCTTCACCACCTTCTTCTTCCGGAAATGTAAGGTAGCGAAGTCAGAGCTGAATGGATGATGAGGGCAATGCGTAGATGATCCAGAGCAATGGAAAGAACAGCAAGAAAGTCAGGGATATTTAAGGACGAGCTGCCCACGCGAGGCCCTCATCATCCCCGCTAAGTCCATCGTCATGCGCCGCGACAATAGTACAGTACTGACACCATGAACGTGAGAGTCATGTTCAATGTCGCCGCCTTACCGCGGCTGAGCGAACAAGGCGAGATGGCGAGAATGACTGGTCGAGGCGTGCCACGCGGGAAGGGTTACACGGCATACGCGAGATGTCATTCGGCGGTCCCGAGAACCTGGTTACTCACCTTGGGTCAGACAAGACACATGCGTCTGGAGATTGCCGTTCCGGGCAATTGCCGCGGCCCCGGTTCACCCGCATTCGCGCAAGCCTTCAAGGCTTCCACACCATCAGACACGCTCCTCTTGCATATTATTCTATCTTTGGAAAGCGTATTGGCTAATGGAATCCCTCGGTACCGCTGATGCGTCCATGGTCGTGCCCATACACATGGCTTGAGGAGTTGAATCTGCATTGCCTCGTGGGGGCTATGGCCGGCGTCTACTCGAAGCGGTCGAGGGTCAAGGAACGGCTTTTGCTGGAAGGGAAGCTGCGGGAGTAGAAGAAGGCATCCCGCCGGCCGCCCCGCCTGTCATACAGAGTAGATGTCCCGATCTGACTCCTTCGGATGTCACCAAAGAAGAATGTATAAGGCGGCTGGGGCGGAGCCGGCGAGCTGCTGCTGCGAGAGCGCGTGATAGAGTGCCCGCACGTCCTGAACACGTCCAATTGCCCAACTGTGGCGCCCGCATGGCCTGCCCAGGATTTGTCCTCTAGATCAATACAACCCCTTCAGCATCAACCTCCGTATGCCTTTCAACCTGCGCAGTTCTTGTGACCCGCGTGGTCAGTGATCGGATTGCGGCACCACACACCGATCTCAGTCAAGATAGATTCAACCATGGCGTCCGTGGGTCTGGACAGCCCTGTTCAGATGCTGAGAACCGGTCATCTCTGGGCCGGCTTTGCCGTGTTGTTTGCGTGTGGAGTGAGTAGAGCCCGACTCTGGCATCAGTAATGGTAACTCACCACTGAGTGTGCCATACCAGTTCATCGCAGTCAATATCTGTCAGGGCATCTACAACCTCTTCTTTCACCCTCTTGCCAAGTTGCCCGGGCCGCGGACATCGGCGTGGAGTAACGTAAGCCAGCCCTGCTTCATCCGTCCCTGCCCCTTTACAGGACCCCCACGAGACCGCCATTGCCAAGAGTGAAGAGGTCTCACCACGGGGCAGATTCCGTACAGCTATTGGTTCCACAGCGGGCGCATGCCCTACAAAATACTCGCCTTACACGAGAAATATGGTAATAACCATCCCTAAAGCATGAGACTCAGCGTCTGTGCTCACCAAGAATCGCCAGGATCCGTCGTTCGCGTGGCCCCCAACGAGGTCTCGTTCAACTCGCCGCAGTCGTGGAACGACATCTACGGCTTCCGGCAGAACCATAAGACCTTCATCAAGAGCGACTTCTACGATGGGGGCCCCTTTGCCAGCCGCGGAGTGCACTCCATTGTCAGCGAGCGCGGCGTGGACGAGCACGCCCTGATGCGGCGCCATCTCTCCCATGCCTTCTCGGACCACTCGCTCTCGGAACAGGAGGCGCTCGTCGCTGAGACGGTCGACAGATTCATCCGCGTAGTTGGTGAGCGTGGTGCCCGCGAGGGCGGTTTTGACATGGGCAAGGGGCTGGAGATGATGACGTTCGACATCATTGGGGACCTGGCCTTTGGGGAGACGTTTGGAGGCGTCGAGAGCGGTGAGTCTGCGAGGCCAACCAACATACTACTAGTGGTCATACTACTAGTAGTAGTAGTATCCGCCCACGAAACGAAGAAGGAAGAGAATGCCCCAGACTGATTCTTCAAAACTGAGCAGACCAGCCTCACCCGTGGATTTCCATTGCCATGGGTGCTCTTCGCCAAGGGGCGCTGGCAGACACATTCAAACGCTTCCCAACCGCCGCCGAGGTGTTTCTGGCCCTCTTTCCGGGCAAGATGGCCAAGCTAATCGAGGACACCAAGAACAACGAGGAGCTGGCCATTGGGCTGACCAATAAGCGCATCCAGCGCCACGATTCGGCGCGCAAGGACTTCATGACCCGCATCCTAGAGAAGCGCGACCCCGCCAAGGTCTCGGACTTGCAGCTGGCTGCCCACGCCTCCGACTTTGTCATTGCCGGCAGCGAGACCACCGCCACGGCGCTTGCCTGCATCCTGTACTACCTGCTCAAGGACCGAGCCGTGATGGAAAAGCTGTGCAACGAGGTGCGGACGTGGTTCACATCATACGACCAGATCACCTCGCTGGCCACACTGCCGTTACCGTATTTGAAGGCCGTCATTCTGGAAGGTCTGCGGATCTACCCGCCGCTGCCATTTGCCTTGCCAAGGGTAGTGCCAGAGGGCGGCGATACCGTGGATGGCATTTTCCTCCCGGCTGGAGTAAGTTTCCTTTTCCCTGCGGAGAAGACGTAGCACCCGCAGTAACCGCCTACAGACCATAGTAAGCACAAACCCGGTGGCGGCTAGCCTAGATTCCCGGTACTTTAGCGAGCCGATGGCCTTCAAACCAGGGCGGTGGCTAGCCTCGAGCGGAAACACGCGGGACAACCTGGCCGCCACACAGCCATTCTCTCTCGGTCCCAGAGCTTGTCTTGGAAGAAAGTGAGAGTTTCCTCCGAATCCCCCCCCTTTTCGACCTCAGAATAAGTGCTAACCATCGCCAACTCTTCCACCCAGTCTGGCGTGGCTGGAGCTGCGGACAGTTCTGGCGAAGCTGCTCTGGACGTATGATCTAAAACTGGTGAATGAGGAAATCGACTGGCACCGCGATTCGAGAATGCTGACGCTCTGGAGGAAGCCCCCGCTGTGGGTGAAGGCGGAGCACAAGCAGGGGCGACCAATGTGAGTGTGAGCGGCTGAGCCAGCACTGCGGCAGCATGGCTTGGCCTGGCCCGATTGGGAAATTCCCGAAGGAGCAATGCAACCGCCTGAGAAGTAGTTATGTGAGGGCCCAGGTAGAAAAGAGAGAGAGAGAGAGAGAGAGAGACGTGACTTGTGCTATAGAGCATCAGAGCAGCAAGGTCAGCAACCGACAGTTGATTCACTATTGTGCACTATGGCGTCGCTGAGCATCAAAGAGAGTGACATTCCGTCGCAGGCCGGGAAAACCGCCGTCATCACCGGTCCGCAACCCCAACCAACCCGGGTCTGCCCGGTTGATCCCTGAGGAGATGAGATGATGTTCGCTAACATAGGTGGTATTCCGCGGCGCGTGTAGGAGGAGCCTCTGGCATTGGCCTCGCAGCGGCCAGGATTCTCGTCGAGAAGGGGGCCGCAGTCCACGTGCTCGACCTTAACAGGCCGGCCGCAGAGGAGGATCAGCACATCCCGGGCCTGCAGTTCCACCAGTGCAACATTTCCGTCTGGGAGGAGCTCCGCAGCGCCTTCGAGGAGATCGGTCACATTGACTACGCCTTCGCTAACGCCGGCGTGTCGGAGGAGACCGATTACTTCGCCGACACACTGGACGGAGAGGGCCGCCTCATCGAACCGACATACCGCGTGCTCGACGTCAACGTCCGCGGCGCCTACAACGTCGTCAAGCTGGCGTGGAGCCACATGCGCAAGGATAAGACGCCGGGCAGCATCGTCATCACCACGAGCGCGTCCGGGTACGCACCCGAGCAGTCGCTGCCAGTGTACTCCAGCGGCAAGTTGGCGGTGAGTGCGACCCAAACGTAGAAGAGTACCCAGACCTGACGTGAGATGCTTGTGAAACCGAACACAGCTCGTCGGACTCATCCGCGCCCTCCGATCCGTAATCATCCAGGACAACATCACCATCAACGGCGTCGCCCCCGCAGCCACCATCACCAGCCTCCTCCCGGCGCACCTGGCAGCTCCCATCATGGCCATGGGCTTGCCCGTCAGCGACGCCCGATTTGTAGGTCTTGCTCTGGTACACTCGGCCGTGGCGACGCAGAACCGCCGCGTGCAGGCCTATGGCAAGGAGGCCGATGGTGATGTTTGGAAAAAAGGAGAGCGTTGGAACGGGCGAGTGATCTTGACACTGGGGGACCGCTACACCGAATTGGAGGAACCGACGGCGGACCTGCGGCCCTTCTGGTTTGGCAGGGAGAATACGCAGATGACAAGGTTGCAGCAGGCGGCCACGGATTTCCGTCCGCTGGGTAGTGGCTGAGTCGGTACCCAGCTGAGGCTGTTGAGCTGAGTGAAGTGCCGCTGCTCGGGATTTTCCCGTTTAGCCTGGTCGTTTGTGTCAGGGTAGTAACGCAGAAGCATGCCTTGGGTAGCCTGACTGTAACTCGGAGTCGAGGAACGTATCGCTTTTCGGTAATCGCTGTTAGGCCTTGGATGTGTCTGAGTCCGTCACCTATTATTCCCTGTAATGGATTCCTTCAGCGCTTGCTCTTTGCCCAAACGGGACGTTCCCAATACGGAAATTGCCTGCGCCTAGCCCTGCAACGGGCTAAACCCTAAACCGCCTTGTTCCAGCAATCTACGGAATAGAGTTCTGGATAAGACAAGGGGTCGTCGTTGAGAGGGAGGAATCCGCCTTCCTGCCATCCCAGATCCAGTCAACTCTTGCTCACCGCTCAACGCCCCTGACTTGATTCGACTCGGTTTAACATCTTCCCATTGACGCCATGTCTATCCAGGTGGAAACCCGCACCAACGCCACGGCCCTCAACGCCAACGGGGCCAAGCACCCGGCGGTGAAGGAGACGTGGAAGATCCCGCCATCCAACTGGCAGGCCTTGATCCATCCCCGCGTTGAGGAGGTTTCCCGCGAGGTGGACGGCTACTTCCTCGAGCACTGGAACTTCCCCGACGACCGTGCCCGGTCCACGTTTCTGAAGGCTGGCTTCTCCCGTGTCACATGCTTGTACTTTCCGCTGGCCAAGGACGACCGGATCCACTTTGCCTGCCGTCTGCTCACGGTGCTCTTCTTAATTGATGGTGGTGTTCCGTTCATTTCTCTTCCTCGCCGAAATCTTTGATTCTCTGAGCTGACCGGGCCTCCCCGCTCCTGCAGACATCCTCGAGGACATGTCGTTCGCGGACGGCGAAAGGCTCAACAACAGACTGATAGAGCTCTCTAAAGGTCCCAAATATGCGACCCCAGACAGTAAGTGGCCTCAAGGCTCCCAGAGTTCCCCAGAAGGAGGAAAAAGAGAATAGGCCGTTAAGAAACGATTCAAAACTAGGATCCATCCCGGCCGAGTTTGTTATCTTCGACCTGTGGGAGAGCATGCGGAAGCATGACTTCGAGCTCGCCAACGAGGTGCTCGAGCCGACCTTTATCTTTATGCGATCGCAGACCGACCGGATCCGGCTGAGAATCACGGAGCTTGGCGAGTACCTGCGGTATCGCGAGAAGGACGTGGGCAAGGCGTTCGTGGTCCCCCTTCTCTTTTGACGTCTTTCCTTTTCCCTAACCAGTTTATCAGCCTCCTTTCCGCCCTCATGCGCTACTCCATGGACTTGCGCCCTACTCCGGACGAGCTCAGGCTCCTGCGGCCGCTCGAGGGGAACTGCTCTAAGCATCTCTCGGTGGTTAACGATATCTACAGTTTTGAGAAGGAGGTGCTCGCTGAAAAGACGGGCCACGCCGAGGGCGCATACCTGTGCTCGGCGGTCAAGGTGGTGGCGGCTGATACGTCGCTGAGTATCGCCGCCACCAAGCGGGTGCTGTGGTCCATGGTGCGTGAGTGGGAGCTCGTTCACGATGCCATGGCCGAGGCTCTCGGCCTGCAGCTCAGCCAAAGCCAGGCCGTCCGTGACTACGTGCGGGGGTTGCAGTACCAGATGAGTGGGAATGAGCTCTGGAGCAAGACGACGCCGCGGTATCTGGAGCCGATTCAAGAGACGGGCGGTCAGTTGTAATCATGACAAGGCGCAAATAGGTGTTGCTGCATCTCAAAGGCATCAGAATTATCTGTTGGTACGCTGTCGTTGCCCACACTTAAAGAGGTCGAAATAAATATTATTCTTATTCCTACACCGCTGTGCCCTGGGGCGTGCCGGACCTTCAACTACTTACTATACAGGAAAGCCGTACCCTTGCGGGTCGGGTGAAAAACTCATATCGGCAATCAAGAAAACGATCAGTGAGCGATCCTGCAAATACAAAGTGAGAAGGCCTCTTGGCCTTCGAACGGAAGGGATATCAGACCACGAGCTCCAACTCCAGCCTCCCTGGCCAGACTGTACATCGGTAGCCTCCCCGATTCCATCAGCCAGTCCAGGATCCTCCCCGTTAGCCGTGCAGCTTTGGGAATGATTCCCTGTAGAACAGAGTAAAAGTCCCTTCGCCTTCTAACCTCGGCTCTCTCCCATCTTCGAGTCAACGGTGGGGCCAAGCACCACATCACCAGGTGTTCGACAGTCGCTCTCCGCTCTCCACACTCGCAGTTGGGCGTCAGGACCTCTGGGACTCTCGGTTTGAATAAGAAGTCCCGAAGACTTACGGCCCCAGTTCGAATCTGAACCAACAGTGAACTTCTCGCTCTGTTGAGGCCATCGTGCCTCTGTAGGGTCTTGTCTTGGAACAGGGTCTCCTGCTGTTGGTCGAGGTCGTCTGACGGCCTCGTTGTTGCCCGGCCGTCTCGTTCCTTGAGCCACCTCTCTCTCCAGGCCTCCTCTGACAGCCCTATCGAAATAAATACAGTTGTCCTTGGTTTGATAAATACAGGCTTCACAAAGCGAAGACTTGAAACTTGAATAAATTGTGCGTGTGCGTGTGTATGGGAGTGAGTGTACGTATGTAGAGCCAAACTACCGGAGACTATCCCTTTTCCCAGTCCTCTGCTACAATGATAAAGGGACACTGATCGTATTCCATTTGAACTTTTTAGTAACTATAAGAGAACCAAGAGTCTAAGACCACTGTGCCTACTTCCCCGTCTCCTATCGCCAAATGGTAAACACTATCGCAACGTGGCACAGCTATGCTTCATCTTCCTGGCAGGTGTCGAAGACGTGAGCTCCGAAGAGCGAAGGGCCATTTGCAGTCATTCTATGAGGGTTAAGAATCTAGGCTAGGAACGGCCCCTCGGCAGCAGGTTACGACGGCTTTGCGTTTCAGTTGTTGCCTACCTACTATCATTTCATTTGCCGCTTGACGACTTGATATATAATGCGGATCATAGATTACTGTCTCCTACTTGGCGGCGGTTCAGTCATATAACCTGTAAGTTCCCATAGCCACCGAGCTCGAAGATTCGATTCACCAGACGCCACCACCAGAAAGGTTAACTCGTCAGTTAATCACGGTCGCCAATCCGGCACCCACCAGACGTCGAGATATAGAGAACGACTTACTGCCTCCGTTTAGTCGCTTGAAAAGTTCTGTCGTCTCCAGAGACAGGGGGTCTGCGGTTTAGGGTCCGCAACAGGTGCGGACTGGCCTCCGCAGGACGCAAAGGTTGTGGCACCGAGAGCAAGCCTTTTCGCAAGTTGCATCATGTTGTAGCGTACCAACGTGGGAGGTGGTGGAGGCCCGAGAGTCGAAGGAGACAAAACAGGGTAACCTAGCTAGTGTAACGGCCTGAGCTCGAGGTAGGCCTCGGTGACTCAGCCAGCTCTCTTACAAGCACAGTCCATCAGACCCCTTGGATGAAGCTATTCCCACTCGACCCACAGCATCGAACCTTCTGGCACGACGCCACAACCACTTCGCTCACTTATCAGGGGACCATGCAAGCCCCCACGACATGTTTCGCTTTTTATTTCTTCAAGTTCAGTGTATTCGTAGGGTCGTCATCAACCAATTGCAAATATACTCGTCCAGACCGTTGCAGCTAGCGCGGCACCGGATATGCGAACTGTCTTTCGTGCGCGGCTGCCTGCAGGCTGGCTGGACACGGTTGTTGAACAGGTAGGTTTTGTTCGATGCCGAGAGAATTAACTAGGAAGCTATACTCTCTTCTTTCCGCTACGGGCTCGCCTAGATCTCCTCCTCACGGTCCCCTGGTCTGATTCCCGTCTTCTTTCACTTCCCACTTCTTTTCCCCTCGCGGGGTCCGGGTAGGGTAGTCGGCAACCGCTTGAAAGTCAGTGGGAATAGATTGTTACCTGCTTTCAGTGTATACAAAAACATGTCGTAAATATAGCAAGGGGAAAGCCCTCTAGAAAACCTGTCGAGTATTCCGATATTTAGCTTGTCGTTGTCGCTCGACTGCGACTGCTAAGGGGAGGCCGAAACGGACACCTGGCTGCCAAGGGCCAAAGCGTAGATTCTCACTACGAACCATTGTCTTGACCTGGGTTGGGCCAAGTGACAGGCGCCAACCGATGATAGAAGCTATATTCTGTCTCAACAGGTAGCCTCGACCACTTAATGATTAAGTTAAATAAGTTTTTCTCCAGCTCTAAACAGCGTCCAATCCAATGACTGGAGTTCATTGTTTAGCAACTCCCATGGTTAGGCCATACATTGCATACACAAATCATGTATATTGCAGGGGTGCAGTTGCCAAAAGCAGATTGCGGGTCCCTAGAAGGAAAAAACATACCACAACAAACACCAATCGCCGATGGATTCCTTGTTTGTGGGAAAGAACAGGCTCCTTTATGTCAACACAAGGGGAAGATCCCATCTAGCTAGACTGGAACTTGATGGACAGGACAATAATGGGATGAGAACTTCTACCATCTCAGCAGAAAAACACCATACGTTAGTACCTAAGTGGCAAAGGGATCCTTTTCCTCCCGCCTCGGCCACAACAAACTTGAACTACTCACGCCGCTACAGTAAGCGGTGCCAACTTCCTGCTCCGCGCAATAACCTTTCCTGCCACCTCGGTAATAGATGAGCTTCCTAGCAAATCAAAAATGCTGATCTCAATCCTCGCTCGGGGCACCAGCCAGTTTCTCAACTCGACGGCCACCAGCGAGTCGACACCATAGCACGACAGAGGCTGTGCCGGATCGATATCCGCCTCGGGCAGCACAAACATATTCGCCAGCTTGGACACGACAGCGCGCTGCACCACCTCGGTGGCCTCGCCAGCGGACGGCGCCGAAGCCATCTGCTCGTGCAGCTGTCGCTGCGCCGCCGCCTCCTTGGCTCCGCCCTTGCCCGACCCGCCCGCGGCCTCGCTGTTGCCCGTGGGGTCGTGCAGGGCCAGGAAGCGGGGTTCGCCCGTAAAGAGCGCGGCGCCGGTGATGCCGGCGGCGATCTGGGCGGTGCGGACATCGGGCCGAACGGGGCGGCGGAGGGCGTGCTCGACGAGGGCGAGCACCTCGGCCTCCTCGAGCGGGCGGTGGCCGCTGCGGGCGAGGCGATCCTTGACGCCGTCCGTCTCGGCCACGAAGCCGACCGAGTTGACGATGCCGAGGTCGAGCACCACGCCAGGGAGGCCCTGGGCGGCGCGGTGGCGCACTAGCGCGTCCTGGTAGGTGCCGCCAGCGGCGTAGTTGGACTGCGAGGTGCTGCCGAGCACACCCGAGGCCGAGGACAGCACGAGAAAGAAGTCCAGGCTTTGGGAGGCGAACACCGAGTGCAGGTTGCGGGTGCCGTCGAGCTTGGTGTTGGTGGCGTTGAGCCATTGTTGGTACGCCATGCGCTCAAGGACCGAGTCCTATGGGTACAGGGGTTGTTTTGTTTAGTAGTCTTCTTTCTGGGCGAAGAGGGAGCGTTGATGAGGAAGAAGAGCGCCACTTACATCGAGTACCATACCGCTGTGGATGACGCCACGGATCGGAGGCATCCCGGAAGCATCGTGCTCCTTCATGACAGACTGAAGTGAGGCCATGCTGCCCACATCGCAATTCCTTATCGACACCTTTGCGCCTGCGGCTTCCAGCTCACGGCCAAACTGGAGGTTCTCGGGTCGGGATGCTGCGCTGCGCGAGACAAGCAGGAGATTCTTTGCGCCGTGGTCAACAAGCCACCGCGAGATGGACTGGCCAATGCCCGTGAGACCGCCCACGATGAGATATGTTGCATTGGGCGCCACGTCAATTGCTGCCCGGGGCGGTGGCACTGCCCGGACCATATCGCTCGCCCCGGGGACGATGACGATCTTGCCCATGTGCTTGCCGGCCTGCATCGTACGGAATGCACGCGACACATCGGCGAGAGAATAGGTGGTGACAGGCGCGACATTTGCGATGGTGCCGTCGCCGAGCTGCTTGACGAGCTGCTGCAGGATACGCTGTATGGTCTTGCCCCTGTTGTCGGCCAGCTGGACGACATCAACGTGCATGAACGACAGACCCCTGCGGAAGGGTTCCATGTCGAGCGACTTGTTGGTGTGGATGTCCTTCTTGCCGATCTCGACGAAGCGCCCATGCGGCGCCAGAACGGCACTCCAACTCTCATGCAGCAGCTTGCCGGCAAGCGAGTTGACAACAACATCGACACCGCGCCCGCCCGTCGCTGCCATGACGCCCGCCGCAAAGGATACGTCACGGCTCGAGAAAATGTGGCTGGCCGGAATCCCGTATGTCTCGGTCAAGAATTGCCGCTTCTCGGGGGTGCTGACCGTGGCATACACCTCGAGCCCTGCGCTCTTGGCGAGGATGATGCATGCCTGGCCCACGCCACCGGATGCGGCGTGGATCAGGACGCTGTCGCCCTCCTCGGCGCGCGCCGACTCGAAGAGGGAGTACCACGCCGTGACAAACACAATGACGAAGGACGCGGCCGTCTCAAACGACATATGCTCCGGGATGCGCGCCACGGACGTCCGGGGAACACGCACACGGTTCGCAAAGTGGCCGTGGACGGTCAGCGCGCACACACGATCGCCAATCCGCAGTGGTGCTGCACTCCCCTGAGACTCAGAGTGAGAAACAGCCACTGGCCCCACCGCCGTGACGATGCCCGCACACTCGCTGCCCATCTCCTGCTTCTCATTGAGCTGCCCCATGGCGCTCATGACGTCGCGGAAGTTCAGGCCAAACGCCTTCGGCTCGATCTCGACCCAGTCGTCCCGCAATGGCACCCGCGGGCTGACAGCCGGGTCGTCGCGGAACACGATGCTGTCCAGCAGACCAGGGATGTCGACATGCATGCGCAGTGGCCGGCCGGGCTGAACGAAAGGCTGCATGCTGGGCTGCTGCTGCTGCTGCTGCTGCTGCTGCTGGCCTGTGTTGTTATTATTGTCGCCAGCGCCCACGAACTCGTCGTTTTCCGCGACGTCGCGATGCAGCCGAGGGATGAAGATACGCGCGCCGCGCTCGGCATACTCAAAGTCCACGGTTCCCGGCTCGCGGCTGCGGTCGAGAGCAGCGCGGAACACGGTGACGATGGCGTCGCGGCTGGCCGCTGTCCAGGGGGGGCGCGACGGGTCGAGGTCGAGCGACGCGAAGATTTTGCTGTTGTCTTCCACGCGAGCAGTGCGCAGAAGGCCGAGGTGCATGGCGTTCTCGGGGATCGGGCAGTCCATGGCCGAGCCACTGGTGACCCAGAGGACGCCCTTGGCGCTAGTGATCATGGCTTTGATGCCGGTAAAGGCGGACTCGGTGAATTGTTGGGGTTTTCCAGACAAGCCCGACAGGAAGAGAAGCGTCTTCCCCGTGGCATCGAGCGAGCCAAGGCTGGAGGGTCGCACCGACTTGATCCCCAGCTTGTTCTTGAGCTCCGCAACGAGCTCGGCGCACCACGCCTGTGGCGGAGGGCTTTCCGCTTCGTCGTACACCAGCGTCACCTCCTCCTCCAAGGCGGGCCGCTGCGAGGGGGCTGCCGTGGACACGATGCAGCTCATGCATTGATGGACCGGATCTTCGCAGTCCCAGACGTTCAGGTCCAGACCGCTGAATCCAGTTTCTCGCAGGACTCTGTCCCAGCTCCTAAGCGGCAGGTTGGGGTTCTGCTTCCGCTCGGGCTCCTCACTTAGCCACCAACCGGGCACCGTCCCGAAGATGAGCGTCATGTCGGGAGTATCCTGTGTCGTCTCGACGAGTACCAGCTTCCCGCCGTCCTTCAGCAGCCTTCGCACATTTGTCATCGTGTAGGCCAGGCTCTTGGTGGCGTGCAACACCTGCGCGGCGATGATCACGTCATAGGAGCCGGTCTGGAAGTTCTGGCCCTCAGGGTCCTCCTCGATGTTCAGCGTCTGGTAGCTGATCATCTCGCCCCAAGCGCCAAACTGCTCGCGAGCTGCCTGGAAGAAACCCATGCTGATGTCGGTGAAGTCGTAGTGCTCAAACTGCACCGGCAGGCCCGTGTTGCCACCGCCGAGCGCCTGCAGTACGGGCAGGGTGCATCCTCCTGTGCCGGCACCGATCTCAAGAATCCGCATGCGCGGGTTCTCGGCGGCCATCGCCTGGACCACCTTGCCGGCCTGGGCGGTGGAGCGGGGGAAGTGGAGGATGTTCTTGTAGAACTTGTACAGCAGCTGGTCGCGGAGCATGAGCTCCAGCGGCGCGATCTCCCTGCGCATGATGGCCAGCATGTTCTTGCCCAGGCGGACAGCGAGTTCGCCGTTGACGCTGGCCTTCTCCACGCGGTCGTAGAGCATCTGCTTCACGCCCTCCGACGTCGTGGCCCAACGGGCGCTCTTGGGCGCAAGCTGGTTGGCGGCCGCCTTCTGCTCCAGGGCGAGCATCCAAGTATGAAACACTTTGTGGTGCCATTCCAGGCCTGCGATATCCTCGTCGGTGAGCTCCTGGAGGAGGTCGTGGACGAAGTGGTACGTCGCGCGGATGAGGTCCTGGGCGATGATCTTTTCATCCTCGGGCGTGTCATACTTCAACGACTCTCGAAGGGGTTCCTTGTCGTTCAGGGCGAAGCTCTCCTTCCAGTCGGTAATGAGGCAAAGCCTTTCTGGTGCGCTTTCGTGCTCGTCGGCCGATCGGCCAAGGCTCTGAAAGTGCATCGTGTCCATCTCAATGACAGGTGTTGTGTTGGTATTGGCATATCCCTCATCGTCCGGGAGCACGGCAGCAGAAACATCAAACCCCTGGCGACTGTGCCGCAGTAGACGCGAGTACTCCTTCAGGTGGTGGCCCGTCTCGCTGCCGATCTGTGACGAGATGTAGAGCCGCTTGATGGACCGCGGAACCGATGCACCCACAAGCTTCCGGCCGTCGGCGGACAAGGTTGAGTAGGCGGCCTGAAACACAGCGTCGAGCGTGATGGGATGAATAACATGTGGTTGCTGGTTGCGCCCAGGCATGGTGGCTGCCGAGTCTGCGACGTCAAAAGTCACCAGGGATTTGCCGTCCGCCATGCGGATCCTCGTCAGGTTCTGGAAGGAGGGTCCATGGGTGACCCCAACCGCATGGAGGGACTTGAAGAGATCCTTGGGGTTCATCTTCTTGGGATACGAGCTGAGGGGTGCTCCGACGCCGAGCGCCGCCGTGGACTGGAGTAGATATTGCTGCTGCTCACTTGCACTTGGTGCTCCCCGTGCGAATTCGAGAGCGATGCGGCCTTTGGCGATCTCGACCCAATCATCATCCTGCGTCGGAGCCGAATAGATGTGGAACTGGCGCCAATCCTGCACCAGAGACTTCTCGTTGGGCGGTTCGAGGAAGAGCTGCACCTCGACTCCGTCCGTGTTCTCGGGGATAATCAGCGCCTTGATGATCTCGACATCCTGGAGCAGATACCCGGAAATCTCCCTCGCTTCATCCTTTTTTCCACAGTGAAGCTGCCGCATGGCCTCGATGGCCATTACGATATAGCCCGACCCGGGGTAGATGACGCTGGAGTGCACGACGTGGTCGTTGACCCATGGCACGTCGCTGGCACGGAGGATGTGCCGCCAGACCGGAGACAAGTCGCTTGTGCCCGGCATGCGGACCCCAAGCAGGTCGTGCGCAGGATGCTCCCGGAAGCGGTGCTCGCGGCTGATGCGGGGCTCGTTCCAGAAGCGGGTCGCATGGTTCCAGGGGTAGGACGGGAGGTCTGGGATGGCTCTCAGGTCTAGGCCGGCCTCGCCCCGGGGAAAATTGACCTTCCCCATGTCCACCGATCCACCCTTCGCGAGGACCAAGCCAGCCAGGGCTTGAGCGGTCAATACGGCATCCTGGCCTCTCGTGAGGGAGGAGCCGTACGTGATGCCGAGCTTCCTCATTGCCGGCTCGCTCAAGCACTGCCGAATGGGCCCAGCGAGGGCGCCGTGGGGCCCAATCTCAACAACCATGTCGACGATCGGGGCGGTGGAGGATCCGCCCTCCTGCTTCGTGAGCACCATATCCGAGAAGCACTGGGCGAAGAGTACGGGCTGCACCATGTTCTCAATCCAATGCTCGGGCCCCAGCTCGTTCGCGTCCTCGACCTTGCTCCCTTGCACGGGCGAGAAGAACTGGACGTCGGGGTGGAAGAACCTGTTGTTGCCGCGCATGTGCGTGTGCAGAGCGGCGCGGTATTCGTCCTGGAGGGGATGCATGTGATGCGAGTGGAAGGCCGCCTGGACTTTGAGCTTCCGCGCAAAGATGGATTGCTCGGCGAACTTCTTCTCCAGCTCGTCAATCCCGGCGAGGTCGCCTGACAGGGTGACGCTGGACGGGCTGTTGACACACGCAACAACGACCCTGCCTGACTGGACAGCATCAATGTACGACGCCACGTCCTCTGGGCCTAAGCCTACGGCTATCATGGCACCTGGGGTGGTGTCGTTCGTCGCCTTGACGTGCTGCATGTTGATCAGACCACGGAAGTAGGTGCAGGCCATGGCTTCCCGCAAGTCGAGTGCGCCGGCTGCGAAGGCTGCCGCAACTTCGCCGGACGAGTGGCCACAGACGGCTGACGGCTTGATACCCCATTCGGCCAGGAGGCAGACGAGTGCAAGTTGGATGGCGCACGACAGCGGCATGCTGAATTGCACTTCGTTGACGCGCGAGGTCTGGTCATTCTGTTGCAGTTCCTCTGGGGTGGCGGGTATGAGAGGTTAGCATGAAACAAATGGGAGACGGAAAGGGGAGGGAAGGGGTGGCTTACCGAGTATTGACCAATCCGCTCCGAACTCCTTGATGATGGCATCACACTCTTGGAGTATCTTCGCGAAGGTGGGATAAGAGGCGATGAGTTCCCTTCCCATGCCAAACCACTGCGCACCTTGACCGTTGAAGGCGAATCCGATGCGGACGGGTGTGGCAGGCGCCTGGAGGGGCTTCGCCGCTGGGTCGGACAAGGCGTCCACCAGCTCCGTTGCCGAACAGGCCGAGGCCGTCAACGTCCAGGGGAACCTCGAGCGTCGCTGACCAAGGGTATATGCCAGGTCATGGAATGAGACCTCGGTCGACTTGAGATAGTCGCAGAGATTCGCCGCCATCTTCCTCGTGGCCGCCTCGTCCTTGCCACTAAGGACAAACAGCCTGCTGCTCTTTTCCGTGTGCGTGACAGCCCCATTCATGAGATCAAACTTGTTAGCCTGGGGCGGGGGCGGGGCCTGTTCTAGAATGACATGGGCGTTTGTGCCGCCGTAGCCGAAATTGTTGATTGAGGCGCGGCGGATACCTCGAGAGGATGGCCAGTCTTCGAGTGCTGTTGGCACCTGTAAAAGTTTCAAGCTATTAGCTCATCCTTTCTGTTCAAACACATGAGTAGAGCTTCACATACCTTCAGCCTCAGAGCGTGCAGGTCAATCTGGGGATTGGGCTGCTCGAAATTGATGCTCGGCGCAACCTTGCCCTTCTCCAGGGACTTCGCCATTTTGATGATGGCGGCCAGTCCCGAAGCGGCCTCGGTGTGGCCAAGATTCGTCTTCACCGACGCCAGATACAACGGCCTGTCCGCCGGCCGCTGCTCACTCAGGGCCTTGCCAATGGCTCGCGCCTCGATGGGATCGCCCGTCTTGGTGCCCGTGCCGTGTGCCTCCACAACAGCTGTGTCGGCTGGATCGAGTCCGGCTCGCTCATAGCACGTCTTTATCAGCGTGACCTGGGCACCCTCGTCCGGCGAGGTGATGGTGGCCGTCTTGCCGTCCTGGTTCACGCCCGTCTCGCGAACCACGGCACGGATGGGATCCCCCTGTGCCAGGGCATCGGACAGGCGCTTGACGATGATGGTGGCCACGCCTTCACCGCGCCCATACCCCTGGACGCGGTGATCGAAGGCATAGCAGATACCGTCAGGGCCACAGGTCCTGTTTTGGTAGGCCAGATTCGTCAGTTGCAAGTGGCCTGAAGGATAGGGCTTTTGCCTGGGACAGTCGGACTTACCCCATATTTGACAAGCTGAAGAAGACCTCCGGGTTGAGATGTACGCAGGCGGCCCCGACGATGGCGAGGTCTGTCTCCCCGGACCGGAGACTCTGCGCGGCAAGATGCAACCCAACAAGGGAGGTGGAACAGCCAGTGTCGATGGCGGTGCTGGGGCCCTTCAGATCGAAGAAATGCGAGATGCGATTTGCCGCCATGGCGTCGTAGTTGCCCGTGATCAAGCTGCGAGGGCGCCGGAGGTGGTCGGCCAACAGGTGGTCATGGTAGTCTTTGGTGAAGGTGCCGGCAAACACGGCCGTGTTGGAACCGGCGAGCTTCTGGACGGGGATTCCCGCTTTGAAGATTCCTCGTCAGAACTGATTTGGATCTTTGATCAAAGAGTCTGACTGTGGAGGTGTGTACGCACCGCTCTCTATTGCCTCAAAGGCTAACTCTAGCTGCTGCCTGATCTGGGGGTCCATAGCCTATCCAAAGGACTCGGTTAGCAGGCTTCGAATGCTGCCCAAGGAACACGGGAATATGGCCTCACGGCTGCCGCCTCGGCGGTGAAGTTGAAGAAGGACGTGTCAAACAGTCCGACATCCTCTTCCAGGAAGTGGCCTCCCTTGACGGACGACTAGGGTACATATTAGTAGTCAGAGTTTCGTGACGGGGTCATGGCCCACGAGCGAGGACATCACGTACAGTGGTATGGTTGAAGGCGTCAAGGTTGAACCTCGATTCCGGGATGGTAGACCAGGAACTGCGCCCCTGCGAGACATAGTCCCAGAGCTTCTCGGGACTGTTGACGCCGCCGGAGAAGCGACATGCCATGCCAACGATGGCCAGCGGCATAGTTGGCGGCTCAACGGGGTACCCGTTGCTGTGCTCTGCGGGCGACATGATTGCAGGTGGGAGGGAGCGGGCCGGATTGAAACCAGAGGTGATGATTGATCAAACCGGAACGAGGCTCGCGATACGGCGGGCAATGCAGTCAATAATGTAGCTCAGTAAGGTACCTTATACCTTAACCTAAGTTACCCCGGTTGTCGGACATGGAGCGACAGGTAAGTCGGCCCGTCCTTCGACTCCTGCAGTGGCCGCCCGGCGCTCATGATGTTGAACTGCCCAGGCAAGAACATCTTCGGAGGGCATCTCGAATCCGTTGTAGCCGGCATTGTTCCGAGTCCTGTTGTCAGCGGCGTTGTGGAGGAGAGTTGCATTAGTTCCTTTTTTTGGCAATGGCCGACGCCTTTGATTTATTAGTGATTCAGCGGCAAACCCCAGCTGGGATGAGCAGCCGATAGTTGACGTTAGCGCCTGCATGCCCTCTCCCAACCCCTGCAATTCTCGTGGTGGGTACTGTTGTAATGCAAGTTCACAGCATGCACTGCGAACCTGGCAGTCGTATCCGAGTAACCTGAGGAGTGCAGACATGGCCCGGGTCATACCTGATTCCGTAGCTTCCAGATTGACCAGTATCCGAACTATTCCCGGGGCCAATAGCGTTTGCTTACCTGTGGCCTGTGCATTGGGTTGCTAGTACTGTATAATTATTATCTTACTATGTAGTACCTTAACCTGCATCAGCAACTCAGCATCGAGTGAGGGTTCCTCCCCATCTTGGCTCCCGGCTCGGGGTCGGGTCATCCCGTCCCCCGGTCCCCGTTGCTCAGTGCTGCACTACGAGATCACTACCAGGTGCATCCTCCGTATATGATTCCGTCGTTGGTCCTTGGCATAAAATGAACGCCGACCTGCAGTGTCCGAGTGTCCCGCACCTTCCGCTAAGCTTTCCATCCTCCTCTTCCTCGATTTGCTGTTGCCTACTCGAGGGTTCCCCAAGTCTCCAATATGGCGACTTTATCCACCGCCATGCCTGGCCGCAGCCTACTACACGGCGTGATAGCGGTCCTTCACGAGCACTCATGGTTAAGCCTGGTGGCGTTCTTGGCACTTGTCCCTATACTGACCTTCGTCACGACCTCGATCATCTCACTCCTCGGTCGATACAGCAGTAGGGATGGTCGTGAGCCACCGTTGAAGCCGTACTGCATTCCCTATCTTGGTGACCTCATAGGGTACTCGATGTCAAGAAAGAAGTTGGTGGAAGCGACCTAGTAAGTGTCATTCTGTCCAAACCTACCTAGTAACTCCTCCACTTCTGTGAAATCTCGTTAATGAAAAGTCCATCAGTCATCGCTATGGCGGCTCTATGCCCCTTACCCTCAAGCTGGGCCCGGCCAAGGCATATCTTCTGCTTCAGCCCGAATCGTTCCCCCCCTTGCTTAGGGACTCGAAGGCTTGTACCAACAAAGTCTTTTCCGTGCTGATGATGGAATACGTCTTTGGTTCTCCTAAACATGCAATGCGTATGTTGCTCATGCCCTGGACATACTACTTAGTTGCTGACCGCCCATTCTAGATGTGTACAAGAACGACAACAGCGGTGTTGGCGCGACACCACTTCCCGGAACCAATGTCCCGCCGCATCTCAGGATCTGGTTTCACCAGCACAAGAGCAACGGGCGCTATCTCACGGGCGAGAATCTTAAGCAGCTCAGCGCTCGCATGTTGGATTGTCTCTCGGCCGAGCTAGCCAAGACGGACCCGGGCAACCCCGTTGACTCGGGGGAGTGGGCGACAGTCCCACACTTTTTCGACTGGTGGGTGCACAAGCTAACAGCGGCGCACATCACCGCGAGTTTCGGTCCCCATCTCCTGAGACTGAACCCTGACTTTGTGGAGGATTTTTGGACATACCTCGGCGAGTGGCCCAGCATCACCGGTTTCTACCCGCGCTGGCTCGCTCCGAGAGGCTACGAGGCGCGCGAACGGGTCCTGGAGGGCATCAAGCGCTGGTATGCCTTTGCGCGGGAGCACTCGGACTACCGCGCGACCGGGCCCAACGATCCGGCCTGGGACGACTACTGGGGCATGACATGGCACAAGGTGCGTCACCAATGGGGTCACGACACGGGGGAATGGGACGACGATGCACTCGCCGCCGAGGACCTCGCCCTCGTCGTTGCGTAAGTTCCAGTGATACTACTAGTAGTATCTTTTTTTAAATCTCCTTCTGTTCTTCTCCCTCTTTTTCCTGCTCACATACACTCATACGATGAGACTAACTGTGCCCACAAACTCAGCGCCAACGCAAATGTCCTCCCCATGTGCTTCTGGAATCTGATGCACGTATTCAGCGACGGGGAGCTGCTCGCCCGCGTGCAGGACGAGTACAAGGCCTGCATCGTACCACCGCCTAGCAAAGAATCTGGAGGCGGGGAACCCGAGCTGCCGCTCCGTTTTGACATCACCAACATTGTCTCGTCGCCGCTCCCGCAGTCCATCTACGCCGAAGCGCTGCGCATACACGTCGTCATGTTCCACAACCGCTCGCCGAATCTGCACGACTACCGGCTGGGCCCGTTCACGCTCCGCAAGGGCGCCGTGGTCACGCTGCCGTCCATGATCGCCTCCCACCGGGCCGGGCTCTGGGGGGATGCCCGCACCGCCGGCGGCAAGCGACCCTTGGACGCGTTCTGGGCCGAGCGCTTCCTCGTGCCAGACGAGAAGGAGGACAAGATGGCGGCCGACGACGGCGAGAGGAAGATGAGGTTCTCCACCGAGGGCCTCGAGGGCGTGTGGATCCCCTACGGCGGCGGCTCGTTCATCTGCCCCGGTCGGCACCTCGCCAAGAGACTGATCATCGGCACCGCGGCCGTGTTTGCGGCCTACTTTGACATGGAGACCGTGCATGGCGTACCGCATATGGACGACCGCTTCTTTGGCTTGGGCACGATGCCGCCCGCGGGCCACGTTCCGGTGCGGATCCGCCGCAAGTTGGGCGTTGTCCAGCCGCTGCCCCGCCAGGGAAGAGGCTCACGGCCGAAGAATGCGTGGTTCTCGGACGGACAGGTGTAAAATAGGGGTTGACGCTTTCTTCCGAGTTGGTATCTGATTTCAACACGCCCTCTTGAGTTCTAGGTGATGTACCCTGGGCAAGAATGATAAGATCTCGGTTATATGACTACTAGTATCCACCTTCATACGAGTTTGAGTAGCATGAACGTGTCCTATGGTGGGATCTATGGTGCTAGCGAATAAAAGACGCGCGAGAAGGAAAGGGTCAATGCAGGAACTCTTCTTCATGAGACTTTGATCACTATGTTCAGTGTCGGACTCCAAGGATACATCCACACCTCTGAAGGAGGTTGAAGGGGTCCAATCACCGCCGAGCCAAAATAGGAAGGACTAGTAGGTAGTGTACCGAGCATGAACTCATTAGGATTCAGAGCCTGCTGCAGCCCATCGTCCAGTGCCGATCTAACCACCCTGCTCGGACGTGGCCACGCAGGAGGAGGGCGGGTCCGTCATACCTGAACTGCATAAACGATGGTCGCAATGCGGGGTTTGGTGTCAGCCCAGCACAAAAGCTTACTTCTCCAACCCGTGATGGAACAGGCAGAGAGAGGTGGCTTGTTATTATCAATTTGGATAGTTAAGGGAGAAGTCGGATAAGGGAGAAGAAGAAGTCAGCAGCCTATCAATGATACTAACTCGGTGTAGTGGAGTGATAAGTACCGCTGTTGATGTGTAAGTATCGGGACCGGTATCCGGGGGCAGGTGGGGAGGGGGGGGAGGGAGAGGTGCGCAAAGAACTTCCAATGCCAGGCCAGGTGCTACTAAGTGAAGAGGTGAAATCAAGATTCTGGTATTCGCTACTAGTAATCCGACGACAATGATAACCCTTAAAGTAACTACTAAGTACTAGTACTAATCGTCCTCGGTCGACTGATTACATCCACTTCTCCAACTCGGTGTCGGTCCATTCCCACAGGCGCTTGGCGAGGCCCATATCTGCTGAATACTTGGTCGAGATCTTGGACAGGACGCCGATGGGTTCGTAGAACTCGCCCGACTTGATCTTGCTCCTCGGGGCGCCGACGCACCACAGCTGGCTCTTGGCGCCGTCCTCGGGCTTGATGAGGCCGCCCTGGCCCAGGTAGGCGGACAGCTTGGCGACGCTGCGGTGGAAGAGGCTCAGGTTGTTGACAAGATCGGTGCCGACGATGCCTGGGGTCACGCTGACACTGAGGATGGCCGGGTAGCGGCGGGCTAGCTCGCGCGCCAGCAGCACGTCGGCCAGCTTGCTCTGGCCGTAGCGGATCATGCCGCCGATGACGGGAAATTCCTGCACCGTCTTGACGCGGTCGAACTGGATGCCGCCGTTGGGGGCGCCGCGGAAGCCCGTGCTGGTCAGCACGACGACGCGTACGTCGGCCCCGGGCTCGGCCGCCGTCCGCTCCAGCAGCGGCAGCAGCTTGCGGATCAGCAGAGCGTGGCCCAGGTAGTTGACGCCAAATTGCAGCTCGTAGCCATCCTGGGTCAACGTGGGGGGCTTGTTCATGATGCCAGCGTTGGCGAGCACCACGTCAAGCCGCGCCTGCTCGGCCAGCACCGTCTCCGCGGCGGCCTTGACCGAGGCTAGACTCGTCAGATCGCACGGCAGGAATTGGAGCTGGGTTTTGCTGCCCGTTGCGGCAGCCTCCTTGAGAACGGCATCCGCGCTTTTGGTGTTCCGTCCGGTGAAGTAGATGTGCGCTGGGTTTCTCTGGGCAAGCTGCACGACTGACCGCGCGCCGACGCCGGCGGTGCCTGCGCCATGGTTATACCGCAAGGTCAGCAACACGGCTTACTTTACATGGTGCAGAATGGAAGAAGGGATACGGAGGTGGAGTTGTGACGGGAGAATGTGGGCGAGAGAGGAGAGGAGGGCGGAAGAATGGAGGAAGACATAGTCTTAGTAGGACATAGACGTAACGAGGGGACATGAAGACGCCGAGATAGGCTTACCGCCAGTCACCAAGATAACCTTCCCCTGGAGATTGGGAATATCCGTTTTGGGATCGAAACTCATGCCGAACGCGGTGTTGATACAGCCTCGAACTCGGCGCTGCACGTGCGTTGGAGGAGCGGTCTAGATGGCCGGAAGGGGGCCACAGGGGCTGACTGCGTGCCGGCGGGATGGCGGAAGCGAGGCTCGGAATCCGGGACGTGGAGGGGAGAAGCGTAAGACGTAAACAGGAGCTGCACCGCGATACGCCAGCGCCGAGAGTTTGGGTCAGATAGATATTATATCATCCGCCCGCAGAGCGCACAAAGACGCTGATTCGGGAAACAAATGCGAGATGCCGGGTCGGGCACTCGGTGGAATGATAAGGGTGCTTGGCGGAATGGAATTCGGAACGGAACAGGGACTGGGCAGGCGTAAGCCTCTGATGCCGCTCCGGTTGCATCGAGAGGCTGCTTCTCGACTCCGTTAGAGCAAACGAGGCGTCCAGAATCCGGAGCGGCCCATTGCGGCCCCGATCCTGGCTCGATTCAACCCAACGGGATCGCTACGATTACCAGGCCAGATCGCAGCTAGAGGCACAGAACTCCAGATAGGCTAGGGTACGATCTTGGCTTCTCAATGATGACCCGTACTGCAAGGCCCCCGGGTAATCATAGTACCTCGGAGTAGCAATGTTAACGTACGCACCCTAGGGCTGCACTATTCCAATATTCCATAGAGGGGGTTACCTTTCAGTCCAACTTGGTGTGTGACTGGTGAACTAACAAAGTAGGTGATGCGGCATTGGTTAATTAGCTAGAGCACCGCGCAGTGCCCTGATAAAAGTACCTATGTAGAAAACGGCAGGCAAGTTCCGGTCGATTTGTTTTCCTGTCCTGGGTAAGCAGTACCATAGTACCATCGGCTCTGACACATGGTTCTGGACTACTTCGTCAACTCACCGATGTTGGACGTCTTACATGCAATAGAACACAGGCTGCGCAGCGATGCTCCCCAAGCTGCACACAAAAAACCCGCGCCCACCATGCGTAGAAGCGGCCCCCCCTCCCCTTTTTCAACATGTGCAGTGCCGCATCACGACAGGACGGTCGGAATCCTAAGGACCTTAAGCTTTGTAGTACATATGTATGACAGTCGCCGCCATTACTCAAGTTTTGCCGAGACTGGCAGCTGCAACGCATTGGCCTAATCTAGTAGTACATGAGTGCGCCCGCCCCCCCGTAGCACTGCTGCCCAAGGACTGTTCCAGGTCTCAAAGCTCCCATCATGTTTGGCACGTGGCGGTTTGATTCCAACCCAGAGAATGACACACTCACTCAGCAGCCCGTCGACCCTGTCACGGCAAGACCTCAGGTCCCGCAAGCATGCCAGAGCTGCCGCGAGAAGAAGGTGAGCATCATACTTACAGTGCTAATCTGCAAAGGTTGCTGACCACGACCACGCTTAGATCCGCTGCTCCAGCGAAAAGAGCGGCTGTTCCCGGTGCAGAACCCTTTCCAAGCCTTGCGTGTATACACAGCGGGGTGAGGGTAAGCGGCCATCCAAGAAGCGAAACGAGGCCGGCAGGCAGCACACTTCCAGCACAGGCAAAGATGCCACCGCCAACAGACAAAGTAGTCGGCGGAACAAAGCTCCCAGTCCGCCCACGGCGCATCCTAAATCTCCCCAGACGCACCAGGCTGTATCCGACAACTCGTCTACAGACTCTACACAAGCAGTGGACAATGACATATCTATGCGGCCCCTGAATAATATCTCATGGCCGACGCCGAAATTCATCGTCGATGAGCGCCGGATGGGGGATGCACCCTATGGAAACGGTTCACACGGCTCTCCGCCGGCCAGCCAAAACGCGTCATGTCCCATGGGCGCGGAAGACACAGCCAGCAACCGCCATGACAGCGTCCTGAGCCTCGAGTACTGGCTGGCTGACGCTGCGCCGCACCGAAAACCCACTAGTATGTTTGGAGCCATCTTCTCCCCGCCGTGGCTCAATACGGACCTGAGCCAGCCAAATGGCGACAACGTCGGCCTGATGAGCTGCTCGGCCGAAGAGTTCGAAACGTCGCTGCTTGCGGGCCTGCCGACCCCCAGCTCTCACGACATGACCGATAACACACACAACCGGTCGTCCCGGTTACCACCACCACCACTAGTACCCACCAGTCCTACGCCAGCCAAGAGAACGCAGCCGCTCGACGATGACGCAGCCGTAGCCGCAGGAGGCCGAGACCGGCTGGTCTGTCTGTGCCTGCAGCACGTGACGTTCCTAGTGCATGAGCTCGAGTCGGCGCCGACGAGCTGCCTCGACGCCGGGCTCGCACTGCACAAGGAGGCCGTTGGGTACGGCGAAGGCATGCTGCTATGCCTGCAGTGCTCGCGGCGGCCTGAGAACCTGACGCTGCTCACCTTTTTGGCCGAGAGGCTGCTCCGGCTGGGCGAGAGCATCGCCAAAATGTAAACAACTCTCAATATGTTCACGTCCTTCAGACTCTCAACCCCTGCGTCGAAGTTCTGTTCTGAGACGCTTTTGTGATCCGCGAGCTACTTACCTTACTTACATTCCAATGCATGATCGACTGACAACTGAACGGGGCTTTGCTGGCAGATTTCTACAAAACAGAAAGACACCAGTCCTGGACCGGCCATCCGTGGTGGTAGGCGAGTACGAGGTGGACTCACCCCTCGAATGGGAGACGGTGCTCTCGACGCTCATTGCCCAGCGGCTGGGGGCCCAGAAGCGGCTTGCCCGCAGTCTCAAGGTCTCAGCCGAGATGCTGGGCAGCGAGTCGGTGTACAGAAAGGCAGCCGACACAGAGAAACGGGCCTCGGACTTGGTCGAGACCCTCCTGGTCAACTCGGCTCAGTTTCTGAGATCTAGCGTCGAGTGAACCCCAGTCTCGGGACTTCGGTGTATGGTAGATGACCTGCACGGTTTTAGAGAAAGCGAGTGGGATTCATTTCTGACGAGGGATCTGAGGTTGGACAGGTTTCGCTGAGGTTGATGAATGGTTTATACATGGTCGAAAGAATTAGCTGCTAGGACACAAGATCCATCCATCCCACATACTATCACATCAATCAGACCTCGACAACAGTCCCAGCCTCGGGATATTTCCTCCGCAAATCCACCCACCCCATAAACGGCGCCACACAAAACGCCAACGCGGCGATGGCGGCCGGTACGTAGAAAGTGCGATCCGTGGCGTTGGCATACGACCAGAGGATCGCAGTGATGTCCTCTGGACTGAGATCCGGGAGCTGGCGGAATCCCGTGGCGCCCACAGCAATAATACGCCCGGGGTCTGTCTCTGGTATGTTTGCCGCCAGCTCGCTCGCTAGGCTCTGGTTGAAGACGGTGCTAGCGACGACCATCCAGACGGACGAGCCGATGAACTGCGCAAACATGAGCAGTGCGAACCCAATTGACGTCTCCTCGGTGCTGAGGACCGTCTGCACAGCGAGCATGCCCTGTAAGGAAAGACAAGCTGTCTATCAGCGAACCATGTTACTATTACAAAGGGGGCAGTCTGGAACTGTGTGTTTCCATACCATCTGCAGTCCAATTCCACGGCCGACACCAGCGAGAATCTGTATCCCAACCCACATGCCCGTCGACGTGGTGGGCGAGAAAAGCGAGAACAGGCCGGTGCCCACAGCGGCGATGGCGGCCGAAGCAAGCGCATACGGCACGACATATCCCGTCCTCTGAACCAGAAACCCAGACACAACGACGCCAAGCACCTGGGACAGGACACTAGGAAGCAGGTAGACGCCCGAGGTGAGCGGCGACGCGCCCATAACGGCCTGGAAGTAAATGGGCAGAAAGTAGCTGGTGCACAGCAGCGCCGCCGACAGGCTCATCTGCATGACGGCCGACGCCCACACGGTGCGCCGCCAGAAAATGGACATGGGCACCAGCGCCGCGTCGCCCCGGTGCCAATTCCACGCAAACCACACCGCGAAGGTGCCGGCCGCGCCGCAGAAGAGGCCGATGACGGTCGCCGAGTTCCACGGGAACCGCGTGCCTCCAAACTCGAGTGCGAGCAGCAGCTGGATGGTGGCCGGGGCCATCAGGACGAAGCCGACCGGGTCCAGGTGGCGGTACAGGGAGGGGAGGACGGAGAGTGCGGGCTCCTTCCTGGTCTGCTCGGGCAGGGAGATCAGGATGAGGTAGAGGGCGGCCACGCCGCCGACGGGCAGGTTGATGTAGAAGCACCAGCGCCAGGTCGAGTACTGAGTCAGGGCACCTCCGATCAGCGGCCCGCTGACCATGCCGATCTGCGAGACCCCCATCATAAGCCCGATCAGGGCCGGGCGCCGGTCAAGGGGGGCGCAGGCCGTGACGATGGCGAGTCCGCCGGTGAAGATACCGGATGTCCCCATTCCGGCAACAGCACGACCGACGATCTGGGCAGGAGACGGCAACTTCTTAGCCCTTGGACTAGCAAGAGCCCCGAAACAAGTCAAGACAAGAACTTGAATGGCGTGCCACTCACCAGCATCGTCGACGACGTCGCCACTCCGCAGAGCAGAGAGCCGATCTCGAACGCGGTCAGGAACCAGAGAAACGACCACTTGAGGCTGAACTTCTGGTAGATCTTGCCCGTCAGGGGCTGCAGGGCGGCCGAGGCTACCGAGTAAGCCGAGGCATACCAACCGACATCCTGCAGCGAGCGGAACTCGTTCGTGATTTGCGGTATGGCGGTCGAGATGATGGATGTGTCGAGGATGACCAGAAAGAGGATCAACGTAAGGCACGTAACGATGATCAACAGCTTGAACCCAGTGATGTACGGCTGCGCGTTTGGGTCTTGGTCTTGTTCGCTTGCTGCTTGACCAAGTTCTGGCGCCACATCTCCCTCGCCTTTGCTCCGTTTGCTGCTGCTGCTGGTATCTGGCCCCGAATCCAGCACCGTTCTCTCGGACGAAGGCGGCCGCGATGGCGGCTTGAACATCGTGTTCGATCCCGGTCCGTCGTCCGGCTGTGTTGTCGATAGCTTTTCCATGTTTGGCGGCGTGGGCGTATCGAGAATTCGAGATAGGTTCTGATATCTGGCTGAAGATACCCGTATGCGGAAAAGCTGAGGAAAGGAATTGTCCGTGGGAGCGGCCAGGGTGCTTGAAGGGCGAGCTTATTAATTAGTGGTTCAGTTGCACTGTATGTACAAGTTTACTGTTTACCCAGGAAATCAAGCTCATTGGGATTTGGGAATGCTATAAGCGGAAGAATTCGCGATGTTGAACAGTAAACTTGAACTTGCCACGTCCATAAGCAAGAGATTCACCGGTCGGATCAATGACACATATTCTCCCGCGTCGTTCTTTCCCTTTCTTTTCGTTTTCTGCTGTTGCTAGCTTGCGACTTGAGTTGGGACTATCGCTACCTACGTTTCCTGGACGAGCTGTTCCGCTCCGAAATCCGCGTCATTGACAATTCGCGGCGGCGGAAGGATTGCGGCTGCTTGCGGCGCTTGCTGCGCCTGCTGCCAAGTTACCGCTCGCTCGGAATTGGTCAAGATTCCGTTCCCGTTTGCAGTGAGACAGGTCACGGATTCAGCTCAAACTCCTGCCGGCTGAGAGGGGGCTCGTCTTCGCCATCCCGCTTTGCACCGCAACGTACCAGGGAGCTATCACATGGCGACGCAGAGATCGACGAAGGGAGTCCCGGCTTCGTATGGCCGGGCCTGCATACACTGTGCACGAGCAAAGTGCAGGTGCATCTACCGCTCCGCTGACGATGCGACGTGCGAAAGGTCAGCTTTTCTTTGGCAGATTGAGCCCGACTCGCCCCCGAGCACCCTGCTCCGGTCCGAAGGACGAAGGACGAAGGCCCACCCAGGGAAGGAGGACAGGCCGGCTGATTGCTCGCAGGTGCCTTCGGCTCAAGAAACAGTGCACGCTCCAACCGTCGCTCCGCAAGTGGAACGGGCGACAGACCAACAGCGCCCGCATCTGTCAGAACTAAGAACCATCCCCTTTATGCCTCGAGTTAATTCTTGGCTGGTTTGAGAGAGGCCAGGCTGACGTTGATTGCTGTAACAACAGCGCGCCTGGAGGACCAGCTGCAGGAGTTGGTAGGGCTCCTGAAGAACAGCGCAGCGACAGGCCAGCCGATCCGGCTTGGTGATACCACCTTGGCCAAACACGGGCTGGGCACGCTTCTTGCCAGCACCGGCTCGGCTACTCACGGCCCTGATGATCAGATGCTGGAAGAAGATGACGATTCTTCCGACGTAAGTACCATGTTCCCGGACAGCTGAGAGGCTTCCACATGCAACCTCTCAAGCACACAGATACCTTAGATACTTAGTACTACTAGTACTATTATATGCTGATATGAAACCAGTCATCGGCCCAAAGTTCGGCCGTCCGTATATCTCTTGACCCCTCGTCATCCTCACAACGGTCATCAGCGACCTGGCCGGCCCATACTCATAGCCTTGAGCCAAGAGTTCCCGGCATGCCTGAGGAGCTCGCAACGTGCGCGGAGCAGCTCACGCCAGAGGAGGCTGAACACAATCTCTCCGAGTTCCGCACGCACAATGCTTTCTCAGCTCCGTTTCTCTGTTTCGCACCTGATGTGACATCAGCTCGGCTCCGCGAGGAAAGGCCGTTTCTCTGGTTCAATCTCATGACTGTCACCACCAAGTCGCTTCCTCAGCAGCGCCGTATGAACCAAGCCATCAAGCAACACCTTGCCAAGGCGATGGTAGTGGAGGACGAGAAGAACATGGATCTGCTCTGGGGCCTCCTGATTTTCATGTCGTGGTGAGTCTAGTACGAGTCAACCACTCGGATTCGGTCTGAGCGTTACTGGCGGTGAGCTAACATATGGCAGGTCACACTACCACCAGAAAATGAAGCCGCACCTCACCCTTATGGGCTGTCTCGCCCATTCTCTCATCTACGATCTCGTACTACACCGGCCCCAGGCCGAGGCCTCCAAGATAGCCTTCATTACCAATAACGCTTCGTGCGACGAGCCTGCTGCGGGAGAGAGCCCCGCAGAGGCTCGGCGAGCCGTCTTGGGCTGTTTTGTCGTTACATCCATGTGAGAAAAAGAACACTGCGCTACAACACGACAGGGTGTTTTCACTACTAACCGTGTCTTTCGATGGTATCAAGCATTGCCACGAGCCAGAAACGGCTAGAGCCCCTGGCCTGGACAAGTTCGTTTATTTTCCAGACACAGTATAAAAAGGACCTGACCGCTAACAGGTACTATCAAAAAGCCTACCTCGAGGAATGTCTAGAGCACCTCGTGCAACGGCCACAGTGGCTCGGCGACACAGTTCTCGTTGCTGCAGTTCGCTATCAGCTGGTCGTCAACCAAATCGTCCAGATCCTGCGCAAGCCTCACGATAGCATGATTCCGCCGTCCTACGTTGACGCGCTCCGACTACAGATCAACAACATCCGCCGCGAGATTCCCGAAAAGCTGGCATCCAATGGTACGTAATTCTCCCCTTACCACTATAGCCTTACCTGCTTTTCACTCCCTTCACAAGATAAACAATTCAAATACTGTACCGGCCGCACCAACTAAAAGGAAAAAAAAAAAAAAACCCCACCCACAGAGATCCTAGCAACCCAGATCCTGCAGGCCGACCTTCTCCTCCACGAAACAGCGCTTCAATCGCTCAGCACCGCCAGCACGAGCGGCATCCCAGACCTGCAGCGGCATACGGCGCTGTCGGCGCAGCTCGACGCCGTCCGCCGCTTCTTCGACGACGTCTTCTTCACCATCCCGCCCACCCGCTACGCCGGCCTGCCGGTTGGTTTCTGGGACCAGACGGCCCACTTCTTGATCGCGCTGTTCCGCCTTTCTCGGACGACCGCCGCCGACCCGGCCGGGGCGCTGGATGTCGCGGCCATCTGCGAGCGGCTTGCCGCCGGGTTTGCGCAAGCTGCCGCGGGCTGGGAGGTAGTTGGGAATGGCCGGAGAAAAGCACAGGACGGGCAGGAGGAAGAAGAGGGGCTGGATATTTTCACCAAATGCCGTCACTGGGCGAAAGGCCTACGTGAGCGGTGGTTGGCGGACAGAAAGGAGACTGCTGCTGCTGCTGCTGCGGCTGCGGCTGCGGCTACTGAACTACATGGCTATGGACCTGGTAGTGGCGGCAGCGGTGAAATCAGGGGGGAAGGCGGGCCGGGAGACAATGGCGCTGGGGATGCGCCTGGCTTTATGATGCCGGGAAGCGTTGGTTTCTTTGAAAATGATGCTATTCTGAGAGGTCCGGCGACCTTAGGTCTATTACAAACTGGTGATGGGTGGCTGACGGATATATTTCAGACGTCGTGGGACTAGGGGCGGCAGTGGTGGTTTGGGCCGAGTTTCTCTGTAACGTTATCGTGGGAAAACACGCACAGGAGGCACACACACAGAGGACCGAAGACATCAACTGTGGTGGTTTTTGTGATTGTTTTCTGGAAGCTAAGCTAAGCTCGTGGAAGGAAGAGAAAGCCAGGGCAAGGTGGGCTGTCTGGAGAACGAGGAGCCACGACGTCAAGTGGTCACCCGCAACAGTTATTGATAGTTTGGGTAGTTAACCAGTTAACAAGATTTCTCCGGTATTTACATTCCAAACACGAATGAAGACAGGACAAACGTCTTGGTTTCGCCCCTTCAGTACTACCTGCGATACTTTACGCTCACTTCATATGCGTGACCGGCCCCTCTTTTATTCGGGAGATCTAAGCCACCGAGCCGCCCTCTGCTTGGCACTGATGACTTGGTTAAGCTGCCATATCAACCCCAAATTGGTCTCTCGTTGCCAGAGCCACAGTGCCACATTTAAGCTCTAGTGCTCAAGCTCGCCCAACTCGCACGGTGGAACTTCATCGTTTCTGCGCGCCCGCTCCTCGAACAAGACATGCACCGGCGCCTTCCACCACATGACATAGCAACGCGAAGCCGCCTCCCAGTCGAGGTCATTGTCGACCAGCTTCAGGTCGTAGCGGAAGAGCATCTTGGACAGACACGACGCCATCTCGAGGAATGCAAAGCTGGAACGGAGTCTCAGTCAGCACTCAGGAGTCTGCGGCAAGGTGGGAACACCATAATACTACTAGTAAGACTCTCGGGGGTATGGCATACTTGCGACCGATGCACGCCCGATACCCGAGCGAAAAGGGTTGGCTGGCCTCGGTAACGTCGGCGCAGTCCGGGTCGAGCCAGCGCTCGGGCTTGAAGGTCATAGGGTCATGGAAATACTGCGGGTCGTGCGTGACAGTCCAGGCGCTGGTGTAGACTTCGGTCTATGGATGTTGTCAGCAATGACAGGGTTACAAGCAGAGAATGTCATATCTATTATGGTAGAAGTACATACCCCTTTCGGCACCCAATACCCGTCAATCTCGCACCCCGGCGACACGCGTGGGAAACCCTGCGAGCCCGGCGGGTGGATGCGCAGAGCCTCCTGGATGACGGCCTGCAAGTAAGGCAGCTGCTGGGCGGATGTAGCGTCGATCTCGGAGTACGACTTGTACCGGGACCGTATCTCGTGCGTCAGCTTCTCGAGCGTGCCGGGCGTCTTGAGAAGGTAGTACACGGCCGCTGCGAGGGCGGTCGCTGTGGTCTCGCCGCCGGCGATGCTGGAGGATCTCAGTAAACCACGAGACACCATCAACAGACCTTGCGAGAAAGAAAGAAAGAAAAGCCTTACATCAAGGTGGAAGCATGGGCCGTCATCTCCTCCTGCGACACATCGCCGCTGCGGACCTTGTTGACGATGTGGGTGAAGAAATCCTGGCGAGGTGTAGACGCGTCAAGACGCTTCTGTACCTTTGCTCGGCTGTACATAGAGTGCTCTTCCCGCACTCCCGAGACAAGCGACGGGAGTAAAACGCGGCCGAGAACGGCCAGAACCTTGAATCTGCGGAGATTGTCGACCATGGTCACTTCAAAGAGGTGCTTGAGAATGAGGTCCATCCAGCTGTGGTGTTCCTCTGGTTCGGGGGTTGGAAGGTCTCAGATTAGCACTTTGTTCAACTGCTACTAAGAGTAGCAAGGACTTTGAACGAACCTTTCTCGACACATCCGAAGCCTTCGCCAAACGCCATCTCCCCGAGGATATCAAAGGCCGCCATCTCCAACCATTCGACCACATTGATCCCCTTACCCACACTCTTTTCGCTTAGCGGCCCCAGCTTCTCAACAAATCGATCTAGACATGCCTGCACGATGGGTTCCTGGGCCGCCAGGGCCTTCACCGAAAAGGCAGCCGTCAGGTTCTTCTTCTTGCGGGCGTGGATGGTGGGATTGCGCTCCGACCCAACGCAGCCCGTCTTGTAGGCGCCGCCGAAGATGTCGTAGAATTCGCCTTTGATGAGGTGGTCCTTTCCTGGACCCGGGAAGCCGTAGATGGCTTTCCAGGAGCCCACAGAGGCAAACGAGAGCTCGTTGGGGGAGACCCGGAAGACGGGGCCTACTAGGATATCAGCGTGTCTTTCTCTTTCTTTCTTTGGCTGTCTCACTGGCTTGAGTGGAGGGTACAAACCGTATTCCTGGTGCGCTCTCTGTATGACACGATGCGACCGCCCGCGCATGGTGTGCCAAAGCCGCCATAGCTGTGTGTCATGTCTCAGCTTGTGCCCTGTAGAGAAGACGTCATTTATTCTCACCAGTGATGATCGAGCCAAAGGCGGGCCGGGAAACCGAGCAAGCGGGTGGAAGTACAGGTTGTACATCATATTCAGCACGACCATCGCGAGGACGAGGGCGATGGCCTCCCGCCAGCCCGCCTGCGCTTGGAGGTGGTGTAGGTTGTCCATTTTCGCCACTCGTCTGAGCGTTTGAACATGGACGCCTCGAGAGACGCGGCTGAGTGTCTCCTGCCACTGGCGGTGCCGGTCCATCGTAATGGCCGGATCAGTCTCGACGCCGCTTCCTTCAGGTCGTGCCCTACGGACCGAGGTTTACAATAGAAGTAGTAATGGAAATACATGGGACCGCTTCACAGGGGGCGCTCTTGGTCTCCAGTCCCCAACCAGCACCCTGATGGGCAAGTATGGCAATTTACAATGGAGCACCGGTGTGCCGCTCAATCCAGTAATGACCGGGAGCAGGGGGGTGGCAAGCCGACAGGGTGCATCTGGATGCATGCAGCATGCAACACCGCTGCGGCTGACTTCGCTGACCTCGCACAACATCCGATTGGCACTTCCGGCTATTGACAAGACGGGCTAGCTAGCTATGGGTGTACCCCTCACACACAGACTGCACAGCTTAGTATAAGTGCTCGTCGACAATGAGGCAATACTCCTAGTGTTGATGCCCGAATGATGACAGCGACAATACACAACCATGGCACCGGCCTCCCTCAGCATCGTCGCGCTTCTCGTGGGCGCCCAAATCATCTACACATCCCTCCGGTTCCTGCGCAACCTCCGAGCAGCCCAGCGATCCGGCCTGCCCTACACGTGGTCGCCGGTGCACGAGCTCGAGGCGCCCGCGTTCATCACGGACGGGTTTCTGCGCTGGTACTACAAAGACTACCTGCAGCAGGGTAAGGGATGGCCGCGGTGGGCACGCTTCATGATCAAGGACTGGCAGTATGAGGACCGTGGGCGAGCGACCCACGAGTACGGCGACTGCTTCCTGGTCGTCACCTTCAACAGCCTGATGTGCTACATCAGTGACCCCAACGCTGCGTCGAGGCTGGTCACACGCCGTAAAGCCTTCGTCAAGCCGCCCGACAAGATGAGTGAGTTCTTTCCTTCCCTATTTGACTCTACGACTAGTAGTACTTGGTATCACTGTTGGGTCTCAGTAAACATTTAATTCACGCCCATTTTGTCAGAAATTCTCGAGCCCTTTGGTCCCAACGTGGTTTCGGTCGAGGGCGACCTTTGGAAGTTCCACTTGGGCATCACGCTACCGCCCCTGGCAGCCGAGGCCGTAGCGCGGCTTGTCTGGGAAGAGACGGCGCGGCAGGTCGACATGATGGTGGCGGCGTGGCGGCCCGAAGACAGCATGAAGGAACGCATCTACGCGCTGACCATGAACACCATGTCGCTGGCGGGCTTCGGGCACCAGGCCGAGTGGGGAGAAGGGGACCGGCCCGACCGGGTGCCGCCGGGCCATGAGTACTCGCTCGTGAGCGCCCTGACGCACGTCGTCTCCCACCTTCCGCACATCCTGCTGCTCCCGCGTTTGGTGCTCCGCTGGTCGCCGTGGCCGGTTGCCTACCGCGCCGCCAACGAGCTCGACCAGTACATCGACGATATGCTGGCCGAGGAGCGTGAGAGGCTAGAGCGTGGCGACGCCGGCGAGGCATACCGCGAGAACTTGCTTACTGCCGTGCTGAGGTCCAACATCGCGGCCGAGAAGAGCAAGGATGCGGCCGCCATCGGCCGGACCGCCCTCACACACGAAGAGATCAAGGGCAATGTCTTTATCTTTCTCGTCGCCGGTATGTGTGCTCCTCTCATATCCCGGGATGTTCACAACACACACTTTCAATCCAGTTGTTCTGACCATGGACCGCGGATTGTGACAGGATATGATACGACGGCGAATACGGCGCTGTTTAGCAGTCTTGTGTTGGCTCTCCACAAGGAAGTCCAGGACCGCATCCTCCAAGAGATCGATGCCGTCTACCATCGGGCGCAGAAAGCGGGCCGGTCGGAGCTGTCGTACACCGATGACTTCCCTCAGTTCCGCTATCTTGTTGCCTTTATGGTGCGCCTCCCTTTACGTCTTAGTATTTCTCCGGTGTGGTTTCGTGACTACCCGTACTTAACTACTAACGACCATCCGCAGTACGAAGTGATGCGTGTCTTCCCTATTGTGCAAACACTTGGCCGCGTCGCAGTCGGCGAGCAGGAAGTGCCTCTCATCAAGGGCGGCCACGTGGTTCCCGACGGATCCTACCTCGTGGTCAACAACACAGCGATCCACTACAACCCGGAAATTTGGCCCAGCCCGGAGGTCATCGAACCGCGGCGCTGGCTGGTTGCGGATCCGCACGGGCTGGACCCGGCCAAGCCCCTGACGCCCGAGCAGGAGGCCGAGATCGCCGCCGGCAGCGTGCCCATTCCCGGCAACCGCAGGGGCACCTTCCTCTCATTTGGGGAAGGGCCGCGCGCCTGTCTGGGCCGCAGCTTTGCGAGGGTCGAGTTTGTTGCCATCATGTCGCGCATGTTGAGAAACTACCGGTTGGAGATGACCGACCACGATGCAGAAAAGGCCGCCCGTGTGCTCAGAACCGCACGCTTGCGCAGTGGTAGTGGGCCGGTGACGCTGATCCCCCCGGAGGACGTGCCCATGCGGCTGGTGCCGAGGAAGTAGTCCGAGGCTGTAGGACATCTATAGGAGAGAGAGGGAGAGGTGGTGTAGTGTATCATTGTGTATCGCAGAGCATACAGCCAACGGAGCTAGAACAGTACCTACGCCATTCCAAGTACAGTATTGGCTGTATCGGTAATAGTATTTGACATTATCAACTAGTTATACAGAATCCTGCCTGTTAGATGGTCTGCCACACCCGTAGAGTGGTAGGAATATACGACATGGCTCTAACGTAAGTGTATAGCGAAAGTTACATGCATACGAAAGTTACACTAAACCATACCCCCTTAACTTTATCTATATTAATTCCACCCAACCAGCTCAAAACGAACGAAACTACTCGGAATCGTCTTCCTCGGACGTTTCAACAACTATCTGACAGGTACGCGCATTGTGGCCAGGCTCGCCGCAGTTGCCACAATGCCGCGCGCGTGTCTCAACCCTCGGCTTCCGACCACTACCCGCCTGCGTTTCCTCCTTAATCTGTACCTCAACGTCTCTCTGGCCCTGCAGATCCTATGCATCCTATACAGAAAGTGATCCTCCTTGTCGGAGCCGTTGTTTTTTAACCCTTCGGCGCTTGCTTAGTGCCTCATTTGCTGCTCGGAGGCTCTAGTTCTCTGCCCTTAACAATGCCAACTGATATATAACCTTGGACGTCCCTTTAGCAAACATATTAACCGCCCTTAAAATCTCAGTTGGAGAGCTATTTTGATGCCGGGTAATTCGATTCTTGATGAGGGTAGATTGCGAGAAGGCTTCGATTAGGTTATTCGGGGTCTTAGAAACCCAGGCGTAGGCACTACTAGGCGGCGAGTTTAAGGGCGTTGGTATCTTTAGACGGATATCGAGCTACGAGATTACTTTCTCGGGATTAAAAGGAGCAATTCTAGCACCTCGAAAACCTCCTTGAATGTTTTCAGGAGTTATAGCGGCTTAGAAAGCGGCATAGAATATAGGAAAGAAGTCCTCCTTAGTAATATAGGTTATGCTTGCCTATATTATCCCCTCGATCTGCTTACTATATGCCGTCTTAAATAGGCTGAAACACCTAATATCGAGCGGCTAAAGAATATAAGATAAATAGGGAGGCATATAAAGGATAATAATATTATTCTCCTTACAATAGAGCTCGAAGTCGGTCGAGTGGTGGCTATCGTAGCCGTCGAGGACTAGGAGGCAATAAACCCCAGCTATTCAAGCTTTAGTATACTTATCGAAGTACTAAATCTATTCTAGGCCTCTTTCGTTGGTTGTCCAACCGTTTTCGGATATTATAATAACCCAGTCCTTTGGCAATAGGCTATTCTCGTACCAAGAGGAGAGGTAATATTTGCCCTTGACGATAATAAACGGTGGGATTGCCTAGCCAGTCGTATTAACGCCCTGGATCACCGTTGCCTACTTGCGATTGCCAGGCTGCTTCGACTTTACCCTGCCATGCCGTTCGGAGCTCGTAACAACTATTGCCGTTAAGATAATACCCATCTGAAACCCAGTCTTATCGAAGTTGTAGATATCAGCCTCCTAGATACCGTACTTTACGATTGTATTCTATATAAGCGCAAACCAACCACGAATAATCTCTAGATCTTCGTATTAGGCCCTCTAGTAGTTATATTTCCAATTAAAACGTATAGTAAGCTCTAGGTGCCGTTTGACGAAGGTTGAAGCCCAACGCGTTCCGACGCGTCCCGCGTTACGTTCGGCAAGCAGCCAATCGACTATATCTTCTATACCAGACAAGCGGGGAGGAAATCCTTTAGAATCCAGGTCAAGGATATATTGAACAATGACAGCCTCCTTTAAATCGGTCAATTTCCGCGAGTTGGCTGGAATATCGTGTCGTGACTGCTGACCGCGCCGACGGCGGCTGAGCTTCATTGGGTCCACAGAAAAGATCCGAGCTGCAGCTCTAAGACTTCGGATCATTCTCTAGAGCCTGGAGGGCTAAGATAACTTGGCTTTCGTCGTTTTTCTGAGGCATGTTAGGTTGTAGAGGAAGTGGGTATAGAAGTAAGATGTCGCGTTGGTATGGTTTAGTGTAACTTTCGCATGTATGTAACTTTCGCTATACACCTACGTTAACGTTACTCGTATAATCCGAGCAAGACGGAAGCATGATCTCCCCACCATGTCAGCCATGCGCTCCACAAGCGCGGCAGCGTTTTAGGGCGCCGTCATTCGGACGACACGGAGCGACGGAGGTCCAAGTGAAGGAAGCTCCAATATACTGGGTTCGTCACATGCACGTCGGGTGACTGCTATTATTTCGTAACTATTTGTAAATTAAATATCAAATCAATGGTCTTCCGGCCAAGCCTCCGTCTCTAGTGACATAACAGCTGGGCAAATTGAGCAAACTCAGGGTCCTGTTCAAGCAAGGCCATCTCGTCCACCGTCAGCGACACCAACACCTCTGCGCCACCTTCCATGCGCATTGGCAGAATATTGCAGTTCCGGCAGACCAGGTCCAGCAGCCGGCGCTCCGGCCGGATGTAATCGGGGATACCACGGTTGGCAAACAGCTTGCCTCCAAAGCTCATGTCCATGGCCGGCAGCGACAACCAGCTGCTGAAGCACGCCTCGGCACCGTCAAACGTGGCGAACGGCCACCGCAGGGTATCGGCCGTGTACCCCGGCAGCCGCGTGGCCGCCAGCCCAAACACACTCAGAGCGCGCTCGCGGGTGATGCTCGCCACCGCCTGCCGGACGGCTCGGACCACGGCCACGAGCGGCGTCTCGGGTGCCACCAGCTCGGCCACGGGCAGTCGCGTCGTTACAATGTACACCAGCGTGCCCATGTACTGCCACGGCAGCGTGTCGCCAAACAGGATGCGCCCGTTCAGCGTCGTGTCCAGCTCCGCGACCGCCCCGGGCCTGCTGTATGCCGGATCCTCGGGCGCGGCAGCTCGACGAGCCCGCATGATGCACCGCCAGAGCAGCGCCATCAGGGCATCGTTCGCCGTTGCCGTCGCCATTCCCTGCTCCTTCCCCTCTCCCCCACTTCCTTGACCCTCACCGTGACTATTATTTGCCTCCGCCGCCACAGAAGTCAACTTCCCAAACGCAGCCGCCGACACATAAAAAATACTCGTCCGCATCGGCGGCGGGAGCACTCTCGGGGCCAGCGGTTCCGACCCGGGCGGGAGCAAGCCGAGCACGCGCCAGTCGGCCTCGGTCCCTTCAGCCACGGGCGCGCCCGCCTTCTGCCAGGCCTTGACCAGCAGCTCGTAGTCGCAGGCATCGGGCGGGATCTCGAGCAGCGGTGCGGTGGCGCTAATTGCCTCGCCCTCCTGCAGCAGGCGCATGTGCTTAGCCCACATGCGCAGGAAGAGCACGCCGCTCATGCCGTCGGCCAGCGGGTGGAAGATCGACACACCGAGCAGCAGGCCGCCGACCACATCGTTGGCTTGCGCCAGCAGTAAAGGCACGCCCTCGGAGCTGTCGAGGTCGAAGTGCGCTCGCCCCGGCGGCAGGAGCTGGGCGCCGTCGAGGAGATCCTGCGGGAGAGCCTCGTCGATCAGCTCGTCGTAGTCCGGCCAGGAGGCGCGGAGGTCGTGGTGCAGCACCTCGGGGGTCCAGTCCAGGTGTTCGCGGGCTTCGAGGCGTCCGGCGACGGGGTTGTCTTCTGTAGGCGGGATAGCGAAGGCGCGGCGCCGGAGGAGCGGGAGTTCATCGGCTGCGGCGCGGAGCGACGCCTGGAGCAGGTCCAGCGCTTGGTCGTGCGTTACGCCGGGTTGCAGACGGAAGGTGAAGATCAAGCTGGGGAAGAAGCGAGGCATGATGTTATCCATCGCGTTCAGCGGGAAGCGTTGAGGCGGCGCCATGCTGCTGGCTTGCATCCGTGGTCCAACAGACTCTCACTCAACTCCAGCACTCTAATGGCCACGAACAGCAAACACGGTTGATGCAGGTATAATTCGAGGCGTCAGGGGCACTCCGTCCCGCTAACATCGCCGTAAGTCATAGTGTGCGGATGCGACTCGCTGCATACACAGTAACCCTCGCTCAGTGTCATCGTGTTTGTCTAGACTTTGGTATGCGGCCTCATTCGGTGCAATGCTAACCGGTAAGGAGCGCCGGTCGGCACTGTCCGTTTCCAGAGGTTGCATTCAGCCGCTTATTGCTCGAAGAGGAAGTTGCCGCAAGGGGGGCGGGATGTAAGCTGAGGCTCGGCATCCCGTGTGGGTTACTGGCTTTTTGTCAACTACTAGTGTCTCTACATTTGTAGATCAACCGTTGGGAGACTCAACGAATTATGCTATCCGCTTGGGTGGTGGTAGTTGCAAAACGGTAATCACCGTAGACAATACGCTTGTGTTGATAAGAAAAACGGCAGAGCCCAATACTGGTAGAATGCTGACCCGCAGCTGGGTTCTCACGGATGTTTCGGCCCTGGCCAATATTCAAATTCCAATGTTGACATTGGCTTTTGTTTTGCCCCCGACTCCATATAGAGACAGCGAGGTGACGAGACTATTGGCGAGAACTCCGAAGAGAAAGCAAGCATGGATGACATCTCAGAGGACGCGACCATCCTGGCGCTCAGTCCGCTGGACAACCTCATGGTTCCGTGCTGGGTCAAGCTGCTCTTCTACTTCCCGCTGCCGGTAGACGCCAGCGTGTCCGAGACGTACGAGTTACTACGCAAGGGCCTCTCCATGGCCGTGACAGACATGCCCATCTGCGGGGGCACAGTACATTTCCGGCCGCAAGACCGCCCCGGGTGGAAGCCGAACCAGCTCGAGGTGCGCATCCCCAAGGCTGTCGGCAAAAACGGCATGTTTCCGCTCGATCTGAAGGACCTGAGAGACCAGCTCTCGTACGAAGACCTCCGGAAGGCGGGCTTTGACCCGGAGCACATTGACACCGAGCTGCTGATGACGCGGTCGTGCAACACGAACCTGGCCGCGGGCATCGAAGCCGTCGCCGCCCAGGCAAATTTCGTCAAGGGCGGCTGCCTGCTCGGCCTAGCTGTGTGGCACAACGTAGCCGACGCCCATGGGACCTACATCTTTGCCAGGGCATGGGCGTCCCACTGCCGCAAGCTGCAGACCGAGCCGGGGTACGAGGCAGCTTGGAAGGCCAACTTTGCGGGCACGGGCGCGGGCAACGGCAGGGACGACCGGACCGTCCTGGCCGAGATGTGGGAACAGGGGGGGAAGCCAGGCGCCGCGACAGACCGGCAGTGGTCGATCCTAGGCCTGTTCCCGCCGAGCGTGCCCGACGCCCCTCGTCTCAACGACGTGCTGGCCGCCTTGATGAGCGGCGCATATGGAGAAATGAAGAAAGTGCGCAGCGCCGTCTTCTCCGTGCCCGAGAGCTCGTTGGAGCAGCTCCGCCGCGACGCCGCCGTGTCAGCCAAGACGACCATCACCTCTCTGGAAGCTCTGCACGCCCTGCTGTGGCGCTGCACCATGAAGGCGCGCTACCCCCTCCCTGCCGACAACAACAAGGAGGAGCCGTCCATCTACCAGATCGCGCTGGACGGGCGGTCGCGGCTCGGCGGCGACCCCTTTTTGAGACTTACCTAGGCGACGCCTTCTTCTTTGCGACTAGTACGCTGCCGCTGACCACTGTCCTGGGCCCGTCGGGCGTAGAGGCCCTGGGCGCGCTGGCCGAGACGCTGCACGCGACGCTGGACGGCATCTCGCGCGCGGATCTGCTGGCTGCCTTTGGCGCCGCGCATGACCTGGATGGGTATGCGAATCTGGCCTACTCGCTCGCTGGTGTCGCGGGCGCCAGCATGATCGTTGTGCCGCAGGACTACATTTCGCTGCCAACTCTGGACTTCGGCCCCGCGATAGGCACTCCCGTCTGCGAGCGGCCGCCCGGAGATGAGTGGAACGGCCTTTTCCGGCGGACTGTCATCCTGCCGGCTGCGTCGGGCAAGGGCTTGGAGGTCTTGGTTTCCTTGTATGAGGAGGAGATGCAGAATCTGAAGGCTGACGGGGAATTTGTTAGATATGCAAAGGTGTCATCGGGCTAGTACTAAAACTGGAGTGGCCCGTCCGGCGAGGACGGAGCGGAAATCCATCGGGAAAGGGTAGGTAATGGGAGTTTGACAGAATCCGTTTCAGTACGTTCAGTGGCTATAAATGCTCTGTCAAATCCTCCTGAGTTGCAATTATAACTTCTGGTTGCCATGGACAAATGGTGAACTGGCAAAAGCCGTAAGCCAGAAGAATCTTGCGTAGTCCGAGTCCCGATTCCCCAGTCCCGACTCCTGGGCCCGCTCCTTCTCTGTGCCAGCCTTCTCCACGAGCTGTGCAAACTCCGGGCTGCTCCAGTTAGGAATGAAATCTCGCACAATGCACTTTGCAATTGCAACCCCGTCGGCGTCTTCCTTTCCGGCACGCAGGTCATGCATGGCGTAAGCGGAGCACGCGGCCGCAAGACTGCAGCCACCAAAGACGGAGGGAATAAAATGGTTTCCCTTAGTGCCATAATGTCGATTCAGGCATTTGTCCTTTGTGCGCCGCAGAACTCCTACCCTCACCACATCGACCCTTGAACATTCTCCCCCCTCTCCCCAAACACCCCCCCCCCCCCCCCCCCCCCCCCCCCCCCCCCCCCCCCCCCCCCCCCCCCCCCCCCCCCCGGCAGGGCGCGTATCCCATTCTCACCCCACCGTCCCCAACTGGCGCCAGTGTCTATTTTGTCCAAATAGCCGGCATGGCCCGAGCCAGACGTAACTGGACTGCCGAGGAAGATTATGCCTTGCGTAAAGCGGTCAATCAAGGTACGTTTGGCCCAGGCCGTGTGGTGCACCTGACCACATGCTTAACGCTCTTTGGCAGCCCTCACACAATCTCGGCCACTGCTATGGCGGGAACTGGCAAAGTCTGTCCCGGGTCGGTCCAACAAAGACTGTCGGCGGCGGTGGTGGAATAGCTTAGTAGCTGGCAGGACCAAAGGCCCGTGGTCGGGAGAAGAGGACGAACGGCTGATCGAGGCTGTACAGGAGTTCGGCTTTGCCTGGACTCAGGTAGCCAAGACAGTCATGACCAGAAATGCGGACCAATGCGCGAGCCATTGGAATCAGGTGCTGGACCCTGCCATCAACCACTGTGACTGGACGTCGAAAGAAGATGCCCGCCTGCTCCACGAAGTCCTGTCGCACGGGACAAACTGGGCCACAATTGCCATCTCGCACACGCCCAAGCGGACAACATTGGCGCTCAAGAACCGCTATTCGGCGCTACGGCTATGTGCACAGCACAGCACCAAGAGGATGGAGGCTCAGGGCCGCAAGAGCCCCAGAGATATCGCGGTAGCTCCTGGCTTAGACACGACTATGGCGGGCCCTGAGCCAGCAATCTCTGATGTGGATACAAATACTGCTCATACTAGAAAGCAGCTAAAGCCGCCAAACTCCACACTGGACGACAAGCCGATGGAGATTGATAATGGGGGCAAAGGCGACCGTATAGATAGCGGATTCGTTAGCGGCAACGAGGACGATTATAACAATGCGGTGTCGCCTGGCCTGGCCACCTCCGTGTCCCAAACGGCTCAGGAGCGGGACCTATTGCACTCGGCAAGCGTATCTTCGACCATGTGGCCCGACTACTTTGATGGCCCCGGCATGGACGCGGCCTTCCAGCCCGAGACGCCGCCGCACGACAGGATAACGCCTTTAACGACTCCAGTCCACCCGAGGTGCTGGGTGCCCGAGTTCATGGCGGATCCGGCCGCGGTCTCCATCCAGCCCGAGCCGCCCTACAAAGGCGACTTCATGGCGCCTGTCTCTACTCCTCTGTCTCCGAGTAGTAATCCTTACCTTGATCCAAGGCTATTAGGGATTATATCTAGAAGTTCCGTGGGCCTTGTTGCCGAATTCGATAATGGTATCAATAACAGGATTACTCCCCATCCCTGCCGTGAGTCCATTCCCCGAGTTTTTGTTGGCCCTTTTAGCCGGCTGTACCGAATCCCTTCCAGCAATATAATGAGTTGGCCTTGTTTCGACGAGCCGACTAACGCATATCGACATAGAGGTGGATATGCTTGCCGATTCAGAAGCGTCTGACTTTGCCGGCCGGTCTATGAACAGCTCCCTACTCTTATCTTGCGGCAATGATATGATCTCACCTTGCACGACCACGACAACAGGTACCGAGTCATCCGTTGGGTCGCCGCCGGCTAGCATTGACCCTCGCAATCTTACTTCGGGATGCGGTAGTGCGGGTCGCCCAAGGAGTCACATTCCACTCTCCTACAAGGTAACTTTGACTACGGTGTGTACGAGTGGGCAGATCGAAGCCGTCATGGCGAGCTTGGAGGCTATCGGGATGTCGGTGTCGATGAGGCTCGAGCCTATAGCACTCGCAAGGAGAGGCGGGGAGGAGGAGTAGCAGTGTACTTAACACACCCTTTTTCGAGGTTGGGTGGGGCCAATACGATTATATCACTACTGATGGTGCGCCAGACGGATTCCGCCAGGGGGACGTTGTGACTCGTTGGAACTGTCAAGTTCGATAATGTATGCCGGAGCCCCATCCTTCATTGACGCTTTCGGTGAGAACGATCAGTACCTGTTAGAATAGTGCTGGGTAGAAACGAACCTTAGGGCTCGACATATAACCTTCGAGATACAGCTCGGTTCCTCTATCACTTGCGGCGCTCATGTGCTCTCTCATGTAACGGCACATAGTATCTTTTCGATTGAAGACCTTAGCGCAGCTGGGCCGTACGCACGGCAGGCGATGTAACGGGCTGAGCCCGAGGTGGGCCTCGGGGACCCTCGGCCACCCCAACCCCGGACCACCGGGCCTACCTCAGCTTATTAGCGGTTCATGGACCGCCAAGTTCTCTCGTTTTCCTTTTCTTTCTTCAAGATCAGTGTACTTGTAGAGTCGTCATCAATCAGTTGCAAATATACTCGTTGAGACTGTTACAGGCACGCCGCCGGTCAGCCTTGCCTGTGACATGCGATCCGCTTTTGACGAAGGGGAAAAAACGCTAAACGACAGCTAAATCCCGGCCACCCGGCTCCTATAAAGAACGAAATGAAAGAGAAATAGAAACCCTCGTGGTGTCTCTGCTCGGCAAAGCCTACGACGACGGCGGTTTGGAAGCCATGCGCAAAGTGCTAGAGGAGGTGCCGGCCGATCTCGAGGACGTGCTCAACAAGCTCTTGAGCAAAGACGATTCGAATAAGGCCGAGACGATAGGCATGCCCCAATGGGTGCTGCTCAGCCGGCGGCCGCCGAAGCCCGAAGAGCTCTTCTTTGCCGTGCTGGCGGGCACGGCACCAGAGTAAACTGAACCGTGGGACCGATGTCACCGATCACGGGTCACAAGCCGCATCATCCAACGGCGCATCACCGCCTCGTCCAGGGGCCTTATTGAGGCGCGAACAGGAGACACAGGGTCGGTGCAGTTCATCCATCTATTGGTCAATGACTTCCTGTTCCGGAACCAGAGGCTGCAGACGCTGGATTTAAAAGTTTGGTCCCTTCCTCATTATCTTAGTAGTATCCCCAAGGCCTAGCCATTGACATTTGACTTGGACCAGCTAGTTACATAGCAGCAAGAACAGGCTCGGACATGGCTAGCAGAGGAGGGAACGCACCGCTTAGCATAGGGGGGCCATCAGCGCAAATGGAAGTAGGGCCTTGGACCGTTCTACTTAGAGTATTAGCGGAATGGGAAGACTATATATTCTCTTGGGAAGGTCCTCGGACAGAGTTAGTCAGGGGCTTCGGATATATAAGGAAATAACTAATTGAAAAACACGATAGTAGCAATAATAGGAGTTAACTAAACAAAATGAAATGATATAATAGTAACCGAAATTTAGGTCTTGTGACGAAACCCAGGCAGTCCTGCCTCTGAAAGGGTTCTTATGTCGAAGGTATCACTAATTAGTCGGGCTATAGGTCTCGGTGAAGCCAGAAGGTTCACAATAAGTGCACAAGCAATTGTCTCAATAGTAGGTAAGGTGAATGCTCACTGGAGAACTCCCAGAGTCCTCTAGAACGAATGACTTTATACTATATAGTTCCTTGGTCGCCCGTAGTCACTATCATCCTTGAGCGTCTATGTCCTTATGGTCGCTGGTGTTCCTGAGCGACCCTATCGCGCCTTGCTATAGGGCTACCTTATTCCGTTGTGACGGTATGGTGCAATTGACAGGGTCGATGCCGGCTGTAGATCCACTCAATTCTATGAATCTAAGTCTGAAGAAGGAAAGGAAGAGTTCTGGGTCGGTCGGCCCAGAATTACATGAAGATATTTCCCTTTGTGGGTCACGTAATCTGTGCCCCACAACAACAGTTCCACCGAGGTCGTGGGTTCGACCCCCATCTGAGGCGGCGATACCTATACCGACCGTGACATCCGTCATCCCGATTAGCCATTCGCCCTAGAGTATATCTCCACTGGGCCGTGGTATATGGTTGGTTCGTGATACGATGCCCCCTCTTGATATCTTTCGTCTCGAAAGATCGAGGTCGCTATTTCAAATAGTGCTAACATGTATTATAAGCGAGCCAAAACATATAACGTATATTATCAGCGAGTGACCTATATCAGCCAGTGACCTAGCTTAACAAATTTAGCAGGACTGCATCCAAATGTATGATAAGAAATTGATATCGCTCCTAACAATTTTCTTATCAAGGTTTGGCCTGCAGCTCTGCTAAATTTATTAAGCTGGGTCACTCGCTGATATGAGTCACTTGCTGATACTATACGTTAAGCAAAGTCGAACACTTGGCATAACGCGTCTTCTCTCCATTCTGACGGTGGAACGCACCGACCATGATGATGATATCATTTATATATATAATGATTCATTATACCAAGTGATGATTCATTATGCATGTTCTATTACATCATGCATGCGAGCTCAGACCTACTCGCATCCTGTATTTAAAGCCTACCTTGCAGTCTCGAGGATTTCTTTCCTCCTACAAGTTCAATATTCTTGCAATGCAGTCAGTTTACCACTAGAGGCTTGACCCTAGCCTTGAACGACGGCCCTCGTGATATCCACCTAATATATCTTCTACTTCAAAAGGAAGCCAGGGTAATTTTAGCTCTCAAAGCTGTTTAAAGCAACAAGGAACTAAGCTTCTGAGCTGTAGCTAAGCTATATAACGTGCTAGTTATGACTCTCTATAACCGGCGTGCTAGCCGACCTATATAACGCGATACTATGCCTAACTCGTGCCGGCTCACCAATGGCGAAGAGAAGGCTCTTGTTCAGTATATAATTGAGCTACCTAAGCGAGCCTTTCCACTGAAACTATATAGTATAGAAGATATGGCCAATTAACTACTATATATAACGTGCATTATAAGCGAGCCGAATATATAAGCGAGTTGAACACTTTCCACTATACTACCAACAATATCCTCAATTATAAAACAATAACACTAGGAGCTGACAATAATTACATTATGTGACGAAACCACAAGCAGTCCTGCCTCTGAAAGGGTTCGCCGGTCGAAGGTAACTGCTGGTCGGACTATAGGTCTCGGTGAAGCCAAAAGGTTCACAACAATGCTTGCCGCAATGTCTGCACAATAGGTATGGGCTATTGCTTGTAATTGCTCACTGGAGAACTCCCAGAGTCCTCCAGGACAAGTGACTAGCTATCCTATATAGTATGGTTCTTTCTATGGATCACGGCCTCCCTCTGGTGATCCCTTATACTGGATTACCTTGGATCACTAGTGATCCCTTGTGAGCCTTATACCTGGATTACCAAGCCTTCCCTATGCCAAGTGTGATCCTCTTCTGATTGGTCCGTTCCTGGACCGGAACAATTGGACGCGGGCGTCGCCCGTAGGACATGCAGGTCGGCCCTACCGGCCGCTGCAGGTTAATTCATGATACGATGCCCCCTCTCTAGGGCTGTTTGTCCCGAAAGCCTAAGTTTGTTTCAAATAACGCCAACATCCTATATTATAAGTATACTATATACCTTTCTTTTTCCCTTTCTTAAGAGGTGCTAATATAATGATAGACTATATCTATAAGCGTCAGTCTAAGAAAGCCTAAGAGCATATGGCTTTCGCGTCTTTTATCGAATCCTCTAGAGTAGATATTATACCTTGTTCTTAGTATTTCAAGTATAACCTTGCTTGCTATATCGTATAGAACTCCTCTTATTATAACGAATATATTTATCGCGGTCGTTCTTATAATGGTTCTAGTATAGTATCGTCTTATAGGCTATATTCCCTTTTCCCCTTATAGTATAGTATCTAACTTTTCTTAATGATAAAGATTATATCCGAGCAGAAGTGTTTAGAATAGGAAAAGGCCGATGCTAAAGAGGCGCTCTTTGTTCTTCAAACTCAGTTGTAGACTGCCATTGGTCGTCTCGCTAGGTTATAGCGTTAGAGGCGTTTCTTAAAGGAGCAGGGTTCCAAGTTATTCCGTCGTAGTATATAATCGTTAGAGGAGATAGAGGTAGAAGACTATTGGATTTAGGAGTCCGAATCCCGTATAGTTAGCGATATTTAGGCGCTTAGGGTGGACGTTCCTTTCGACTGGGGTTCTTTAGGACTTGACTTGTCCGATATTGACCTGGCCGCTCTAGCGGAACCGTCATCCAAGGTCGATCCGGGTCCTTCTAGTAGGACTTCCTTGGTTCCTTAGGGCAGTAGGGGTTTATAGTTAGTAGTGGTCAGGTCTTAGTCGCACCTGCCGTACGTGTCGTATTATAGCGTGGCTGCCTATAGCCGCTCTTTCCTGCCTGTGGTTCTTAATCTGATTCTTGTTACCTATGCCTTGTCTCTATATGAGTGGCTTTACTGTAGGGTAAGGCGACTTATACGGAGATTTTTGCGCCTTCCTCCTGGTCGGTCTAGGTTCTACCGGTGGAATTCCCTTAGTTTTTCTATATAGTTAAGGTGTTCTGCCAGTTCCTATAAGTTGTCTTCTAGTCCGAAGTCGAGCTATTTGATCAAGTACTCTAGCCTTCTATTAGCTATTCGCGAGTCTAAAATTTCTTTAACGTCCTATTCTTTTTCTTTATTCTCGGCTTCGATATCCTTTATAACCTATATGTTCCTAGATGCTAGTTCAAGGAGCAAGATATAGAAGATATTAATACATAGCTTTATCGTTGATAGTAACGAAAGTCGGTAGTTGGATGTCGAAATTCTTGCGTTGATTTTGAATGGTCTAATTTTTCTAAAATCGAGTTTCTAGCTTGGCCGTTTCGTTCTTAAATTCCGAGAAATAAGGTAGATTATATCTCCTCTCTTAAGGCGAGGTCCCTCGAGCTAATATTTATTATAGTACTCCTTTATCCTAAGCCTAACGAACTTGAGTTCTTCCTTTAGTATTATATATAGTATATATATTTTTTCTGCCTTGACTTTTACCCTAGGTACT